CACTGCCAACAAGAACCACGTACTTTTGCTGAGTGTAGTGGACGTAGCTGTAGTACGGCAAATTGCCGTGGGCCTGGTGAAAATCGACATGGACCAGTGAGGTAGCATTGACAGGAATAGCTACATACACACAGTAGTAGTCAGATTCCTTCACAGGGCAATCCACGTCGTGGCGAGGACCGACATGCCCGTTGAACACCACAGGCCGGTCTTCTTCCGTAACTAGAAAACGTTGCTTGTCAAAATCAACCACCCCCCGGTATAACGATTGCTTATCGTTGTAGCCATTGATCCACAGGAAAAGGGAAGGCATTCCGGCTTGTTTGAGGTCTCCGAGGTAACCCAAGGAACGGTACATAATAGCAGGCACAGGGTCCTCGGCACCTGCTAGGGAGATGGAGGAAGACCGGCTACCATCGGCGTTGACGAAGGCACACACAACACCAGAAGAGTGGTCCAAGATGGAGGTGGCGTGAATGAGTCCCACAAGGAGCCATAGNACATTTAAGAGCAATGGTCTTTGCATTTCTTGTGTTAACTAGTGTCACTTTCGCTTTAAAATATGTCAAAACGGCGTGTCAATAACGACCTAGTAGAGTCAGTTATGTGCACTTGTCTACAAACTACCTCATAACGCTAGTACATTTTGGCCCTATCGAGCATAACCACAATCTTGAGATTCACCTGCTTGACCTTTGAGTCCAAAAGGTATCCGGGATCTTTCATTTTACTCTTGTTCTTTTGTTGTAAGGATGTTTTCGTAAATACAATTGGCTTAAAAGGCTATCCATTAGACTACTTCAACTTCCTTGTAACCAATGAACTCAAAGGAGGATACTTTACAAGTGGAAAATTTACGAGTGTCATAGTTGTCAGAGACTTAGGTGCAAGTTGAAGACAATTATTTGTATAGAGACTTGGTGTGAAACTCCAATCTAATAGAGACTGGGTACAGTCAATGACCAATAGCGAAGACTGACCAGGTACAACTCAAGATTAATAGTTTAGAAGTCTTACTAGGTACAACTTGAAAGCAGCATAGTTACAAGCGTATTTAGAGTCGTAGAACTCAAAATTGGTAGTAGACTGACTGGGTAGAACTCAAAATTAATTGTGTACTTACTGAGTAGAACTCGAAAGTCATATACTTACTGTCAATTGGATCAATTAATATTCGTAGAAGGCAATTAGTAGTGGACTTACTACAACTCGAGGACAATAATAGTAGTCATATTACTCGAAAAACAATTAATAGATCCACTACCACCTTACATACTACAAGTATGCTTTCCCAGATGTTTCACAGTCAAACTCAAACGAGAAACCATTTGTGAACATTCCACCTGTGCTACTGGGTCGAGGCTTGGCCAACTCCTGCAAGCAGGTGCCTAATAGCCGCTTCTAGCAGCCTACCGTGGCGAACTGTCTGGCGGCGCCAAATCACCACAACGTAAATTCATCCCGATAAGTCCACTCCTCTCTTACCCGTCTCGGAGTGGGCCAACCTGCAGGCCTTGACTCCCGACCCTCGACGCGAGCCCCGCTGCACGTGACCCAGCAGCAAATCACTAGCCATTCATTGGTCATTGGTTCCACCGCCTCCACCAGCTTTCTACCCATAAGCCCACCCTCCTCCTCTATTTGCACCACCCGTCCAGTCGCGAGCGTCCTATCCCCCCGAAAGTGTCTGTTCCTCCCATTCGCAGGTGCCCCTTTCGGAAAAAAATCCCTCCAACAAAAGTGAAGTCTCACTAATCCACACCACCACCAACCAAGGGCCCAGCACCCGCCCACCAGTAATCACGGCCAATTCGAACCAAAAAAACCCCCCAGCCTACCTAATCTGTTCTGCTTGTTATTTTGTCTGCTTATGAACAAGAATAGGTGACTGCGAACAATCGTGAAAGGTGAATTTCAGCTAATCGGCAGTGTCCATTTCAGTGTCAGCATCAATCTAATCTCGTCCAGTGTAATCATCCACCCCAGCCACCTCCATCTAGTCGAGTGTACGTGATTCAGAATGCCTGACAAACACAAACTCAAGGTGTTTAGCCACTTCAAGCAGTCCTCGTCTCTCGAGGACTTGACACCTTCGACATCCAACCATTCACATTCCAGAAAGTCGTTTCTCGGGTTCCATATTGGAAAACACGAGTCCCAAGACTCGCTTTCGTCCCCTACCTTGACCAATTCTGGCGACCACCACCACCACCACACCCACCATGCTCCTCAGCAGCAACTCCACTCCAACCACCATTCCAGCGACAACTTGAGCGGACGTCCTGTCCAATCCAATGAAATCAATCCACAGCGCCAAACGCCAAGCCCAAGTTTGAACCAGTCTCCCAACCCTCCTCACATACATGCATCTACTCCCATTCAATCCCCACAACCAATACATCATACGCTTAACAAGGAAGATTCAAACCACACATTCATGAAGTCGAACTCCATGGCAGAGTTGAAGCGGTTTTTCAAACCCACCAAGAAGAACTCCATTTCCAGAAAACAGGACCACCAACAGTACAATAACAACCTACACACTCCCCCAGCCATGGCTTCTTCACCCGCTGGAACTGGAAGCCCAGCCAACGCCAACCTTTCACCAAGTCGAGACCATTCGTCTACATCGTTGGCCACTCTTATTAACCAAACATCTTCCCAATTCCTTCACAATGCTACAAATGGGTCACATCTGTCTCTGAATAAAGACCCCTTCACTGATGAAAACTCGCATTTGGTGAAGAAATACGGAAAGATTGGTAAAGAATTGGGAAGCGGTGCTGGCGGTTCCGTGAAATTGATTGTACGTCCCTCAGATGGTAAGACTTTTGCTGTGAAAGAATTTAGACCAAGAAGATCCACCGAATCTCTCAAGGATTATACAAGAAAGTGTACCGCAGAATATTGTATTGGTTCTACCCTCAAACATCCTAATATCATCAAGACTATTGATATCATTCTTGAGAACAATAGATATTTTGAAGTTATGGAGTATGCTCCTATAGATTTCTTCGCGGTAGTCATGAGTGGGAAAATGTCTAGACAGGAAATAAATTGCTGCTTGAAGCAAATAATTAACGGTGTTGCATATTTACATGGCCTCGGCTTGGCCCATCGAGATTTGAAATTGGATAACTGTGTGATAACAACCGACGGAATCCTCAAAATTATCGATTTCGGAAGTGCAGTAATCTTCAAATATCCATATGATCAATATGGCAATTCCAAAGATAGCATTCACTATTGTCATGGTATTGTTGGCTCCGATCCGTATCTTGCTCCAGAAGTTTTGAAAAGCTCGAACTCTTATAACCCCCAACCTGTTGATTTGTGGTCTATTGCAATCATTTATTGTTGCATGACCTTAAAGAGATTTCCTTGGAAAATTCCTAACCCAGAAAAAGATAATAGTTTCAAACTATTCTCAGAGCCCGACGATAATTGGCACGACTACTACTTGAGTAACGAGTGTCATAAACTATTGCTCGAGCAAAGAAAATTAAAGAATACCATAGTCAGACTGAACAAAAAGAAAAAATTAATCGAGGAACAGGAGCATGAAGGAGAAGAGGGCCACGAAGAGCCGCAAGAAGCCAAACACGAAGAAGACCACAACATGGATGGCGAAGAGGAGAAAGAGGAGAAGACCAAGAAGAATCTTGAAAATGTCGAGATATTAACTGAAGAACAAGTTCAAGGTATTTTGAACCAGTTGAAGGAGATTGATAATCAGTTAGAACAATATGAAAATACCAAAAATGAAATGAAAGCTAAGTTTAATGAAGTGAAGAAACACGAGCTTCTTCATAATCCAACACATGAAACGCATGTGGAAGCAGACAAGGATTCACCTAAGAAAAAATCGTCGCACAAACAAATACATGGGCCATACAGATTGATGAGGTTATTACCTCACGCTTCCAGACCTATCATCCATAAGATGTTGCAAATTGATCCTACTAAGAGAGCAACCTTGGATGAAATTCTTCAAGATGAGTGGATCAAGGAAATCAACTGTTGCACATTAAAGAGAGTGGCCAGAAGTATGGATAACGTAGGAATGGGCTTTGATGAAGACGAGGATGATGTTTTGATTAAGGGAACTCCCGTACACGAACACACTATTGTTGACTCCAACCAGTAACCTATTGGTTACTCAAATAATACTTAACGAGCAATTAATATTACTATTATGAACTGTTAATACAATTCACGACAATTATTCGCCAATGTGACCTATGGTGGACATGGCAGACCCAAATAAATAGCTTAATTAATGGAAATATTACTTGATGTAAGATGGTGATGAGAACTTCGGAATAGATTGAAATGGATTAGTGTGGCTACAAAGTATTGCAGTTGCCTACCTTTTCAAGTTATTTTGGCCATATCATACACTGAATTCTTGCCAGTTTACTTTATTCCAAAGGAGTGCGCCGTTCAATATTTTAATGATAAGGGCGATCTTATCACGATCTGAGGTAACGCTATTTTAGATTCAACATACGTCCATCGACAATAAGTCACTTAGAGTCGTTGCTTTATCGATCATTGAGACATAGAATACCATTTTCACTTTCAAAATGCCCCAACCTGTACCACATCTTGCGCTTGCCCGTCTTAAGACGTCCCTCAAGATGGCCATAAGCAAGCTCAAGTTCATTCAGGAGAAGAAAACCGCTTTAACCAAGCAACAAAGACGTCAATTGGCCGAGCTTCTCAAACAAGGAAAGGAGAGCAGTGCTAAGATCAGAGTGGAGAACATCATTCGTGATGATATCTACATCGAGCTCTTGGAATACCTTGAGCTTTACTGCGAGTTACTCCTTGCTAGAATCACTATAATTCTCGACCCAGCTAGAACCACATGCGAGAACAACATCCTAGAGGGTGTTCTGTCGGTGATTTACGGAGCGTCGCACTCCGAGTTGAAGGAATTGATCACGATTCGAGACATCTTGATCCATAAATATGGCCCAGACTTTGGCAAGCGTGCTCTCGAAAACTCCGATGGTCACGTTCCTGAAAAGATCGTCAAGAGGTGTCAGGTTGACCCACCTGAGGAAACATTGGTGAATCTTTACTTGTGTGAGATAGCTAGGGCATACGAAGCTCCATATTCGGGCTTGAAGATTGAGGAAATTGAGGAGGCAAAAAAGGATACTGGAGACGAAGATGATGATGATGAGCCCTCTGGAGGAGTAAAAGAACCCGAGGCTCCAATAGCAGAAACCGCCAAGCCGTTATCTCCCGCAGCAAAAGAATTATCTGAATTTGATGCTTTAAAGGCAAGATTCGCTGCTTTGAAGGGCAAGTAGGACAGGGTGAGCTACACCAGTAGCAACCAAATAAAGTGAGTTTTAGAATTATTCGTACTACACTATTATTAAAAATTAGTGAGAGGCATTGCAGCATCGAACGGACCTTTTCAAGTCTCTCCTCAGTCTCAGGTTAGATTTAATTATCGCTTCTCTTTCCTGAAGCTCCAACTTGCCAATAAGGAATATGTAATTACGTAAGCTTATATAAGTTCTTACATAATCATCATAGTAGAGGATTGAAGCAAGAACCAGCAGAATTCCCACAGTTTCAAATTTAGGATGTTTTGTTCGCACTTCTTGACTGTTATTTTACACACAATAGGGTGGTGAATCCTCCACCAAACTGTCGATTGGGATCATTGGTCACGTGATGAATCCACCGAGACATTTGTTGACGGTAGCATCCATCCATCTTTCCAAACCCTCCCATCCCTGATCCACTCCTAGTACGAGCATCGCCATGTTCAAATCGCAGATCCTCACGGAGCGCCAACAACTTGAGCTCAACAAAGCTATCATTCAATACCTAGAGCCGATTCTAAGCGAGAACGATCATCAGACACTCGCCAAACTCTCGGAAACCCTCAAGATACCTATCAACTCCAAAGACGAGAGCTCCAATATCGTGTCGAACTACTTGGAAAAGAAGTGGTCTACGGTGTTAAGATTGCAAAGAAAGATCATTGATTTAGAGAATGAAGTGAGTAATCTCAGAACTGTTATCGATTCACAACAAGCACTAGGACCTGTGAATGGCGGTTCCTCGGTTATAAGCAAAGATAAAATCAACTGGTTGCCATCATCCACCAGCAAGGTATTTTCTACTCAGTTGAACCAAATGATCCAAACAAACACCATACACCCACACTTGCCTGTGGTCCTCGCTGGGTGCTCTGATGGATCCATAATAGTATGGAGCTTGGTCAACGACGAGAGCTCCATCCCTGACAAAATCATCAAAGCACATACCCGAGGGGTGAACAAATTGGTATGGTCAAGAGACCCAGTCGACTTAAGCACCGGTCCTTCCAACATCATAAACTCTACATTAGCATCATCATCATACTTACTAGCATCTTGTTCTTCGGATTTGTCCATTAAAATCTGGAACGGCTCATCCTACAAGCATATTAGAACCTTGACAGGTCACGAACACACCATATCTTCCATCAAATTTTCTCACATAAAGCCTACTATCTTGTATTCTGTTTCCAGAGACAAGACCGTTAAGATCTGGGACTTGGTCAACGGATACTGCATTAAAAGCTTCATAGGACACAGTGAATGGGTGAGGGATATAGATGTGATAAGCATTAACTCAAAGCTTCTGCTCGGACAAATTAAGCAGAGTGATATGGGTGATTTCATATTGACATGCTCGAACGATCAGTCTGCAAGGTTATCCCACGCAGACTCGGGAACAGGCTTGGCCTTGCTCATTGGACACAACCACGTAATTGAGGCCATTAAATTTTTACCCTTGACCTCGAACATTATAATTGACAAGTACCTCAAGGACAACATAACATTATTTCCAAGCATCTCACAAGAAGTCATTTCCGACCCTGTGTACTCGGAGACATTGGGTTATAAGTACTGTATCACAGCAAGCAGAGATAATACTATTAAGCTCTGGCTCTTACCTCCCCCAATTCTTGTTCCACATAGACATCCCTTACCTGCAAAGGTTAATAATTCACAAGCATGGTTGATAGCTGATTTGATCGGACACCAGTCGTGGGTGAAAGGGGTTTCAATCCATCCTAACGGAAGGTTTATATTCAGTGGAGGAGACGACAAAACCATAAAGATTTGGGATCTTGAAAGTCTCAATGTGGGAGGTAAGGTCAGATGCATAAGAACTTTGAGTGGGCATGATGGTTTCATCAACGATTTAGAATTTGCTAGCTTCAAAATAGATCAATTGGAAGCAAAGGATGACAAGGATAAAGTGAAGAGTGAAGAGGAGACACACGGTGAAATATTGAAGGCCATTGAGAAACGGATGAGATGTTTATTCGTAAGTGGGGGAGCTGATAATACAATGAGATTCTGGGGCTAGAACATTACTCCATTATAGAACATTTAACTTTTACGATTTTCCGTAAGAGTCTTTAATCGCATCATATATTCAGTTCTCCTACGCTTCCATGGTAATAAATGGATTGTGCCAGCATTGGCGACGTAGCCTATATTAGTTTTTACCGCGACCTAAGCTAATTATCAGCTTGTCTGTAGAGAATGAATCTGACATAATGTGGGTCTCAATTGACCACATAGCCTTAGTGCACTATAACACATTATCATAATACTCACCTTCGACATATCCACCTCGCATAGCCATTCCCACATTCCTCCTGAACTGTTCCTTTTCTCTCACCAAGACATTTGCGGCCTCTTTGTTTAATGGATCATTGGGGTTTGGCTCTAAGAACAAGAAATTCAATCCAATCAAGATCGAGTTCAAATTTAACACCGGCGACCAGTCCTCTCTCAAGATATTAAGGCAGATGTTGCCTGCGGCATCGATGTTGGGATGGTAGATTTTGTTGAGACACTTGATCTTGGGAGGCTCCATCGGAAAGTTGTTATTAATTTCGATTTTGAACCTGAACTTGCCACCCTTGTAGTAGCCTTGTTGGGGTGATATCTGAAGAAAGAAGTTGAAAAAGTCATTTGGATCGGGGAAAGTAATGGCTATGGTCTTTGGAAGATCGAGTTCGGTGATGTCCTTCTGTAGCCTGATCTGAGCAGCAGTGACTTTTGCATTGACATCCGATTTTCCTACTTGCGGTTCTCCAGGAGGTGTAGAAGAGTTGGCTCGGGCCAACGCTTCTGCTTCCTCCTGTTTCTTCTTTTGTAATTGTCTGATCTTTAACATGTTATGCACTGATCGGGATGTAGCTGCCAAAAATGCTGGGGTCCAAGATTAGCGTGGTGCAACTAGGCAGAATTGTATGCTGGAGTGCTGATACTGGTGAGAGCAGCAACAATGATGATAATTGATATGACTAGCAGGGCTAGGAAATGCTAAGGGAAACTGGATTTGCCGTACGTATTGCTCTCTGATTTGTAAGAATGCGGGTCGTGAAGAGATCCAAAGGCGAGATAGTTGCGTGACAGATCGTGAACTGCGCTACAACGCCATGCCCATATCAGATCAGTATAAACATGATCAGCAGTGTATGGAGATGGGATATCCGTAAGATTGTGTTCCATGATAATTCTATCGAATAGATGCAAAAAATAGGTATATAGTTATGTAACGGTCTATGAATGCCATGGGAAATAGTGAGCGTTCTCCGATAGCATGGTTTTTCTGGTCCAGTGTTGCATGATAAACCTAATTAGCGGCCTTTAGCTTCCAAATGCCAGAGCCTTGCAACAGACGTTTCAATTAGTGTGCACATTTTGGTCCCGGTTTTCTGCAGTGAGCGTTTCCAACACTTGACAGAATTCCATCCGTTTTACGGTGACGCTTCCTTCAGACCCGTTGGTGCTTCCAATCTCTTTCCTCACGGAGCTGGACTTGTTGGAAGCCAAGTCGAGTAGACCATCTGCTTCGCCACCTATTCTTTCTTCAGCATTTATCAAGGTAACATATGGTGTACGAATTGAGCATTCTATCTGCAAGAGCCACTCAAACTGGCGGATGATTTCGGAACGCACCCACTCGGGGTCATCAATGGCAAGTATAGGAGTCCTAGGTTGTACGCTCCAGTATTTCGAGTCCTTTGCGAGCCGGTTGTGCTCATTGATGCTATACTGTGATCTAAGTCCTCCAACACTCAACAACGCCTCATACTGTAGGTTCCAAAGCGACACGTCTCGCAAGTTTTTGTGACAAAGCTGCTGGAGGGTCTCGAGAGCCTCCCGATGTAAGATTCCCACCTGGAAGCACCACTTTAGATAGTTGGCAGCGTAGTAGTTGGCGAAATGTACTTGGCAACTCTGCCATGCTCGCAAAACCACCGTCTTCAACACATCGGGATACTTTTCTGCTATCAACACGGTGTACCTCTTCATCAAGGACCACAAGGAGGAACTCTTGTTGATTTTCTTCAACCGGCTGCTAAGATAGGTACTTATGATATCGATTTCTCGGAGAAGAAACTCCTCACCATGCTCTTGGTAGAGCTGGGCAGTGACTGTATCGTGGAGCGCAATTATGGTTGTATTCTCGTTGGTGGTGACCATGTAACCAAGGGTCATGAGGTAGGTGTCTAGCGTGGGCGATCTGGAGTCTTTGGAGTGCCAGTACAGGTGGCATTGTTTGAAGAGAGCCAAGTAGGTCTTCTTGGTGAGACCAATCTCGAGGTTTCCGTTGTCGTGGGCCGCCACTATCTCCACCTGGTCGCCTGGAATTAGCTGGATGGTTTTATGATCACTGGTGGACGAGGTGATATGGGAGTGGAGCTGACAGATGAGTTCCATTGTGCAGACTTGAGGAGTGAAGGTTGTGGAACCTGTGCGATGTTCTTGCTATTGATAAGTGAATGGACCAATTATCAATTGTATGTCTCTAGTTCAGATGGTGTGTGAGTGGTTTCTTGCAGTACCGGTGAGGTGGTCTATGGGTCGTATCTGGTAGTAGTGATATGATATAGTACAGACTCCGATCTCCTGGAAAATAATGATGAATGGTTCTTTAGAATCTTTGTCTTATCTTGTGATTAGTTTCTGAAATATCTCTACTTAGTCCTGAGTCCTTCTTGAAAGATACTGCTCAACTTCTAAGTAGCTGCGGTCTGGCCTGCCAGTCAGTTCAGAGTTCTATTGTGGGTAAGCGCTGCGAACTCAAACTGGTGCGCATATCATCAACAGTCAACTCATCTCATGGCTTCCTTCAAAGAGGTTTATGGCCACGAAGGCATCTTCAGCATCGGTGACAGCGATCCTCCGCCTGACACTGTCAGCGAGGCAATGTATAACAACACCAAGTTGGACAAAATAGCGGGAATCCACACGAACGAGGACGAATTCATGGAAGACGATGACGATCTACAAGACGATAACGACGAGGACGAAGATGAAATCGAGGACAAAGACGAAGACAATGAGGACAAGGACCAATTGGCAGCCACAGCAAACCAGCCTTCGGAACAATGGCGCCCTCTTCGTGTCATCGCAGGTGCACACCAAGGGTGGGTTCGAGCAGTAACAGTGGACCCAGTCACCAACAAGTGGTTTGTCACTGGATCCTCGGATTCCACCATCAAGGTGTGGGACTTGGCTACTCTGGCACTCAAAGCCACGCTCACAGGCCATATCATGGGTGTCAGGGCATTGGCAGTTTCCTCGAAATTTCCGTACTTGTTTTCAGGCTCGGAAGACAAAACTGTTCGGTGCTGGGACTTGGAGAAGACAGACTCCGAATCTGGATGCCAGATCAGAAACTACCACGGCCATGTGGGAGGAATTTACTCCATGGCCCTCCACCCCGAGTTGGACTTGTTATTCACTGGAGGAAAAGATTCAGTGGTCAGAGTATGGGATGTGAGGTCCAGGGACCAAATCATGGTCTTGGCCGGTCATCGAGGCGATATCACCTCCATTGAGAGTCAAATTGGCGACCCTCAAGTCATCACTAGTTCTATGGACTCCACAATAAGGCTATGGGATTTGAGAAAACAAACCACCGCTCTAACATTAACCCATCACACCAAAAGCATACGGCTGTTGGTGATGCATCCTCAAGAAATGACCATGGCTTCGGCTGACTCAGATGGCCACATCAAACAATGGCTCTTACCTGGTGGTGAGTTATTAAACGAATTCGGAGATGCTGATAATAGCAAAATCATAAACACCATGGCCATTAATCCCGCGAACAATCATCTCTTTGCAGGTTTTGACGATGGCAGAATGGAATTCTATGACTACATAAGTGGTGAGTTGATCCAGGAGGAGATATCAAGTCCATTAGCCGGCTCTAATGAATCACCAATTTATGCCAGCACTTTCGATTTGTCGGGATTACGTTTGATTAGTTGTGAAGGTGACAAGAGTGTTAAAATTTGGGGGTTATGATAAGCTAACAATGCTTGAGTTAGTTCTAGCATCGGCCATGGGCTTTGAGTATTGACAAGTAAGCTACAAACCACAAAGCGGATTGCCCCATAGAAATACGCTTAAATGCTTACAGTATAGATGGTGGTTTGGTGTGTAATATAGTAAATCCTATAAGTGTTATTGCAAAGCAAGAACTTAAATTAATAGTACATTCGTAATTCGTAAATAATCCGTAAGGAAGAGATCCAACCCGATTAAATTGGTTTACCATCCAAATCTCAATTGGTTTGCAGTGAATAATGGAGGAGTCCAATTTAATCTATGAGGCTCCAACTCGTGCTTTTTCTTCTCTTTGACCTTTTTCACAAGTTTCTCATACATAGCCATGATCTGATCGGTGACAACGACGATGTGCTGCCCTTTATAGTATCTCAAAATTTGTAAAGTAGTCAAAGTATGCAAAATATCGGTAGTGGTCATACATGTTATCTGAGAAATTTCCTCAATAGTAATCTCACTGGAATTTGGTTGTTTGGGTGTAGCCGAGCCTTCGTCATCTTCCTCCTCTGCTCTGGGGTTGTTTTTTCTATAGAGCTGAGGGCTGTTTCTCTCAACCAATACTTTGACCAAAGTATCTGTCCAGTATGCTCTATATGATAATAAACCCAAATCGGACAACGGCTTTTCAGGAGAACCGACCTTTCCTTCAACATGTGATAACATATATGAAAACTGTATCAACAATTTACCAAAACCTTGCTTCTGATAACATGGCAAAGTAAGAATACAAGCCACATTATAACCATCAGCACTTTCCTTTTCCTTGGAAAAATATCCCACAACATGATGACCCTGCTTGGACTTGATTGTCATGATGTAAAACAAAAAAGGATCAACATCGTAATACAAGGTTTTGTGGTCTAAGAATAACTTAGACAATAAACACAAGTTTCTGCACCAGGTTCTTTGTTTTCTACCATCAATTTCCCAGAAACTGACCTTTGAATCCCTATAGATTTCGTTACCTGGTGGATGCTTCATCGAACATTTTGATCTGAACCTTTCAAATTGCTTACGAGAGCCAAAATACGATAAGGTAAAGTCGCAGATATAGATTTCGTCTTCTTCTGTGAGCTCAATCGGATACGGCGAGAAGTACCATGGTTCTATAATATGTTCACCCAAGATAATTGTGGATAAATTTCTGACTCTGGCCACTTCCGAGTGATTCTGGATCATGGACCCACTTGTTCTTAACTTCTTGAGTTCATCTTCTCTGTTCACCTCTTCGCCGGGTCTCTTCAAACCTTGAACGTTAAGGTTGTCCAAATCCATAACGTCGTCATTACCTCCGTCGTCAGGAATTGGGGTTGCAGTCTCTGAGCTCTTTTGACCTTTGGAGCTTTTGTTCTTGGACTTCTTTTTCAGCTTGTTATCTTTCTTTTCTTCTTTCTTGTCTGCCTTGATCTCAGGCAAGATCAAATGGCGCTTGTAATCTATCCTATCCGTGCCGATCCACTCATCCAATCTCTTGTTGAATTCTTGATAATGCACATAGTATACCTTTTTGGATTTTTTTGTATGTTCTTGAAGAATCTCCGCTAACCGGAACTCTCCGTCCTTGGATACGTATACCTTACATCCAATCACGATATCATCTGATGTAAACTGTTCGGTTGTAGATGGCGAGTCATTGGCAAGCTTTATTGGTGTCGAGGACAGTGGAGTGAGGGAGTCGTCTGCCATGTTGAGCGACTATGTACCTCGAAACTGACAAAGGATAGATGAGCTAAACTAAGGCGTGGGTATTCGACTGGATACGACTTCGTCTCTACCACTGGAGATGTTTTGTTGATCCAGTTTATCGTGAGAAAATTTGTCTCACGTGCCGGGCACACAATATAGACTCCGGAAAGATACACAATAAGCTAGATTAGAATGGGTGACAAGCATACTAACATACGTCAAAGCTAATTAGATGTCTTCCTCTTGCCATTCTGGCTTTTGAATATGTTTTTGGGTATTTCTGAAGAAAAATTGGTTTGTGTCACAAACCTTTTCAGTTTGATGAATGGGGAAGGATTAAAGGAACTAGGCAAATTTACACGAAACCAGAGGACCTGAGCGGAGTCTGTCTAAAGCAGGCTATAATATAATTTCCTGGATGGTGTTGTTTTGGAGGGAAACTATTCTGTGTTAATCTTGTGGAATTGGCATTTTTTTATAAAAATGTGGGAAAAATTCATACCAAGACCATTAAAAAGCTTAGTCACAAGCTAAGTTCGTATTCAGAAGTAGTCAAATATATTGTTCTAAACCATTTCCTAGGTAACGCACTTTGAAAAGAAATATAATATTAACGAAAACACTTTAAATTCCTATACTGACTAGTCTAGTTCGTGAATTTTTGAACTAAACTAGCACAATAATATAGGTACAAGAGATTCAAGGTAATTTGTCCAGAGTCCAGACCTACTGCCATACCTTCATTTTCCAGCGAGCAACGAATTCACTGAGGTCCATCCCAGTTACACTGTATAGAAGTATTGGTTTAGAACTAGCTCATGGTTTACCCAAAGGCACATAAAGCAAGACACCAGGGATAAGGCATATTCAACCAAATCACTATATGACTCTATTTCACCAACCAAACCCGACAATTGAGCAACTCCGAGTTCGCTTGCTCCCTTCCGCCTTTTCGCAGCCACCTCAGTGGTGCCTACTTGTTGCACTTCCACGTGATGCCCAAAATAACGCAAGCTTGAAGTGGGGATTGACGGTTTATCGCCATCATATACTTTTCCAATGCCAGAATTACGTCGTTCAGCCAGAGTCGCTGCAAAGCCAGCCTCCGAATCTTCGGAGCCTCCCCAAAAGAAAGCCAAGCCTGCCCCAAAGAAGGAGCAGAAGCCAAAGGTTGAGAAGAAACTGAAAAATCCCGAGGCGGAGTCTGAGTCCAAGGATGAACAAGAACCAAAAGATGTCAAGGAAGAATCAAAGGAAGAAAAGACCAAGGAAATTGAGGAAGGAGACCCAATTCCTGATATCACTCTCTTAGATGAAGAAGAGAACGAAGTTTCTCTTCCTGAAGCCGCTAAGAAGACAAAGTTCTTGGTTATCTTTGCTTATCCCAAGGCATCCACCCCTGGTTGCACGCGTCAAGTATGTGGTTTCCAGGCAAACTACGAGTTTTTGAAAAACTCTAACACTACTGTGTTTGGGCTCAGTGCTGATCAACCTAAATCGCAAAAGAACTTTGTCACCAAACAAAAATTAGAGTATCCCTTGTTGTCCGACCCTTCCAGAAAGTTGATTGGCGCATTGGGAGCTAAGAAGTCTCCTACTGGTATCAAGAGATCCCATTGGATCTTTGTCGATGGGGTCTTGAAGGTCAAGAAGATCCAAATTAGCCCTGAGGTTAGTGTGAATTCTGCTAAGGCTGACATTGAGGAATTCATCAAGAATGAATCTTAAGTTTTGCTCTTATGTTGGTAGCTAAACTTTGGGCCATCAAAATTTACCAGTGGACTTCGCCAATGATTCGAACTGTAGAATTATTTTCATAACTATATACTTAAATCAACAGCCACAATATTCATGAAATGCAGTCGTATTGGTGTTTTGTCTAGCTCAACCAATTGACAGACTCCAAAAGTACAGATAACAAGATGGCCACCTTACTTGCCCACCACCAGTGTTGAACCACAAAAGAACAATAGCTGAACTCGAAGGCCCATTTGTCACTAAAGTGGCCAGTAACGATACCGGTTTGACCTTCGAAATCGCCCATCATGGCCCTCACAACTATTTCTCTGACAGATTCTCTCTCAGTATTGTTCTTTTCTTTAGAAGCGACCCACTCGCCATCGACAAAGTTGTACCAGTCATCACAACCCACATGATCGTGGCCAGTCAAGATGATACCATTTTGGTCTTTGTTAGGAAAGATAATACTGAGGACTTTTTGACTGATATCGTAAGCTAAATGATTTTGAGATCTTAATTTACCATTCTTGTATGGTTCCTTTTCATAATTTTCGTAGTATTTGTGCTCAGGGCCATCGGCACATAAACCTTCCTTCTTGTAAAATGGAATATGGGTCAAAAGCACAGTAGCACCCTTGAAATCAGCATTCGAAGCGTTCAAGTGTTCCAAAAATGACCAGGTATACGAAACAAACTCTTCCTGCAAGGCTGGACCTTCCAAACTCATAGAGTCTAAGACCACCAATCTCCATTCTTCAGGAGTGCCTTGATTGTAGTTGATAACGTAGTTATTCTGGCCAAATAAGTGGTGGAAACGGGCCATGTGTTGCCAGGTGGCATCTCCACTGTAGCCAATATCGTGATTACCAGTCAAATTGATAAACAAAGGATTCTCATAGTTTGGAAACTTGTTTTCGGGGAAGAACCAGTCATAGACGTCAGCGTACACTCTGGAGTCGTATCTGTGCTTTGGATCCATTTCTACCTCCTGGCTCAACCATTGGTTCCAGTCGTAGTTCTCATGCTTGGCGTGTGTTTCCTTGACGTTGCGCTTGTATTCGATAGGTCTTGGGAACAATCTCTCCACGAACCGGTTGGTTCTGTTGTAGAACTCGGAATCCAAGATCCATTGGGAAGAGAAGAGATCTCCCATGACTGCCACATGGCTGGGCGAGAGTCTTTGCTTCATGGTGTTGTAGATATGGCCCAAGTAGTAGTCATTGCCATAGTTGTCCAACCTCTTGATGTACTTGGTCAGTTGCCAGTTGCCGTTGATCTGGGGATCGCCAAACGTGAGCATATGGATGTCTTTGATGGCCTTGTCTCCACGGACAGAAGGTGTCCTCAATGCCGAGTGGTCGACGAGACTGGGGAAGTTGAGGAGCACCTTTTCAGAAATGGATTGGGGAAGCTGGTTGATGAAGGACACCGTGCTGTGAAGGCGCGTGTCCTCGAACTTGTGCCAGTTGCACTTGTCGGTTGAGTTGAGGATGTCAGGGTAGAAGTGGATGAAGAGGTTAAGGAGTGCGGCCACGATGGTCACCGAGTGTGCTAGCGAACGTAGCATGGTGGTGGTGTCGGTAGAGCGGTGCTTTTTTGCAAGGATTTCACGACAAATGGTTCCAGATTGGTGGTGTGGGTAGCGCCTAACTTTTGATGTGGGGCACGAGAAAGTGAGAGGTTGTACTAGTAACGAGCAGGAAAAGAGGCAGTGCAAGGGAGGGATGAAATGGAGGAGGAGAAGGAGAAGAGGAGTACGTGTTTCAATTGACTGGGTCGATGGAGTCGTAGAAGGAAGGCAGTATGCTGCAGTTTGGTGTATGGGGCTACGTAGTGAGTGCACTTTGACGGAGGTGAAAAATCGCCCTGCGGAGCCACGGAAGAGAATTAGACCCAGTGGTGGTTCGTAGAATAAGCAGGAAGTACAGAAGGGTGGGTACGTTACGCTGGCCGGGTTCCGTTGTTTGCACAGTATAGGCTCGTCCATTTGATCTAGGATTCAACACCCATGGTTGTGTTCTCCGTTGTTCGGGGATCTTGTTCTGTCGAGCATTGCCCGAGTTCCACTACATCTCGCTGTGCACGATCAATCACTTAACTCTCATGTACTTCTATACACTTATAATGCTTCGTTTAAGGTTTGGTTCAACTTGGCAACCTTGGCGGAGATAGACAAGTCAACGGTTCTGTCACCAACTTCAACAACTAAACCACCCAAGATGTCTGGGTTGACAGTGTTGCTCAACTTCAAGGTCTTACCTTCACCAACGAATGAAGACTTACCGATGGAGGTTTGCAATCTCTTCAAGATCTTGGAGTCCAATGGCTTGGCAGAGGTGACCTTGGCTTCAACAACACCCTTGTGGGCATCGTTCAACAACGAGAACTTTTCGTAGATAGCACCGAAGTTGCTCAAACGGTTGTTTTCAGCCAAAACGTTCAAGAAGTTGGTGACGGTCTTGTCCAACTTCAAGTTTTGTGAGATGGTCTTGATGGCAACGTTTCTGTCATCCTTGGTCAAGACTGGGTTGACCAAGATTTCTCTGACCTTGTGGTCGGATTCGAGTAAACCATTGATCTTGGTTAATGCTTGGAAAGATTGTTCGATGGAGGATTCTTGAACGGAAGCCGAGTATAAGGCACTGGCATAAGTACCGTCAATACCGAACAATTGGATTGGTGGCTTGGCACTAGACAAGGAACGGGTGAATGTACGGAGCATTTTGATTATAGTACCTCGATTATGATGGAGCTGTTGTAAATGGTTTTTTGTTAGAATTGCCCGTTGTTCGCACGCACCAAGAACAGATTCTATTGGCCGGCGGTTAATGCTGACATTTACTGCTGCGGCGTGAGCGTGCGCGTAAGCGTGGGCCCACACTACCAGATCGCAGATTTTTCATTATGGGTTGAGGTACCAATAGAACTAGCACTAATGATGTGGTCCAGAAGTTTGGTTAGCCCACTAGGAAGACTCCGCAGTGGGTTCCCAAGCACCCTTCCTAGCCTCTTGCGGATGCAGAGCACCATTTCCGGAAGCGAAGGATTCACCGACTTGGAACAAAAGGAAGAGGCCTTCAAGAGACAACGGAAGTTGGCCATGAGTAATGTGGAGATCAAAAGTTATGCAAACGGACATTTACAGCCTGGTTCCACACACTTCAAGAAACCTGTCCACGAACATTTGCACAAGGGTGGTCCCGTCAAGCAATTGACTGTGCCCAAGAAGAAGACTGCGGGTAGAAACAACACCGGTAAAATCACTATCAGAGGTAGAGGTGGAGGTCACAAGCAAAGAGTCAGATTAGTGGATACCCACAGACTCGTTCCAGGAAAGCAAACCGTGCTCAGAATCGAGTACGACCCTAACAGATCAGGCCATATTGCCTTAATCAAGCATTCCGAGACCGGAGACTTGTCATACATTTTAGCAGCATCGGGATTGAGAGAAGGCGATGTTGTTGAGTCCTTCCGTTCTGGATTGCCCCAAGATTTCATTCAAGAAATGAAAGAAACCAATAACGGTGAAATTGATGATGCCTTATTGACATCCAGAATCATGCAAAGAGGTAACTGTTTGCCATTGCATATGATCCCAGTTGGTTCTATTATTCACAATATCGGATTGCATGCCGGAGGAAGGGGCCAGCTTGTCAGAGCAGCCGGTACTTTCGGAAGATTGCTCTCCAAGCACGCAGACAAGAATAAGGCCATTGTCAAGTTGAGTTCTGGTGAACAGAGATACGTCAACTTGGACTGCCATGCATCCTTAGGTGTCGTGTCCAACAAGGAATACAAATCGATCTCCTGGGGTAAGGCTGGTAGAAGTCGTCACAGAGGTAGAAGACCAATGGTGAGAGGTGTGGCCATGAATGCCTTTGACCATCCACACGGTGGTGGTAGAGGTAAATCCAAGTCCAACAAGGTTTCCCAGTCCATGTGGGGTATCAAGAAGTTTGCCAAGACCAGAAAGCACAAGCATGTCAACAAGATGAAGGTGAAGGATAGAAGAGAGTGATTGTATATAGTACCAGCTAGAAGTCTAGCAGCAATAAATAGAGCTAGCCAAAGCTAGCTACCGATAAGTGAGTAGTAGGAGCGTGGTTCATTCGATTCATGTGTCTGAATGGATTCCTTTTCGCATCAAGTGGAGTTTACTAGATTCGACGGAATGCTGGAAAGGCCATCGATTCATGCCATTATATTGAAGTCAACTACCACGAGCGCCTCACTACCAGGTCACAGAATGCCAGATCCGTACTGGCAAGGGAGCAGAAGATTAATTTCAAGTAGGCACCAATGTAACGAATGTTGCCAGTCAAATATAGCATTGTACTCCCACCAATACTTAGAAAACACCAGAGAAAAATCAATTGCACTCTAGTAAGAGAGCTTGTGGAAGCAAAACTTCTCAATATGGTGGAGGTAGAATCATTACTGCTATTGGTGAAATTATCTGTAGCAGTTCGGTAAAGTGGTAGTAGGAATGCATTCTCGTCAACACAAACAGGGTTGTTTTCTTGTTCTTGTCTGTTTCCACCGACGGTACTCACTCTGTTAGACATTTCTTCTGGGGGAAATATCTGCTCAGAGTAAGAAGACTGTGAATGGGGGGATTCTTGTGATTGGTGTTTCATGGTGATTAAACGCTGGGTGCAAAATGCATAATAAATTGAGAATGGCTACACTGCATTGAAAACTACATAGAACTCCAAGGGAGCTTTTGGACACCAGCTATATACAAAATAAGAATAATTAATTTGCTTTGGGATGTCTTCATGGGATAAGTCAGTTTTTCAAGAAAAGCTCCGACCGACCTTCTCTCAGTAGAATTCTTGTTCTGACATCTCCCATCAACACCCCTTTGGCCCACCTTTCAATGACCTCTATATCATCTAAGACATCGCAATCAAAGAACCCAATGTTATCATAGCTCTTGAACTCCTTGACTGCCATTTCAACTACATTCACAAACTGGTTTAGGCGAGTGCTTTCATACCTTCGAATGTTGGCAACGCTCTTCTTAGACACGATAGTCGTCTTCAATTCGATGAGGGCCTCGGTAGCATGCATTCTACGCACTAGCTGCCCCAATTCCTGTTCCCGGAGAAATAGTACCCGTTGGTAGCGATTTAAATAATTTGTCTTTTCCTGCAAGAACTGTTGCTGAAGTTCCAAGTTCTGCTGGTAGCTCAGAAGCTCGATCTCGTAGTCATCTAGTCGAGCCAGGAGTTGCTCAAGGAGTGTTTTAAAGCCCGTTTGCACTGGAACTACCCCATTATTAAATATCTGTTTTAGGCCATCTCGATACTCAAGCTCTTTGGGACTAGACTTGAATCCCCACGGACGTGACTCTGTAAATGAGAGGATGTTCTCGGTGACTCCACTCTTCATTTTGACTGCTGTAAGCTGGTTACTGCCTGTGGATGTGATGTGACGCTGAAACGTGTTTGAAACAGTTGAAATGTCGCTCGGCACGGAACTTGTTGTGGTATTAGCCACTTCAACGCTGGGATGCAGAAGCCAATTGTTGGACTCGTCGTAACTTTGAGGAACCATCTGATCCAGTGTACCACTCATTTTGGTCTTTATCTGGGATGACATGGCTACTTTCATATACTTATGAAATGTGACATATCCTCCAAATCAGTGCGGTGCAATGCGTATCACAATATCTAGCACACGGAGGCAATACCCCTGAGCAAATCCGGATATTACCAGTAACACATATCTTGATACCATAGAAAGGAGTAGAGCATTATCCGCCCCCCTTTTTGGAAAGAAATCACCCGAGAATACATGATTGGTTCGAATAGGCGAGTCTTACGCCCATTCCATGGTCCCTAATTCCTCAACTTCGTAATCGGACCCGAATTGGTCTCCATTTTTTGCCCTGTAGCCAACCTCGTCATATACGAACTTCAAGGATCGTTCGTAGGAGGGATCTGCCCGAACTTGGTCTCGTTGGAAAATCTCCAAATCAAGGATTTCTAGAATAATTAAGTCCATATTCACATCAACCTCATAGTTTTCAAGAGCCTCTAGTCTGCTAGCGAATCTTAGATTGGCTTTTTTAATACGAATAGAACAATTCAATGTGTGATAGGTGATCCTCTGATGATAACTATTTTCGAAGTTGACTATAGTCGGCTTGAAAGGGAATATTGCAAACACTTTATGAGTTGAATCAGATAAGATGGCAGTGATATCATTTGTCTTGGTCGATTTGATGAAGCTATTGATCTTCAAGATTGGTATTAAATTGAGGTCTCTCGTGAAGTTTTTGGCCACAATTGGATTGTTAAACTTGGATCTCTTGGAAATCTCAGTACATATCGAGTCATAGAGCCACAGAAGCTGAAATATCATCACCGCTAGACCCGCTAGCGATTGTAATGGGTAAACAAAGAATGGCCCTCACCATTACTTGATGCGCGAAGATATTCTTACTGATTAGATTTTTGAGTATATTCTGCCATCTTCAATTAATGAGACTAGAACGGCTACAAATAATTGCGGTAAGTCGACACTCTCTTGAAGATTGATTATACATGTATGGAACTATTTACACCTAGATATAACGCGAAGATATCAGCAACCCTCCAAGGGTTCAACGAAATCACCTTCCTACGAACTCTTTCTCTTCTTCCCTCTATTTAATCTCTCCAATCTCTTTGCTTCCCTCTTCTCTTCGAGCCTTTTGGTATCTTTTTCCTTCTCCTCCTCTACCTCACCGACGAATGCCTTTCCAAGAACTTCCTGGTAAGATCTTTGGTAATCGATGTCTCCATACCTAACATTCATGGCATCGAATGCAAAACAAATCTCCAACTCATCGTATCCCTTAACCTCTCTATTGTGCCTTTCAAGGTTGAAAATATTGGAAGGAGACGAATATTTCACTAAATACTCGTTCAATTGGTCTGCCAATTTGGTCAAGCGGATTGGGTCGGTGGAGATATCATTCTTGATCGAATACCTGGTACTGAAATGAGTGAGAATTACTTTGGGACAGTTCATGTATCTCGCCATCGCCACTGCCTCTATCATGGTGGAGTGTTTCTTTGCCAAGGCTTCCTCAATCAACTCATTATCAAGGGTCGATTCGTGAATTAACAAGTCACTTCCATAACCAAGGTCAACAAACTTAGGATTGGGTCTCGTGTCTCCGGAGTATGCTACTTGAAACGTCTCACTTCCAACCTGAAGATTCACGGTGATTGAATATGCCCATGCACAGTGAAGTGCTCTCACGGTTTTAATGGAATTGATTTTAAGGTCATGGTATAATTCTTGTATGAGCTGATCGTTTTTGGGGGCCAACGGCTTTCTAGGAAGAACTCTGGTGAGATCTTGACACTCGTATCTTCTTTCAAACTCTTCAAGTTCTATTGATTGGTATTCTGGTGCTCTGTCGTGAATGAACTCTTCACAACTAAGGTAGGCTAATCTGGTCAAGTCCACGGATGCATTAAATTCAGCTTCAAACTTGTACCATTCCTGAATAAATTTATCATACTGCCATGGAATAACCAAATAGAGCTTCTTGGTCGTGTTTTGATTGTATTCAAACCATTTGTTAATCAACGAAACGATTCCCAAATGATGGTCCGCGTGCAAATGACTCAAATGAATTAGCGATATTTCTTGGAATACTTCTGGGAGTTGTGCTGCATCAAAATGCCTCAAAATGGTACCAAGGGTATTTTCACCACCATCCAAGATAATGGATTTGGTTGACAAACTTCCATCTTCAACATGGGGAACTCTAATCAACGTAGAAATCACATTACGATGCAAGGATGGAATGGCAGATCCAGTTCCCAAAGTTACCACATGAATTTGATCTTTCAATGAAGTATTACTCTCCTGCACCATTTCCAAAGAAACCAACTCCTCGCTCAAAGTTTCTGCCTTGTTACTACCCAACCCCAAGGGTTCAATCTCGGAGTCATATAGCGTAGACCAAGTATCCAAGGAAATCAGTGATTCGTCTACGTGGATTTCTTCAGTACCAATCAGAAACACTTGAGCCTGTTGCAACTTGTATTTAGTGTCACCTTGAGTCGCTAATGGATGGTAAGCGTCGAAATGAGGCAAGTTGAATTTGTCCTTGACAATGCTCTTCAACAATAATGTGTTGATGGCAGAATGCTTGAAGTTTAATGTGTTGTCAGCAATTTTGGAGTGACTAATAACATGTTTGCAATCGCTTGGAAATCTACCCAAAAACGAACGATAGGCTGTTCCTTCAAAATCGATATCGTCGCCCAAAAAGTGATATACTAATTTTATTTCTTCATCCCCTCTATCTTCATCATTGATGAACCATTCTGGGGAATTGATTGTTGGCTCAAGATAATGAACATTTGGGATATCAAGAATCAACACTTTAGGGTACAGCTTTGAGGGCTCTAAAACTTGTTCAGGGGTGACAACCTGTCCTTCATCATTGGTCACAGAGAGTCCCTGGCTCAACTTTCTATAATTTAATCCTGGTTTGAGCCCTAATGCCTTTGCCTTTTGAGGGTCGAATTTACCTCGTGCTGGAAGTATTCTGATAAGATAATTAATAGACTTTTGGCTTTTGGATGGCTCAATCTCCTCTGGAGATGGGAGGCTTGTATGTGTGTGGATTTCTGTTTCTGTGGGATCAGATCTGTATGATTCAGGATCACTTGTATTGACTTTTGATGTATCCAAAGGGAACATCAACGAGGAGATTTTTTTGATTCCGTTGGATAACTTTAACGATAATGATGGGTCGTAGTCGTTGGCATCCTTTCTGGCAATGAGAATAGGTTTAATAGTAAGATTATTGTCACCGATGATGCCATGGTCTTGTGTATCATGAATTTTCAACTCCACACCTTTTCTGAAAACAAACCCTCTCCAAGTGGCAACGATATATGATAAGATCTTACTTGAGTTAGTGAATACCTCGATTCCTTTCTTGGTGCTATCACTCAAGGTTAAGAAGAATCCTGGTAATCCACCGATGTCTGACCAGGAACTGAGTGTTCCTGTCAAGAATACACTCTTAAGGTTCCCAAGCTTAATTCTGCTGGCATTGAGCATTCTCTGCGTTCCTTCTGGCACCTTCCCAAAGAAATATTTCGAACCCTCTCTGTTGGTCAACATGAGCAATGGATGACGAACATCATCGGTCTTGTGGGACACCGTCGTTATACTGATCATGGCACTGGTGTCTTGGTTATGTTCTACTAGTTTGGCAAAGTGTTCGAATCTATGAGATTCTGATCTGAAGTACGTTGGCTTGACTAGCTGAGCTAGAAATTTATCGTTTCTTGGTTTTTGGTATGACTCAGACGCCCGTTTTTTCGCCGATCCAGAGGCTTGTGGTTTTGACTTTCTTGATTTCCGTAGAAGGGATGCCACAGGTTTGTGGCACGATGCGTACTGCCGTTTTAACTGTAAAAACTGCACAATGGATACTGTAGTCGTAAAGAGCCATCGACAGAAGCGATGATATAGGCCAGGCACATGATCTGTTGCACGTGCCTCAAGTAACGTGCAATATGTCAGGTGACTAACATTTCTATCATGGCCAGAGTTGCCTCGCTATCCAGCATTTTAGTCTCTCGTGGTGTCGCAAATGATGCTCCACTGGCTGTCCGACTAGGACCTTTGCAGCCAGGAACTAAATTTAATGCCCACTATGTTCACTCGCATATCACCGCATTAATCCATTGATCTATTGCCATCATCATTCCTCGGTTCCCCGCGATAGCTAACATGACTATCGTCACGTGCAGTATCCAAGTTCACATGGGACGGAAGCATCAAAACTAGAACTGGTACACCAACTGCCAACTGACCACAGCTATGAGTGCCTCGCCTGTTGGATCGATATTGGTGCCAAGCACTTCACAGAGTGAGCTTCTTGAGACCCTTATCGAGCAGTACCACCTTACCAACAAGAAACCGTTACAACCTCATCCTACCCCTGCAACACTACTGATCCCGCTGCTAAAGTCCATCCCACTCTTGAACAAGTTTCTTCCAGGAAAAGATGAGAAGCAGCTATTGATAGAGTCCCTCCTCGAACAGCAGCGCAAATGCACAAGCTACAAGAACTGGTACCAAATATCCTTAAAGTTGGATGAGTTACTAAACAACAACTCGTGGAAGTCAAACCCAGAATCCGATTTATACGACCACAACTTAATCTTCAAAAATCTCAGCGAGATGAGAAATGCAAGACTCGCAAACGACTACAAGCTCTTGCTATATGTAATCAGAACTAAGTGGATAAGAAATTTGGGGAACATGGGAGATATAAACTTGTACCGGCATTCTTACGTGGGTACTAAAAGACTCATCGAAGAGTACATCAATGAGTGTCAAACTTCTCTCGACTACTTGATAAATGATCCTAGGGTGAATTTAGAGGATAGTTATTTGCTAGGAATGCTTATTCAAACAAGAAGAAATATAGGCAGAACAGCATTGGTGCTCTCTGGAGGTAGTACGTTTGGAATCTTTCATATTGGGGTACTCATAACTTTGCTCGAGGCCAACTTGTTACCCAGAATAATCAGTGGCTCTTCTGCGGGATCTATTGTGGCTAGTATTTTGTGCTGTCACACAAATGAGGAGACACCTGAGCTTTTGAGCGGACTAACTCAAAAAACATTCAATATTTTTGGTGAAGAAGAACCTGATTCCGACGGCGATCAGGCTCTGTGCTCCCATAGTAAGTTCAAAAGATTACTCAACAATTTGAGCCATCTCATCAAATATGGTACCTTATTCGACATGTCTGGCCTTAAGAATACTATGATCGAATTTATCGGTGACCTCACTTTCAGAGAAGCGTATAATCGGACTGGTAAAATCCTCAATATCACAGTAAGTCCTGCATCAATTCATGAACAGACCAGATTATTGAATTACTTGACTGCTCCTAATTGTTTGATTTGGTCAGCAGTTTGTGCCAGTTGTTCTTTACCTGGATTCTTCCCATCGAACTCCATTTATGAGAAAACACCACGTACGAATGAAGTGCACGAATGGAATAATGACGCTTCCATGAAATATGTGGATGGGTCCGTTGATAATGATTTACCCATCACCAGATTGTCAGAAATGTTTAATGTTGATAATATTATTGCTGTACAGGTCAATCCACATGTGGTTCCTATCCTCAAAGTTTCTGTTGGTAACATTGGTGGAGAAATTGAAAATCACTTGAGCAGTAGATTCAAGGGCTTCTTAAACAATGTTTACGATTTCATGAGTTGCGAAGTTATACATTATCTTCAGCTACTTAACGAAATGGATATCTACAAGAACCTTTCCAACAAACTTATATCAATTTTATCCCAAAATTACAGTGGTGATATCACTATATTGGCTGATTTTAAACCCTCTGACTTTGCTAAAGTGTTTGACAACCCGACTTCGGAATTTTTGCTTGAGTTTATTGTAAGAGGGGCTCGTGCTTCATGGCCAAAAGTTACCGTTATTAATAATTACTGTGGTGTTGAATTCGCGTTGGATAAAGCCATTAGTTTATTGAGGGGAAGGTTAATTACCTCAGTGCGTCACACTTCGAAACATAAAAAGAGTGTCAGTGGAGATAAGCTTATTACATTCAAGGAAGACAAAAATATCCATACACTTGTGAGTTCGCCGGTGTTGAGCAACGAAACTGGTGAGTTTGAATCCACTCCGGAAAATTTTAATAAGACTCCCCCTGCTTTTAAAAGGCACAGTACCAGCTCTGATATATTCAAGAAGAAGAATCTTCAAGCAGCTGGCAACATTTCCCAATCCAACACATGGCACCAAGGGTTTAATAAGACCAAGAAGAAGTTCACCAAGGGCAAATCGACTACCTCCTTAGCATCACTTGGCGTCCCTATTCAGTCACCCGCATCTGATGATTCTACCTTGTTGAATGACGATGACCATAAGGAAGAGCATTTCGTTAGGTCTAATTCCATGGATCAAAAGAAGTACGGAAGAAGAAATATAAAGAAAGCTAAAAGCTCTTCTAACTTCCTTGGAAATGACATATCCAAGTCTGGGTCTAAGTCTCCAATGAAAGTTAAAATCCAAAGATTTCAATCAGAAAGAGTACCTTCTCATATTGTTAATCCGTACTTAGAGTCTATGCCACTACCAGATAGTCCCAAAAAAATCTGCAATGTGGAAAACAAGGACAAGGCAAACTTTCCAAAATTGTCAGCTAACAATTCTAACAGGAACTCATTCGTTGGATTGAGCAGACTAAAGGAAAATGATTTCGTTTCGAAGAGCAGTCTAAAAGGAATAATGAGTCCAGAAAAGACTAGAATCGCAAAGCGTGGGTATCCAACAAGTTATTATTTCAACTCCATTGATAATGATGATGATCTAGTGGAGTGGGCGTTTGAGAAAGCTGTGCTGCAAATAGACAATAATGGTGATACTGACCAGTACGAAGACTACGATACAGAAGTAGATTCGAGAGACTACAACGATTTAGAGGATGAGAAAGAGGAGGATATTGAGAGAAGCAGTGAAGTCTTAGAAACGGAAAGCGACCAGAAAAGTGGCACGGAAAGGAATAAAGATGGCGAGAATGGTGATGATGAAAACCAGAACATTGAAGACGACCAAGATGACGTTGCCCAGGAAGTTGAAGATGACGCCTTAGTTGGACAGGTAGGAGATGTGGAGTATGAAACCAAAGAACTTGACACTTCTGAGAATAATTCAATACAATCTAGCTTGGGCAAGCTATACCTCAAAAGAAGCTCAAGCTCACCAGATGTCGATTATGAGGCTGACCAGGAAGTAGGATCCCCTGCTCCAAAGTGACCACAACTATTTAATTTAAACTATTCGTAAATTATCTACAGAGCAGGGCTCTGCAACAAATATTTTAATACATACCTCAAAGAGATACCTATCATATCAACATTAGGCTTAATTAACAAAAATCTATAAAAGTCTCAATCGCTACCTAATAAGCTCATTAAAATAGGAATAGTCATACCTGCAACAGAAACCAATAGTTCAATACCTGATAACTTTAAATGGCGATGAGGAGCATGCTCTTCGCTTTCACTGGAAGTTGGAGTGTACTCGGTATTCGACCCATTAGATATCCCTGTAACAACATGATTGACCACATAAAGAAAGGTACCTGCTGAAAATAGAAACAACATCCCTATGACAAATTTGTTATTAGACCCAAGGGTAGATACGATTAAGTACGTTACAATCGCAGACACTGGGGTGGACAAGGAAAAAAGGATTAGATGGACCAAAATGATGGTGGTGTTAAAGTTCTCTCTTAATAGGATTGAGGTGAAACTGAAGGCAGTAGGTAACTTGTGAATGATAATAGCAATGAAGAAGAATAGCTGGAAAGAAATATCGTCTGAGAAAAGCGAAGAACCGAGCGATATTCCATCAATCAATGCGTGAAAGATCAACCCCAAGGTGATGGAAGAATCCACTATCGACTTTAGTATGTCCAAGAAGGATACTTTATTGGCCTCAACAGTGTAGTCAAATTTCACGCTTAGGTTGAATGTGCTGAGCAATGCTGGAAGTCCGTCCACTATGTACATTAGTATAAAGCCACCAAGCAATGCGAGTCCTAAATACTTCGGAGCATTCTCGAGGTCTTCTTGGTGAAGGGATCCATATAGGGTCAGCACTCCCTCGGGTATTATAAGAACCAATGATGTGCTGATAAGAATACCCATACTAAAGATGGACATGTAATTCAATTTGGATGAGTTCATCGGGATTTTGAGAGGGATAATCCCTCCTAGGAAAGAAGAAACCCCCATGATGGACGTTAGGAGAACGAGCTGAACAAGCTTATGTACCATTGTGGGAAGTGCGGAAGGGCAGTAACTATTAGGGGTAGATCAAAGCTATTACGGATAGATTAATTTGGACAGGCTCTCTTTTCAAGCATTCGGCCTTGCTTAATCAATATTTGTTTGAGTTTATGCAGTTCGGATGTATCCGGGAATTTATTGTACAGTAGAGTAGGATGGCTTATGGGGCTCATTAATCCATGGGGTATTGCAACTACCGCGTACCATTTTGAGTCAGGTGCCGCGTCTCACCTGACCAAACACGTAAAAGCCTGGATATCAAACTGGAAAACCCTTAATGACCACCAATGGGAGATAAGTGGGGTGATCTGTTAGCAACAGACAAGCTTGAGCTTGCAGTCCTCTACTTCAAATCCAAAGAATACGAAAAGGCTCTCAAACTTTACAATGATCTCGTTCAAAACTACACAAATATATCAGTGGCATCGCTTCAAGAGCTTCGAACACAACTCTATGGGCTAACAAAAACACCCGTGGAAGGGCCTGTGATACACCCAAAGCTAGGTACTGTCTTGGACCAAAGAGCCGCTACCTATGAAAAAATGGGGCAGACTGATAGAGCATTAAAAGACGGATTTCAGCTAACCAAATTGGAACCTATTGGTTGCAAAGGCTACTTGCGAGTGGGAAAGATTCTTATGCTATTAAACAGGGAGTGGGAATCATACAAGTGGTACCAGAAAGGTGTTTCGAAAATAGAAAAGGCGATAAAAGAGCACAAGATTGAAGTTCCCCATAAACTTTTCAAAAGCTTGAAAGACAAATATTTGGAAATGAAAGAGTTGGTAGAAAGTACACAGATACCAAGTGGTAAAAATAAGGTAGAATACTCAAATCAGTCATTGGGCATGAGGAGAGAGACTACGAGCTCGGCTAACTCAAATACAGCATCAACTATTGTACGCGCATCCACCCTACCCAGTGGCTCTTCCACTACAGAAAGTCAACAAACAGGCAAAGAGAGGGCTGTCTCCTTTCAGAAATCAATATCCCGCAACAACATAACTAGCAGCCAATCGCATTCTTTTACAGTGGCAACAAGAAAGTCCTCAACAACATACCCAACGTCACAAGACTCCTTCTTTTCTAGTCCAGGCTTTAAACTAGTTCCATTAAAGAGGTCCAAATCCTCTCACCTCGAATCCAAAAGATCTCGGCAATCGATAGATCCGTTCATGCATTTTCCATCTGAGATTCTTCAGATCATCTTTCAGTTCATCCCCTTTAAACAATTACTCTCATGTCACCTTGTGTGCAAAAATTGGTATTCAAAATTGACCCAGATTCCAGTTTTATATACAAAAAAGGTCAATTTCAAAGTCCAGATAACTCTGGAGGAGTTTCTGAGTGGAGTGGCTCTATTGAAGAAAGTTCTTCGATGGACGAACCTCAAGATGCTCCATTCCTTCCGGTTAAGATCATCACTCAATTCAGCACATCTCAATAAGATCATCTCTACAATCATCACTGAGCCATCATTTTCTTTGAGATCTCTCGAGATATTTGACCCCAGCTTTAGCTTTCAGTTATTTTTATCTAAACTAATAAGATTTGGCTGGAAATTTAATAACTTGAAGTCGGTGGAAAATCTAAGGTTCGGAATAAATTCATCGATAAGACATGAAGATATCATTTTTGAACTATTCAAAAAGCTCAAAACATTTACCATATTAGTATTGTATCCGGAAATGAGTGGAAAGTTCAATGATTTAGTGAATCAAAATGATATTCGCTTCAAGAAACTATTAAGTGAAATCAAACATTCCGATTATCCATCCCTAGAATCATTAATCTTGATAAATCACCCGAAGTTGTGCAAGGATGCGCTTGGTATTTTCCCTAATTTTGAGTCTTATAATCCATATCCGATGTTCTTGAACAAGACATTTTCCAACCTCCAAGAACTTACTATCGTCTCATTTGACTTCAAGTTTCAGCTTCCTGCCTTGGGAGAGTTTTTCTTGAGATCTCCCAAGTTGAACAGACTTACATTCGAAAACAATGCCCACTTTACACTATTTGAATTCTTCCAATTATTGAAAAATTATAATCCAGAATTCAAGCTCAACAATTTAACATTTCGAGAGCTATCTAATACTGGTTCCAGTAGTTTAAATGAGTTTCAGTTGAATGACCTAAGCCAATTAAACGAGCTTGCTCTATTGGACATTAATGGATGTTCACTTTCGTGCAAAGGATTCCTAAGATTATTGAAAATTATAAACAAAAGCCGAACCATTACCTCACTACTGATAGGGAACTCCAAGTACTTGAAGTTTAAGACTGACACATTCTACAATAGAGAGGCCACTAGATCCATCTTGTCTTTATATGACTTATTGGTGGAAGTTCCAGAATTAACCCAGTTGGATTTACACAATTTGGAACTCGATAATCAGTCAATGAAGCAATTCAGTAAGGACATAAAGAGATTTGGTTATCGCAATTGCAAGTTAACTACTCTCGATATGAGCTTTTCCAAGATAGAAGGAATAGGACTAATTGATTTGTTTGAAGCCTTCCCTTCTATGATGGCGAAAAGAGAGCCTGGTTTCTATTTTGTTGTGAGCAGGCTTATAATAGATGGTATGGAGATTAGCAAAAGTACTTTAGACCTTTTGGTTAAGAATGGATACGTTGGAGAGTTAAGGAACAACTTAAATAAGCAAAGATGGCAAGAATTTGGAGTGAATTCAATGGTGGTTAGTTGATTTGGCTTTGAGTAAATATTATGGCGTTTATAGAGCATCAAGACTTTGACAACATACTTTTCGAAAATCCCAGTAGTTCTATTCGTAGCTCATCACATCCATTGAACTGTCCTCCATAAGTTACTTTCGCAGCCAAACTAATAAGGCGTGCAGAAACCAGGTTTTGAAAAATGAGATGAGCCGAACATCACCTAACAGGCACTCTATCTTGATCATACCCTACAAAAAATGGCGATTACAAGAAGCAATTTGGATACTAAGAGACCTACAAAGAAGAAGTTTCTGGATACAGATGTCAGTGAAATAGAATATCATACTGCTGACGAAATAAACGCCAAAGAGGAACCACCAAAGTCACAACCGGAACAAGATTCTGAATCCGACTCTGATTCCGATGAAGCGCCAGAGGAAGAGTCTACCAGCTCATCTAAGAAAGCCATAATAGAGAGACAAAAGCAAGAGCGTTTGGCTCAACAGAAGTTGAAGGAAGAAGAGAGAGAATTAAGAAGACAGAAGGACTTAAAATTCAAGCAACAACAAGAAGCCAAGAAGGAAAGAGAGCTTGAAAAGCTTGCAAACAAGCCCCAGGAATTACCCGAGTTTCTTCCTGATGACATTTTCGAAGCCTTGGAAGAGAAGGAACCTAAAGGAAAGCATATGAAAGCCAAGGAATTGGACGAAATGAGTCAGAAGTTGTTACGTCAGAAAATGAAAGAAGAGAAATTGCGCAAGCTTAAGGAGTCTAGGACAGGTATTTTGAAGAAAGGGCCAATAAATGTCCAGGTCCAATCGTTCAATTTGCATAAAAAGGCAGTCCCAAAAGCTGAATCTCGAATTCTTGACACCAAGGCACAGTGGTTCAACAGAAGTTCCTTAAACAAGAAATAGTGGTGGAACTGATCATCACTACAAAATCTGAAGCTGATTATGCCTTTCGAAGTCACCAGTCATTGCTGAGTTGGTGCACAATCAGCTTGATGTGACCTAGAGGTCATCTGCATTTGAGAAACAAGCGGACATCGGTCAATTAAAGCATCTAGTTTCAACTAGGACCGAAAAGAACGGCAGTACAACGTATTTGTTCGCTTAATCTACAACCTCCATATAGTTCTCTATCGTCGCTACTTCATAGTCATTCCTAATATACACGGTACTAAATAACTAGTTTTTGACCGTGGCCGGCGCCCCTCCATTGGGACATGTCCACTTGCCATCCCTTCCATGCCAATAATCTCTCTCTGAAATCATCAACTTGTTGAATGCTGAGGTCCTGTTTGGATGCAGAGGCATAATCATTGTTGGTGAAGATGGGCTTAGCTGCTGTTGCTACCTTTGGAGGCTCAGGAATGGGGCTAGAAAATGACCCAGGCAACGAACTACTAGCGCCTGATTTTAATTGTTTTACTTGCTCCTGTAGCTCGGCTATCGTGTCGTTCAAATCCATTCTAGACAATTTCAAGTCTGTATTCTCATCTCTCAACTTCTTGATAGTATTAGTCTGTTGCTCGACAGTAGCTTTGAGGGTTTCAAGTTCTGCAAGTAAGGCCGTGTTCGATTGGCTATTATCTTGTGTTCCTGTTTGAGGCTTGACTGTTTCTTTGGTGTTCTCCTTAGGAGTCTCTGTGGAAGACTTGACATCAATCTTGCTTTCTGTCTCGGATACCTCCTTTGGGGATTCTTTCTCTTCCTTCACTGCTTCCTTGATTTGTTCCTTACTTTCTTCCTTGACTTCCTCCTTGGACTCCTCTTTGGCTTCTTCCTTTGCTTCCTCCTTTGCTTCTTCCTTTGCTTCTTCCTTGTCCTCCTTCAGCGTACTCTCATTCTCACCGTTGGTCTCAGGCTTGATTTCCTTTTCTACATCTACTTCAGTAGTGTCATCGGTAACATCTTCAGTGGCTGGCGTGGCATCCTTGCTTGCCCCCTCTTCCGTATCATCTCCCTCACTGGTCTTCTTCTTGCTCTTCTTCTTCTTGTTCTTTTTCTTCTTCAATTCCTCGAATTTCTTTCTGGCAGCCTCAATTCTTTGCTCCTTGGTGTATTCGCTGTCGGATCCATTGTCTTCCACGTCAATTTCGGGTTCTTTGATGTCTGACATGATTGTTGTTAGTCAAAATTGTGTTCACACTTTACCATAAAACATTTGGTAGGAGCGCGAACCTGGCTGGGGTTGTCACGACTGTGGAGTGGTTATGATAGTGGACGCATAAAGGCTACACCATGGTCCAGATTGAACTTAGGGGAAGAGGTACTTATTGAGTCCTCCATTGATAAATAGGGATTAGTGACCCAGAGGACATTGACTCTGACCTTTTGGCTTGTCGTCAGTCCACAGTAGGCATTAAGGTGCGCAGGGATATATTTGTGGATGTTCGTATTGTAGTCAATTGCCGTATGTATATTTAGCCTTTTTAAGGTTATCGGTAAATTTCAGGCAGGCAACGTCCACCAGTTGCCGCCATGGTGTCGTTCTTCTAAGTTTGAACTCTTTAATAGGTCCATTTAGAGTTTGGTTGACGAATCTCGAAGTTTATACGAGATTTTCATTAGCTCAAAATTGGTGGCCAACCAAGAATGCGCCTGAAGAGAGGCTATGGTCCAATTTTCTAGCTTGTTTAAATCATTCCCGCTTAGCATATTCCTCGACACTTTCCACCAAGCGATATTCTGGAAGGTGACGAATTAAGTAGCTTTGTACACAAATAAAAGATGGTAATTGGAGAAGAAAGTCCTAGAGTTCCTATAGAGATTCAAACCTGGACTGCGAAAGTCGTTTACAAAAGCTATATTTTGCAGGCTCAATTCAGGCTTAAGTACTTATAAGATGATTGAATACTAGAGGAATAGGAAGAAGAATCTCTATAGAATAAAAACCACGTGTTGCTATTGTTTGAATTCGAAGCAGAGTTGTTAATTGGTGGTGACATTAGCGTGGATAAGCTTGGAGATCTCCAGACGGAAAATAGCTTGAAAGTTAGAGTTTGAGAGAGCAGATACTACACTTTATCCACGGCAGAAAAGCAGGCTACTAACTTTACGAAAGGATCAGGATTAAGGAAAAACCTGGATGGTAGTAGGGCATGGAGCAGTCTACACATCATCTAGAATTGAAGAAACATTCACCGGTTGCGAAATCCGAATTCCTTCAACACACTTCCTTGGAAACACTGGCGTGTGCAGACTATTCATGACTTCCAGTCCGTTACAATTCGGGGAAGGGCGTGTGCAGCCCAAAACTCTTACTTCAGCCTTGGTCAGGCCTGCTCGCACCTTTTTTCCCCAACAAAATGACTTCGTGGCCAAGCTGGTTAAGGCGTAAGACTGTTAATCTTGAGATCGTGAGTTCGACCCTCACCGAGGTCGTTATTTTTGCACTTTTTGCATCTTGCTACCAACAGCAACTGTGGTCCAGTTCTACATGGAGGTCCGCCTAAATTTTTTGCATCTGCCACCTACAGCAATATTGCACAATTCCCAAGCATGGGCTACGATATCTGCTTAAATCATATATTAGACTGGGCCACAAGCACAGCTTGTCGCGCCTATATTACAAGAAAACCAAGAATCACGTCGCACATAGTAGATTGTAATGCCAGGATGGATGCACAGGGATGGTCTTGTGTGGCTAGCTGGGCCCACAAGCACAGATGACGGAGGCATGGCGCCTTCACGAGTACGCCAAGTCCTTCACTCGCACCTTGGGACAGTAGGGACACATCATGTGGTCGCAGCGGTGGCAGGTGAAGCGCGTAGGCACCTTCAAGGAGATCCCGTCACGGGGTCCCGCCAAGGAGGGAACCTCCTCGAATGAGCCAGGCGATCGCACCGGGGTGTCGGTGGTATAGTTGGAGTCCACATTGGCGGTTGGAGGCGCGTGGTTGTAAATAAGCAGGCTGTAGTGCTTCAAGGACTGGAGAAGGTATTCGTTGAGGCAGTGGGGCGACTTAGCGGGGGTGGCAGGCGCGACAGGCGCGGCAGGCATGGTGGGCGTGGTGGGCGTGGCGGACATGGATGGATCTGAAGGCCTGTGGTCTCGGTAGATGATGGACCCGTAACTCTGTCCACAGGCACAGCAGTACCACTGGCAGATCTGGTTATCGCTGTAACCGTGGTGGCTGCTGGCAGGCACACTATCGACTTGGTAATTCATGAAGAACCCCAAACATCACTGGCAGCCAGCATCGGGATCCCTGGGTCAATATATATCACTTTTGTGGGTGCTGCATCGAGACGCACGCCGGGTTCTAGAACGGGCGCCAGCAAATAGACTGGGCCCGCCAGGGTTGCTACCCAAAGTTTCACTGGCAGACTAGCGCCTGCACAGGGGACTCCGAAGCGTAACAGAAGCCGGTGGGTGTCGGAACGCCGCCCTGCGTTTGCTACCGGGGACGCTGGAGGCCCTTGGTGTCAGGGGTCCAGACCGGTGCGTCTGGTGGACCTGCCCCAGGGTGTCGAGTCAGTGATGCACTGCGGGTTTGATTTGTGAGTTCGAGGCGGGCCCACGCTCGCAACGCGACCCTAGATCACTCCAACACTGCCACCACCTGGTGGCCAGTCGACCTGGGCCCAGGGCGGCCGTTGGCACACGTAAATCTCACGAGGCTCGTGGCGGTTGGTGGTGGGCCTGGCTAGGCCTGGCCCTATTGGTACGCCGCGCCAAGCCTTGATCCAACGCCTTCCCCATATTTTGTGGATTCCTCTGTGAGCACTTCGTAAATGCCACTGCATTAAGCAGATAACGTTGGAAGGCATCGTGTTTAGTGCAGCCATTGTTCTCGGGACTCGTAGTTGGTTTAGCAGAACACTCCCCGCTGGGACATGGTGGCCCCTATTGGCGCTGTCCACTGGCCACTGGCCACTGGGCGGCTGGGAGGAGCTCTGTAGTGGGGTGTGCACCAGTTCCACCACTCGAGTCATCCGTCTCCAGTCCTCCGCCAGTTATCCACACACCCTGCTTGCCAGTCATCCACACTTCCTTCTTGCCAGTCATCCGTCCATCTCCGTCTTCGCTGCATCTGCATGAATGTGAGATGAAGTCCATGCTGCAACCAAACTCTAAAGTGGACAACAGGTGACTCATGAAAGATGCCAAAGAACGTTCACAGTGGGATCATGTCCTGCTTCTGTTTTGCTCTCACCCATTCTAGAACTACTGATAAGGGTCACGCTTCCTCGCACTACTGGACGTCCAGAGTGTATTCTACTCATGCCCCTCGCACGTTGATACGTTTCTTGCTCACTTCTGGAAGTCCACCGCCTTCCCCGTTTTCCGGTCCACCACACGAGCAAAGTACTCGCATCCCACCTTGCCTTCAGCATCTCCTGGAGTCAACACCACGTCGTTGGCACTCTTGTAGAACGGGATTCCGTCGGCCATGCATCTGCGGACGTCCACATACACCAAGCAGTTGGCGTTGTACCGCACCCCCGAAATGTTGGTGAGTTTATCGGAGTTACTGGTAAAGTGGATGTGATTTCTCGTCATTCTGCGCAATCCCCCGCTTTTGTAGATCATTTCCAACTTGTTGTAGTAGGTGCCATGGAAGATCTCGTCGGGAATGGTGTCTTCGTTGAGAAGAGTCAAGTTCGAGTCTGAGACGCTCTTGATGGAGTGGCCCTGGTTGGCACAGATATAGTCGCCCTTGATGCTGAACCTTTGCTTGTCGTTGCTGGCCACAATGCGCTCCAAGTCTGCTCTCGTGGCCTTATTGGTCTTCAACCGGTTGTGGGAGAGCACGTCGTCGATCTTAACGAATCCGTCCTCGTCGATGGCCATTTTCTCCTTGAGTGCTCCGTGGCGGAGAAGATATGCAAGCGCCTTGCTGATGAGTACGTCACGTTTGGCTGGATCGGGTGAGGACATGGTATGGTGTTCTATTAACGAGTGGATCTATTTGGTGAGCGATGACTTAATTCGGGCTGCGACAACGAGAATTGTGCAACGAGCAGTTACAAGACATCAACAGGAAATGACTCATTCTAGAGCATGCTTATGGCGTGGTGTGCTACTGGAGGTATTTTCTAGTGATTTACTGGTCAGATGTAGAGTATTGGTAGTAAGGTCTCCTGGCGAATATTCCGTATTCAGACACACGTAGGAGTTAGTTGGACTTCGCTGCCATTCGTTGGGCTATTCTCATCTCTGACATCTCTCTAGTATTGGCTGGCTCCTTTGATGTCTTTTTTTGTTCCTTTGGCTGCTCCTTTGACTGCTCCTTCGGCTGTTTCTTTGACTTCTGTTATTCTATCTACATCATCTCATAACTCAGGTCACGGAATCCCTATCTGGAATCCCAGCTAACATTCATTTCTATGTACATGTCATGATGCTTCTAACTACACTTCTTGGCCTTAACACCAGCCAAGGACCCCATGTTGGCTCTACCGGCTTGCTTGATGGTTTCATTGTCACCCAACTCAGTTTTGTCATGAAATTTCAAGTAGTATCTGTCTTTGTTCCCTTCTACTCTCTTTTCGCCCTGGACGATGTTTTTGACTAAGAAAGTGCTTATTTCATTCATCTTCTTGATCTCTTCATCGATTTGTTCTTGTTCTTGTAAGCTCCTGTGGTTGTCAAAACCTTGCCTTATTTGTGTTCTTGCGGCAGACAACACTGGGATGTCGTTCTGAAAGGCAAGGCGGGTGGCCCTCAAGGCTTGCCTGTAAGCAGAAATTGCAGCAGTAGACATTGAAAGAGTTGGCTTTGATTTACAAATTTTGATATGGGGTGGTACTGTTGCACGTTAGCTTGCGAGTTTTGCAGATTAGACTCAAATGATGGATTACAGGTTGGACCTAGCTTTTCTACATGTTTTACTTTCATCCAATACCGACTAAGGAAAAGTAATACATTCCGCTACGGAGAGTCTTGTACAGTTTGACGAGATTGTGGATAGTGTAAGAGTCTTGTATTTATGCCTAAATTACCAACTTTTCAATGGAGTAGTTTGGAATCTTCTTCGAGATTGGGTTGTCCAACAATCTTCTGTTTGAAGTATTGTTATTAATCGTCAAAATGGATTCCAATTGAGAGTTGTGATGGGTAGAAATGATATCATTCTTGGACTTCTTTTTCTTCGATGGCTTTCTTGGAGTGTCAACTGGGGCATTGATTAATAAAGCTTGATTGGTCAATGTCAAATTGTAGCTGTTGTCAACCAAAGCAGACACCTTGCTCTCTATAAGCTCGCTCAACGATTCAATGGTGCTGAGAGACCAGTTGAAGAGCCCACCAACATCAATCACCAATTCGATAAAATACCAACTGTTGTTGTTATGCTTCACCTTTAATAACCTGTTCAAAAGATTATCCAAGTTTATGACGTTTCCTGAATCCCTCTTCTCTTGATTCTCTATTAATTGCTTGAACTTGTTGGTGATATCATTTACCGAAAATTCACCAATGATCCTGTTGATCAAATCTTCAAAAATGTTCCCAGGAGTACTCTCGTCCACATCATGTTGGTATTTGCTGTTTAATAATTGAGTCAAAAGCTCAACAACGGATAAGTTAGGACAAGTAATCACCGCTTGCCTCAAACATGTGAATTGGTTGGCCTCATCCAATAATTTTAATAAACCGTTAGTGTATTCGATAGGGAAGATTGGGTTGGTCAACAAGTAGATCAAGGTATATTCTGGAATAAAGTCATTGGATTTGAATTGGACCAGCCCATTGCTGTTGATATCAAAAATCAAGCCCAATACCTTCTGAATAAAGTTACAATCAACAGTTCTATCATTTTCAATATCAAATTCTTGAAAGTTGTAAACTTTGTTGTTCTTGGTCTTCTTTAATCCTGACTTGATTGAATCCCATGACTCGTTTTTCAAGTAAGGCACCAAGATTCTTTCCCATTGATTAACATCTCCCTTTCTGGTTATGTTACTCAAGGTCAGGTAGATTTCGTTCAATTCATTGGTTAATGCGGTTAACGGAGTCTCAATCTCATCTTCGATCAAGTTGACCAAACCTTGGAACGATTTCTTCTCGCTCTTTTCAATGCTCTTACCCAAGCACTCGTTTAGCTTGTTCAATCCGACGTTGATGTTGATTACATTTAAGTCGACGTTGTTTTCCTTCGCTTTTGAATTCAAGTAACAAATCATAGATCTTGAGGTCCTGACAGAGTTACCTTTGACAGAGACAACCTGGTTGACCATGACTTTGTTGGATGAAGTATCTGATTCGAATGTATCAAGCAAACTCTCATACCTGAAGTTGATTAAGTGGATTTTGTTATCAATTGATAACACCAACCTTTCAGGACTTGGTGAGCATAAAGATACAGTGGAGCCCTTTTCGGCACCTAAAGATTTGATACTGATACTCTTGACAGAAGAGAAGTTTACTATCGAGACAGATTCGATCAGTTGTGCTTCCAGGTTTAATTGATAAATGTGGCCAGAGTTGTATGTAAACCTCAAATCACCCTTAACCTTTGGATTAGACTTGGAATTAATTTCAAACAAATTGGTCTGGAAGTTGAGGGATATTAATTTGTAGTGAAGACTATCTTTAGATTCAAAAACCATTAATAATAACTCCTTGTTACCACCTGCTTGGATTGCGTTACTTATTTCAATATCGTTGATGAATTCGTAGTACACCAACTTTTCCTTGGCCAAACCACTTGAGACATGGTTGAATGACTTGGAAGTATTTATTAACTCGTCGTTTTCTTCTTTGATCAACTCTATATTTCCGTTTTCAAAGATAACCAAGATGAATGATCCTTCGTTAAAAAACTTGACTCCCTGAATCTTATGAGAAACCTTAAGTTCCATGGTTTTGATTTTGTTTTGTCCCTGCTCATTTTCTTGTATTTGGTCTCCTCTTTCCAACACCATAAGCTTGTGCTTCTTACGATTGGTTATACCTATGGCATACAACTTGGTGTTGTTTTGAGAAGCTTCTGCAACATCCATACAGTCGACAATGCTGGTGGGGCTTAATGCAAATGACCATATCAATTTTGGGGTAGGTTTGATAATATAGCTGGAGATGATGGATTTGGAGATACCAATGTCGATGACGGTAGAGTCGATAGAATTGATTTTAGGGATGACAACTTTGGATGAAAGGGCTAGGTCGGGGATCCTAGGAAGGGTCAAGAGGGGGTACAGCTCCTCGAAGGATGGGTTCGTCGAGTTCATGGTACTGGTGATGGAGGTGAGTTATGTTAAGTCTCGAAAATTTTGTAGAGGCATCGCAGTAACTTGGTCACGTGCGAGATGAGCGAACTGGATACTGTTGCAGCTGGGAGCTGGGAGGGGTCGATTAACTCAGAAGACTAACGGTTTGCTGAGTGACAGTGAAAGAGAGCATCTTGTGGAGTTTATGCTTTAGTATAAGGATCAATTTTTACACAGAATAGATGTAATATTTTGTAGCACTTTGGTTGTACAACCGCTTTAGACAGGGTTTGAAAATCAAACATCCTTACTTCCAAGTGAACATAACATACTTCCATTGTGGTTGTTCTTGGGTTTTACAGCTCCTTAGGCACGTATGGAATGAGGTTGTATGTGTGATAAATAATTTTGTGGCATTCTTGCATTAAAGGAAGAAAGTTCGTATTATGCGACTAACCAGAAATGCTGATAATTTTCGTACAAGTGATTAGGAGACAATCGGCAGAATTCCTGGAAATGCCCAAGAATTACCTTTCAAAACTATAGGCCATAGAGACTAGACTACGTCTGAACTACAATTGAAATAGTCTTTCATTCGTGCAAAACGTTCCAAAGGAGTATTCCTGTAACTACTAGTAGATTTAAAATCTCTTCGTACTTGGCCTGGCATCGCCGAAATGGTGACACATGCCAGAGCATTCGCTACCACAACTGGGCTAGATGTGGCACAACGCCCTTCCGCCCCTTTGCCATCCGTCCAGTTTGTGTAAGTAGTTACGGAAATCACAAACCCTTCGGATGTACGCTGTCGCACCTTATCAGTCCGAGATGAAAAACATGCGCGCACAAATAATATCGCACCGCCACTGGATGTCACATACGAAAGTCAGTCTATTAATACCGCTTCACACGTTTAGGAAGGGGAAGGGCGTTAGGAAAGGAGAACACTTGAGTATCATCCACGCATCAAGCCAGAGCTATTTGTCTACGCAATTCTAATTGTTCTCTATCCATTCTAATATACATCTCTATAAGTTACCTAAACAGTTTGCAAAAATTCATCGTTGGCGTAGTGGTAGTCCTTAACCACAACCTTGAACTCTTCGGTGTCTGGGTTGTAGGACTCAATGCTGAACGAACTCAAGTCGTCGACCACGATATCGGCACCAGACTTTCTGACCTTTTCTGGGTCATAAGTGGAGCAGATACCAACAATAAAGGCGCCCGCACCCTTACCGGCAGTGATACCAGCAGGGGCATCTTCGAAAACAACAACCTTCTTGTGAGCAGCTTCACAGCCTAAGGTGTTTCTGGCGGATTGGTAACCCTGAGGGTGTGGCTTACCCTTGGTGACCTTCTCAGCGGTGATGAAGCAGTCTGGCTTCTCGATGGTCAACAACTTCAACCACTTGGTAGCTAATGGCAAGGTACCGGAGGTGACAATAGCCCATTTCTGCTTACCGTCGGCAGTTTGGGTCTTGGAGAAGTGGTCGAAAGACTTGACCAACTCCACAGCTCCCTTGATGGGCTTGGCGTATTGGCCAAAGGAGTCTGGAATGGACCCTTCCCATTCAGTAACTTGTTCTTCGATGGCATCTTCTGGAGACCACTTGGCGATGACATCGAAAGTACGGCATCCGTGGGAGGTTCTGATGATTTCGTCTGGGTTAACGTGAGGTCTGGTCTTACCGAAATCTCTCCAGAACTCGGAAATGGCTCCGGTGGAGTTGACTAAGGTACCGTCACAGTCGAATAAGGCGGCGTTAACGTAGAAGACAGCTGGTTGTTTTTGGACAGTCATGATTGGTATTGATGATAATTAACAAGGCCAATTGGGCCGGGGGATGGACGGTTTATATACACCTATCGAGAAAAAGAAACACCGGCCGACACAACTCGAAACAGCCATCCGAATCTACACACGCATTGGGTTATCACCAGATGGCCTCCTGCATGCAGCTGACGCATTGTCGATTGATTGGGAAAAGAAACGAGCCAGGACGGTTGTGAGACGAGCCCAGGTGCCAGAAAAAGGAATTCGGGTCAGCTGACGTTGTATTGGACACGTCTTCTGGCGATGGCAAGATGCGATGGCAGCCAGCCGTGCGATCTGGCGATTCAAGCGCACTTCCTATTGGTCCAGGCCAGATGGCCCTCACCACTGGCGAGTTGCACGAGGTGCTGCTGCTACGTCATAGCAGCCAAGGCATAATGGCTGGGTGGCTTTGTGGCCTCAATCTCACGTGGTAGCCAGGCCTTAGGATGCTTTCGGATCAGCCTGGGCCCGGCACTACGTCATAGCGGCGACGGCATAATAGCCCGTGCGCTTTGTGGTGCAAAACTCACGTGGCATTATCAGCCCGTTACGTCATAGTGTTTTGTGTCTGTTACCTATTATAACAATTCATGTTTCACCTATCGAAATGTACAGAAAACGGTCGAATTGGTGTCGGATAAACAGGAAGGAAGGACCCGGATCTGCCCCTCCATGGTGACCCCTCTGCAAGGAGGCTTGTCGTGTGTTTTCACGTCTTCCTCGGCTTGTCTACGGGCGCCAGACCACTGAGTCCTCGTGTAACCTTTCCGTTTCTATCCCCTATAGGTTCCGCCGCAACACGCCAGGGGGACCGTGAATCACTGGCCACCGCGTTGTCTTGGTTTTAATGGCCCTGCCCTCGTCATAATGCATATCTGCGTTGATCCTGCCGGCAAATGAGCCTAAAAATGCTACATTTGACTACGACTGTAAACAATATCCCTAATGACATCACTGGGATAAGGTTGTGAAGTTTGGCCTCAAACTATCCTCGTTTTCATCTGGGTTTGGCCTACTTGCATGTGTTTCGTATTCATAACCACAATACACGATGCTCCCATGGTTAGTATAGTGAAGCACATGAAATTAACGGGTCTAGATCGGTTGGTCGACAGGTACTACGTCTCGTTGCAACAAAGCACATATACGTTAGCTCTTGGTTAGTAAACGCAGGGATTGACTGGATGTAGTAGCCATGTCGCGGCGATCGGAATTAATGTCGCGCTCCATCGGATCTGATACCACGACATCGACTCCACACGATGGCAACACCAATTCATGTCCACGGAAACCCCAGAGTATGTCATAAATATCCCGTCAGACGACGAAGGTGACGAGAACGACGTTGAGATCGTGGAGTTCCGCGAACAGACGAAGAAACTCTTGGATAACCCCCAGAATGAGCTCCCCCTCCATACCACCAAGAAGTTGACCGATATCCAATGTCCCATCTGCTTTGATGATATCACCATGGCCACTACCACATCCTGTGGCCATGTTTTTTGCCTCGACTGCATTCTGCAAAGCATTTCCAGCTCACATGCCAGGGGACAGGTCAGGGGACGAAGAGGTATAGGATTGTGCCCTCTTTGCCGGAAGTCAGTTACCTTCAAAGATACCGTTTTACTTCGGATGAAAACAGTGGCTACGGCCACCAAGCCAGAATTGCCTCCAAGAGAAGAAGAGAACATCAAGATTGGGCTAGAAACAGCGGAAGAGGAAGATGAAGCTACCGCGAGGAAGAAGCGCAAGACGGGCTGACCGATGGCCATGGTAGAATAGAATTTAGATAGGTCAAACAGTCCATGACAAGATGGTACACTCTAAACACGACCTGAACTCAGAGGGGGCAGTTGGGTAACGAAAAACCCGACATTCAGGATGCATGGTAGCTACTTTCACCGATAAACAACTTGGTTAGTAGCCAATAGCTTTCAAAGTACCCCACTGTCTAAACCATCCATCATATACAATACAATGGAGCGCAAATGTATACCTAGGGAGTACATCTTTTCCCTAAGATTCTGCTTACAGAATGTTATACATTAAACGGAATTAGAGGAGGACAATACGTCCAATAATGCCCTCCGTTGCCTGGCACCATAGTTACATAGACAATATTCGCTCTCTATACATTCACATACAATACAATCCTCGCTGATTAGCTACCACATGTAAGTGGATGCCCCCACGAGTAACGCACGGCAAGCCCCTGCATTGAACTCGTTTTCTTTTACGGCTCGCTGTTGTATACCAAAGATAAGTATTGCACACAGATCAGAGATCCGCAGCAGTTCACAAAGTCAGAGCTCAAACCAAACTCTCACAGTTTCATTTACCCCCATTCTGGTGCTATTGGAATAAGGAGTACAATACTAATCAAGGAGAAAAAAGCCGGTTTAGTTATGAATATGCTATTTCAGATGCAAAAGATTTTGCTTTGCAATTTAGGGCAATCACGTCATTCCACTGCTACTATTTATTCCATAATACTCGAAAATAGGAGCTATGGTAAGAGGCGAAGCATCAAATTGTACATTGTGGGTCTTCTTTGGGCTAATAGGATCTGCAATCGTTTATATTAATGTAGAAGAGGGCCAGGATACAGTTCTTTAACAGTTATAATTCCCATGATAGAGTAATTCCTGAAAACTGATCCATTAATATGGCTTTTTATTGAAAAAAGTGACTAATGCTACACTTTTTAAAGCTCGTTGCATGTCAGGTTGTGGATATTGAAATTCTTGATATGTCCTATGGGGGTCTAGACATCTAGGCTGCCAAGTTTGTTTTGCAAAGAAACGCTGTAATCTGTTCTCCGGTACAAGCCAAGTTGACAGTTAAGTGGCAAGCGTTAACCATTTTCGGAGTATTGATGTATGGGTGTTGATCAGAATGTGGTAGGGCTAACTGGAATATTTCTTGTAACAGAATAAACTTAGATTTTGTGCATGGAGTTTTAATGGTAATGCGTCACTAGGGAATGCCTAATTCTCGTACATTGTCTATTAAAGTTCTTCACAAAATCCTTAATCTCGAATAACTAATATTATCCTGAGCTCAATTGACCCATATTAGGGAAATCTTTACTCGGCTATATTTCTTCACCTCTGATCACTCTAGTTAAATACTTGGGTATCAGAGTATATAGAGCTATTCTTCTTCTTACCTGTGTATGAAAATTCATTCATTTCCAGTCGGGTTCTAAGTAATACCGTATTCTAAGTGATATTACGTAATAAATTACTTAATGTTCAAAAATTACTGTATGATTTTACAGCCCTGTCACAATCACATGATCTGGCAACTTGTCCGAGTGGTTAAGGAGAAAGATTAGAAATCTTTTGGGCTTTGCCCGCGCAGGTTCGAATCCTGCAGTTGTCGTTATTTTTTGTATGTAGCGAGCTTTGATGAGTCTTTGGATCCATTGTACCAACTGTACCAGAAAACACATCGATTTGTGCGGTTACCTAATACCTTAGAATGTTGCGTCACACATTAAAGGACGATAAATGTGAAGTAAATACTGCGTTGAAAAGTTACGACTTTGTGCAAGTTCATTATATTAGAAGATTATACTTTTGCTTTATACTCTATATACCCAAGTATCACAAGTATAAGCCCTCAAGATTTTCTTCAACCTTGTTCTTGAGCACTCTCTCCTTAGCTTGTTTAAAGTCATCGGCTTTGACCTGCATTCTTCTTTCTCTTAATGCCAATAAACCGGCTTCAGTACATAAAGCCTTGATGTCTGCTCCAGATAAGTCATCCTTGGAAGTAACTAATTCTTCCAAGTTGACATCATCAGCCAAACTCATCTTGGATGTGTGGATGGTCAAGATCTTCTTCTTGGTGTTCGAGTCTGGATTCTCGAACAAGATCTTACGATCTATTCTGCCCGGTCTAATCAAAGCAGGATCTAAAGACTCGATCTTGTTTGTGGCCATAATAACCTTGATGTCTCCTCTATCATCGAACCCATCCAACTGGTTCAAAAGTTCCAACATGGTTCTTTGAATTTCTCTTTCACCACCCGATGATGATTCGTATCTCTTGGTACCAATAGCATCAATTTCATCGATGAAAACAATAGATGGTGCATGCTCGGCTGCTATCTGGAAAATTTGTCTACACAATCTAGGTCCATCACCCAAATACTTTTGAATCAATTCCGAACCCACAATTCTTAAGAAAGTAGCACTGGTTTGATTGGCAACAGCCTTGGCCAATAATGTCTTACCAGTACCTGGGGCACCGTACAATATGACACCCTTTGGAGGCTTAATACCCATCTCTTCATACAATTCAGGATGAGTCAAAGGAAGTTCAACAGCTTCCTTGATTTCTTGAATTTGTGCTTCTAAACCACCAATGTCGGCATATGATTCGGTAGGCGATTTGTCAAGCTTCATAACGGAAACCATGGGGTCTGCATCATCTTGTAAAACACCCACAACGGATACGGTCTTGTGATGTAAAAGAACAGAACAACCTGGCTCCAATAATCCTTTATCAACAAATGACATGATACTTACGTAGTATTCAGATCCTGCAGTACTGGAAACAATGGCATGATCGTCATCGATAATCTCTTCCAAGGTACCAATTGACATTGGGTAACCTCTTAATTCATCCACCTTCTCTCGTTCTTCAACCTGTTTAGCTTCTGTGGGTTGGAAGTTTTCTTGGTTGGTCACAAATTCCTCTTCCAATAACAAGTGATCTTTAATTCTTTCCAACTTTAACAATTTCAACTTGCATCTGGTGTTAGGATATACGCTGGGCAATTTGACTGCTGTATCTGGCCCCTTTCTTCTCTTCTTACCGAATTTGGATTCCACTGGAGGTTCGTACTTTGGCTTCTCCTTCTTTTTGTCATCTTTCTTCTTGTTCAAGTCGCCTCCTGGCATTCCAGATGGACCTTGACCCTAGAGTAGTTAGTATAGTTCGATTGACATCAGAATTCATGCAACATACCATTTTGATGTAGTTGATAGATTGGTGTGGTCGATTTGGCGTTCGCCACCGATATATCGACGCTCGCGTGATGGATATCACGTGCGCAGATATATATGGAAGGATAACCAGAGGAACAAAATTGGAGAGCATGTCATGGGTGCCGAAAAAGTGGTTCGAACATACTGGCAACTAACAGAGGTTTAGAGATCCAATTTGCAGTTTTGTTGGGTGCAGAGGTGGAAAACGACAAATTAAACTAAATTTGGAGGGAGTGGTGGTGTTGATGCGTTTTAGGCCATAATCAAATGGACTAGCACAAACTGAGAGTTTTTGTTACATACATAGGATTGCTGAACCGATTAGACACATTAACTGGTAGGTCCTTTCAGAAACGGTTTGGGTTTAAATGGTAATTATTGACTGAGTGGACTACTGATCAAATCTAATGTATTGAAACTAGTACCCCCGTCTGCATACTCTTGAAGACTAATTTATGTATACTGTATAGCTGTCTTGGTTTTGAGTAGATAAATTCAACAACGCGCTTGGTCTCAATTTGAACAAAGCCCTTACATTTGAACCAAATCTTTAGGCTGAATTGGGTTTATAAAGGGGTTGAGAACCGATGCTATTGTTACTCAAAGTATAAGCAATAAATGGCATGTAAGAGGCAAGACCGTGATATCAGTGAATAGCCAGCTGTTCCTCTTCAATAAATTTTACACGCGGTTTCATAAAGAATCATCGGGTCTCTTCACAGTGTAGGTTCATCTCGCAATTGAAAGTATGGGACCTCCCCAAACATAAATACTAGAAATGAACTCATCCTTTCATTGCGCTTAGGCAAGCCTGTAGTTCCATTTGTAGGCTGAATCCAATTGCTCCCTTCACCGCCCCATTTTCTCGCAGCCGTTTCAGCTCCTCCCCTCCTGGCTCACTCCTACATACTCACAAAAAAACTAAATCATCATCTCCGTACAACCACTATGAGCTCCCATAAGCCACGGTTAAAGGACAAACCGTTCAATTCGATCAGCATAAACAAACGAAAACAGGGCGGAGGAGCAAAGCCCATCAGTACCTTAACAAAAAAGATTGAAGCCCAGGATCATGATATACTAAGAGCTCAAAGACTCCGTGAAGAGCTCGAGCAGACTGGGGGGAAGAGCCGTACAAACCAATCCGAGATCCCATGGAACAACCTGTCACCTAGCAAGGACCCTGTTCTGACCCCCAAGTCTCCTAATATCACACATGCAGCCCAAACAAACCCCAAACCCCATACAGACGTGTTCAAGTTCGAACTCAGATCCCTCCTTCATAACAGCAAGCTTTACAAATCGGTGGGATTTGCTAGTTTGAATCTTCAGATAGACTCAGATGACACAATATACTTTACCCTCAATGACAAGCTCATCAATGACACATCTGTATTGAAAGAAACGATTTCCCAGTTCTTCTTCTGTGATTACTCGGTCCTCATACGCTTCAAAGACGGCGGCTTTGCAGTAGCCAAGCACGGAGGCAGGGACTCGGACTTACGGCAGTACTTCAAAGATAAACCAGATTGGAATATTGACACCAGTGTGACTTTGGAAAAGGAACAATTGCACAAATTCCTCAAATCCAAGAAGCAAGAAAGACAAGAATTCTCGAACCCGTTGGATAACATTCGAAGAATATCTCCTTCCAAAATGTATGGCAAAGAAGAAAGCGGCCGAGCCACCAGATCGAAAACAAAAGAATCTAGAGGTTCCTCTTGGGAACCAATAAGTCTTGACAGAGACGGCGAAGAAGAAGACTTGATCACCAAACCAAGAGAGGTTCCATCGGCGTTCTCACCAGACTTAAAGCATAAATTTAGATCAAACAAAACATTCACTATTGGCTATTCTGATTTCAAAACTCTTTTCAACAACGACTGGATCAACGACTCGGTGATTGACTTCTTCATTGAATACGAGATTGATAACGCTACATATGGAAGCAAAATACTCGACCCTAGTCTGATATATGCATTTAACTCATTTTTCTTTACAAAACTCATTACGGCGGGAGAGGGGGAAGTGGATTACTACGGAAACATCAAACGGTGGGTGAGCAAATTAGATCTTCTCCAATATCCATATATTATAATGCCAATTAACGAAAATGCTCATTGGTACTGTTGCATTATCAGAGGCTTGCCATTGCTTAAAGAGCAGTCCAAATCTGAAGACAGTGCAGAGTCAGAACTTTTGAAACAAAAATTACAGAAAGCTCTTCAAGTACCAGACAGTCAAGAAAAGTTTGACAAGTTCAATATTTCCGATGATAATATTGGAGAAGAAACAGACGAGACAGAAGAGGTTAGCTCCGAATCTCTGGACGCTAAGAAACACACTAAACAAGTGGACATATTTGTGTTAGATTCTCTCAGTCAAAGACACAGCAATATCAGTTGGCCACTCAAAAAATTCATAATTGATTACAGTCAAGACAAGTATGGCATTGAGGTCCACAAGAATCAAATCCGCGTCCTGACAGCACGAGTTCCAAAGCAGAACAACTTCAATGATTGTGGCATCCATGTGATCTACAATATCCGTAAATGGCTCAATAACATACCAGAATGTGAGAAGATATGGAGAGGCTCTTACCTGAAGCATGCAATGAGAACTATGTTCGTGGCTGAGGAAAGGAACGGAATGAGAAACCAGCTCAAGGATATTTTGTTAAAATTGCATAAGGAGCAAAGGGTTGATGAGAAGAATGTCGAGCACGATGATGCTGATGATGACGACATTGAGGTAATAGAAGACCCTTCTCAAACTCCTACACCAGCAGCTGGATCCAGAAGTGCAAGTCCAGTTAAGCAGTCGAGGCCTTCTACCCCTGTTCCCGAAACTCCAACCAGAGTGGACCAAAAGTCTCTAGCAACATCTCTGCCGGCAAGAACGCTCGATCCAAAGGTCCAGCTGGGGGAAATCTTGATAAATGAGTCTTTGAACCGTAAGTTAGCAGGATATGCATTAAAGCCCTACATAGTGGAAATGTTGAACGAACTCTTCAGGAAAAAAAACATGGAGTTGAGTTCTGCTAAACTTACCTTGGTGACTGAGTTAGTGAAGAACATCAATAGCTTGCATCAACTCGACCCTCGAGTGAAAAGTTACTGCAACGAGTTTGATTCCAAGTATCAGCAGTTGTCCAGTACATCGGAAGAAAGTCAGAGGCCCAAAAACCAACCGTTCAAGATCGAACATCAAGAGCTGGACCTTTCTTCCAACCACGAGGTGAGCGAAATTCTTGATTATTCATCAGAAAATCCTACAATGTTGGAGGACTCTGATGGAATCAATCAGAGCGTCGATGGAGTATCACAATTACATATTACCAACCGTAATACGGTTAGTAGCCCTCTGAGCAAGGGATCTCCTCGAGGAAGACAATTTGGGTCCATAAACTTAGGAAGAAAGAGCGACCCATACCAAAGTCCTGTGGGCTCTCCCATGAAGGTCAACAGCGACAGTAGCCAGCCATCAAGATCTCCTTCCAAGAGAAGAAAGATACACTGACGATGGTGGCTTTTTAGGGCTTCGAAAACTGTTTCAGCCTATCTGCATTATAGCATAGCATCAAATGCTAGTCAATTCAATGATGATGACACCATTGCTACTAGCTGGCCGAGATAAGCCATTATAGAACTAAATAGCTATTAGCCTCAACTTGATAAGTGGTGGTGAAATAATTAAAATTGGTAGCATAGAAATAAAGTAGCTAAAACCATAATCGGAACACCAGAAAACTAGTCTCCTGACAAATAATTACAAGCGGTCGACATCGAATGGAAAGATTTTTGGAGTCTCTCAGTCTGATAATACCGATGTACAAATAATGGATTGCAAAAAAGGGTATCGGAGATAAAGAAAATCTACCTACTTGAAGCTCAACATTGCGTAGTTCTTGACTTACTCAATTGAGACATATTCTACAGGTGTTGGGTTCTCAATCCTGCGGCCCTCATGGTGATGAAGCCAGCACTTTGAGGTGGAAATTACAGATTTCCTCCGGCGGAAGTGCTACCGCTAGATATCTCACTCATACGTAGCACCGCGTGTTCCAGCGAGAGTCTGGCTAAAGTAAGCAGGCTCTCGCTAGAGTCTCGCGAGCGTCGCACTGTTTAGCGAGCCACGCCAACCAGACCTCCGCGCGGATCGGTTATTTATCTATCACAAGCGCGAGCTAAACTCACCATAACAATGTCTGGTTCCTCTGCGGCGTCTCCCAACACTCCCAAGACTGGGTCTAATATCGACCCATTGGACGACCCTGTGGCCAAGCACAGACTATCGTTTGACTTTTCCGATTCCGTCTCTACCATTTCCATTTTCAGGCAGTATGAGACGTACTCGTCACCACAAATGAACGAAGCGTCTGATCTATTCACTCTTAACCCCAATGGGTCAGAAATCATCCGAACCAAGTTGGGAGAAGTCTTGGTAACAAACGCTGGCGACGAAAGGTACGAGTTTTGGAGACAGGTGATCGAAGACTACGCCCAATTCATATCCAAGACCCGTACTGTGGAGTTGGAGCTGCGTGTTATCGAAGGCATTCCAGACGATTTGAGAGAATTGGTGTACGCCAAGGTGTTGCAGATCAGATACAGGTTCAACAACAAAGAAAGCTATCAAAACCTCGTCAAGAGAGCCCGCCAATCCACCAGCAATAAGAGTCAAGAAAGCTACATTGACAGACTTGCGGTTGATTCCAGCCTCAAGGAGGTTCTCAAGACATTCAGCTTCTACATTAACGAAATTGTGGGGGTCAGCAATAGACTAGAGGTCGATGGCTCAGGAACATTTGCCAACGACAGCAATGAAAAGCTTCCTCCCAACAGTTTCGTGATCCACGTCAGTAAGCTACTTGAGAACCTTGGCGGCATGGAAAAGCAGGACACCCTCTTTCTATTATTGAAGTTGAATCGTCTCTTCACCAACTTGATCAAGGAGGAATTCTTTTACAAAGTCAACCGTTCCTTGGAAGATTTAGTTCCCGAAGCATTCACACACACTAGTGTTCAGGGAATTAACCTTGTGACTTTGTACAAATCTATCTTGTTCAACTTCTTTAACACAAAGATTGACGATAGCCAGGTTTTGCTCAAGGTCTTGGACTTCGTCATTATCGAGGGGTTTGACTTCGTGTTGAGGTTGGTATTGTGGGCATTCGACAAGAATAAAGACAAAATACTTCAATTGAAGGGCGATGAATTGAATGAGTTCCTCAATTCCAAGAGCTTTTTTAGCTTGGATTTCCAATGGATTGACATAATTAACCAACAGCCCCAGATCGTCAAGTACGAGAACGAGTACCATTTGATCCATGCCAACTCATTGAATAACAATAACAATGAACTACGGAACTTGCGGGAGGTCAACGACGATTTGGTCATCAAGATCAATGAGATTAACCACCAGTTAGACAACTTGCAAACTACACACTCCGAGATCTTGGACCAGAGCGAGTCGTTTCAGGGGCAACTAGACGAGGCCTTGGCCCGCAACGAACAGTTGGGTGAGCTCAAGGCACAGCTTCAGGCCAAATATGAAGGCTTGACCATGAAGGAGAATTTGAAAAACACCATCAAGGCCAACAAGGAATTTTCTGAGAGAAACCGGGACTTAGAGCTCCAGATTGAAGCGTTGAAAAAGCTGATCGAGGAGAAAAGGCTCAAGGTGGCCAAGGTGGCCGGAAACTAGGTACATAGCGAATGGGATACGTCAGAGAGGTAGTGTAGCGGTGTCATCGGAACTGAGAGGTGGGTGGAGATGCGTTCTACGAACTAGTGAAAATTGAAGGAGAGTTTCTAAATTCAGATCGCCATTCACGACCTCTCTAAGGAAGTTGCAGATAGAGTATTCTAGACCACCAAACGCTCTGAAATAGGTCTAAGGTATGAAATTTAAGTGACTGTCTTAAGACAATCAGACAATTAAAGCTACTGAAAACTAGTTTTGGATTAGTTTGCTAGCTGAAAGACGTCGCTGATGGAGTAACCCACTGAACACTGATAGCAACTACTACTACACTCGAGGTGCCTTCTGGGGGTCTGAGAATTCTAGACAATTAAACCTGAACCTAATGAGTACTAGTGAAATATTACTAAAGTTGGGTCTTTCTTAAGGGTTTTGCTGAAGTGGTATTCCAGATCGGTGATAGTTGCTTGCGCAGTACAGATCATGCTACATTTGGGTGCTTTCATAAGGTTTCTGATAGAACAAGGAATTCTACTGGACTAGTGGGAAGACTACTCCATTTTCGGTTCTTTTTAAGGATGTAGCAGGTAGAAATTTCTAGACCAGTGACGTAAATGATGAATAGTAGTTTCAGCGCCTAAATGAGATATTAGTGAAATCATATGCATAAATTCATCAAGTACAATTAGTTAACATAATAATAATCATTACCATGCTGAAGAGCTCACAGTATTTGTATTTGTAGTCGCCCAAAAATCCCCAAATTGCTAAATAGTATAATGTGACACAAGCAAAACTGGTAGAATTTGCCCATTTGCCGTGAAGTAGCCCGCACATGTAATAAATCCCGACATACCCGCCATGGACTGACGATCCTACTGGTGGCGTGGGGTAGACTAGCGGGTCTCACGTGCCATGCACAGCCTTTGAGGAAGTAGACTAGCTACTACGCCTGAACACGGTCCATTCCCCGTCCACTGGTAGGCTGCTTCGTGTCTTACCAGCCCCTAGGTCCATTTGCCAGTCCCAATCTTCTCGCAAACCCTCCCGCACCACGCCACTGCATCTCACCGATATAGCGACACTTGTGCGCGCTCATCCCTACAATTACCGACTACACCACCATCATGGACTTGGAAGTTAGCAACTCTTACCACCAGCAGGGTGTAGGCATTGTGGGCGCAGGGCTCGTCGGGTGCCTTGCGGCATTGGCCTTCAACGCCAAGGGCTTCTCAGTGACCCTCTTCGAGTACAGAGATGACCCCTCCAAAACCAAGAACGACAATCTCAGATCAATCAACTTGGCGGTTAGCGCCAGAGGCATCCGGGCGTTGAAGTATGTGGACGAAGAGATGGCCGAGCGCATCTTGGAGCACATCATCCCCATGAAGGGCCGGATGATCCACGATCTTGACGGCAACCAGACGTCCCAGTTGTACGGGTTGTTTGGCGAGGCCATCAACTCCATCGACAGATCCTTTCTCAACGAGTGTCTCCTTGAAGAGATCCGCCATACCGACATCAAGGTGTTGTTCAACCACAAGTTGGTGGCATTTGAGAAGAACCATGGCGAAGACCAGACCCCCAAAATGACATTCATTGACACCTCTGAAGGCGATGCTGCCTCGAAGACCTTCGAGTTCGACTATATCGTGGGTGCTGACGGTGCTCACTCACAGTTCAGAACCCAGCTCCAGCGGACTATGAGAATGAACTATTCCCAAGAGTACATCGACATGCAATACATCGAGCTCTACATCCCACCCAGCGAGTCGGCCAAAGACGACAGCAAGTTTCTTCTCAACCCTAACCACCTCCACATCTGGCCCAGAACCAACCATATGCTTATTGCCCTTGCCAACAAGGACGGCTCCTTCACATGTACATTTTTCAGCCCCTGGTCGGTCATCGAGGGGATCACCTCCACCGAACAATGGATCAGCTTCTTCAAGAAAAACTTTAAGGATGCCTACGATCTCATCGGCGAAGCGAGATTGGCCACCGTGTATGAGACGCACCCTAGGGGCTCTCTACTTCAGGTCAATGTTTATCCCTACCATAGTCCGGACGGAAGAGCGATCCTTCTCGGCGATGCTGCACACTCCATGGTTCCGTTCTACGGCCAAGGTATGAACTGCGGGTTTGAAGACGTACGAACCTTGATGGAACTTATTGATGAGAAGGGAGGTGACGTGCTGGAGGCATTCAGAAGTTATACAGAAATCCGGAAGGCCGATTTGGATGCCATATGCAAGTTGGCCTTGGACAACTACCATGAAATGTCACACAAGGTCACCAGCTTGTGGTACTTGACCCGCAAGAGAATCGACTCCCTCTTGGGTAAACTCAACGGCAAGTACTTCCAGTGGATTCCATTGTACACGATGGTTTCTTTCAGAGACGATATCAGATACTCTCAGGCCATTGAAATTGAAAAAAGACAGGGCAGATTCTTGAACAACATCCAGTACGGCTTCTTGAGTGCAGTGGCCGTGACCAGCTTGATCAAGGGCTTACAGATGTGGGGGAGAAGGACTTAGATACTGAATAAATATGCATGATAAACTATACAGATACTGCGTAGTGCGCGCACCGAATGAAATTTCCACCACGAAAATTTTTGCCTCTACCGGCACAGCTTGCATCATACCCATTGGTTACCCTAAGCATATTGTATATAGTTCCGGGGATTCCAGTTCATTTCTTGGATAGACCTTACTGATACGCAACTTTTCCGATTTTCGGCATCTCATTAGCGTTTCTATATCCAAATCTGACCAATGTTGAGATCATCCATAATAAAAGTGGGTACCCCCCACGCCTCCAGATTGTTGCAAGTACGGGCCTTGCATGCCAGTGCTAACCTTCACAATGAGCAACCACAGTCTCCATTGAAGGTCTTCTTCGATACCTTCAAATCCGAAGTCAAGAAGTCCAACGAATTGAAAGAAAACGTCAAAGCATTACAAGATGAGTCAGGCAGAGTTGCTGACTCGGAAGCATTCAGAAAAGCCAAGGAAGCTTATGACAGAGCTCAAAAGGGTACTTCTGCTGCAGGTAAGGTTGTCAAGAAGACCGCAGGTGCTGTTGGTGGCGCTGCCGTCAAAGCATGGGACTCGCCAGTGGGAAAGGGTGTTCGTACCACTGTCAGAGTTGGTGCTGAAGCCGCTGACAAGGCTTTCGAACCTGTCAGAAACACACAGGTGTACAAAGATGTTTCCAGTGTCATTGACGATGGTTCCTCGACCGCTTACGGTGGTTTCTTGACCAAGGAACAAAGAGAAGTGTTGAGAAAGAAGGAATTGCAGGAAAAATTAAAGAACAAAACATTGAGACCCGTTAAGGAAGACGAAGAGGCCGGAAGTGCTCTTATTGCCACCGAGCACAAGGCCACTGGTCCTAGTATGGGTGATAAATGGGAAGACTTCAAACTCAAGTCTCCTGTGGGAAGAGGTATTGTCTACTTGAAGGAGAAGTGGGAAGACTCAGAAAATGGCTTAATCGCCCTTTTGAGAACCATCATCGAAAAGGTTACTGGATTCTTTGCTGAGACTGAAGAAGCCAAAGTTATCAAACAATTCAAATTGATGGATCCTGGTTTTAAGGTTGTCGACTTTCAGAAGACCTTGACCAACTACGTTGTTCCTGAATTATTGGATGCCTACATTAAAAACGATGCCAGCGTTTTGAAGCAGTGGTTAAGTGAGGCCCCATACAATGTCTGGGAGGCCAACAACAAGCAGTTTATCCAACAAGGATTGTTTTCTGACGGACGTATCTTGGATATTCGTGGTGTTGAAATCGTCACCTGTAAGATGCTCCAACCAAACGACGTTCCTGTCATTGTTGTCAGCTGCAGAGCCCAGGAAATTCATTTGTACAGAAAGGCCAAGACTGGAGAAGTTGCTGCTGGTACCGAAGACCACATTCAATTAAGTACCTACGCCATGGTTTTGACCAGAGTGCCAGAAGAATTCGATAACGAAGTCACTGACGGGTGGAAGGTCATCGAATTTGCTAGAGGGGGCTCCAGACCATTCCACTGATGACCCTGCTGGTGATGAGTTCATGTAAATTATAGTCATGTAAATAAATTTCAAGAGCATTATTTGGTGTAGTCAGGGAGTGGTTGTTCAGGAGGGACCAAATGTGGATCACAAAATAGTAATAGAAACTGCAACTTATTCAGCTATTCAACAATAATTCAAATGCTTTTTGACAGTGAGTAAACCAACTTAGGAAAAATTGGTATATTTTAGCCCTGCCAAATCGATACTAGTACATTTTATCATATACCACTTCAAGAAAATGCTAAATCGCAAAAATTTCAACTTGTGCAGCCAATTCAAGAAGGTCGTAGAACGCCGATAGCTAGCGTATCAAGCAATTCAGGTGGTTTCGCAATTCTGAACATAATCATTAAATGCGCCTGACGAATAATTAATCAATTTAAAATACGAATAGTTATTGGTGGGCATATTTATCAAAAAACTGGTCATCGGACAAGTAAACCATCCGTGGCCAGACACGTAACTCCAGCTCATCGTGCCCCCAATCACCATCTTCTTGCATCCATCCTATCGCGTAACATCCGAACGGCGCCAGGCGGGACGCGCACGACCTGATCTACTCAGTTTTCCACGTATCAACAATCTTTATCCACCACCACCGCCATGTCTGACAACTTCGCCACAAAGGAAGAGGTCGCCAAGATCTTCGAAAGATTGAAGAAAGATCCTGCCAACCAGGTCTGTTTCGACTGTCCAAACAAGAACCCCACTTGGACTTCTATACCTTTTGGTATCTTCTTGTGTTTGGAGTGCTCCGCAGTACACAGAAATTTGGGGGTCCACATATCGTTTGTCAAGTCATCCAATCTTGATCTGTGGCAAAGAATTCAGTTGCGTAACTTCAAGTTTGGCGGCAACCAAAGGGCTAAAGACTTCTACACAAAAAATGGAGGATCTCAATACATCAATAAGAACGGAGTTGATGCTACTTCCAAATACACTGCTCCAGTCGCCAAGAAGTACAAGGACAAGTTGAAAGAAAAAGCATTGAAGGATGCCGAAAAGCATCCAGATACCGTCACTCTTGAGGACGCTGACGACAGCAATCCATCAGACGGTAGTGCCAGTGTTGGGGAAGATGACTTCTTCTCTAACTGGACCAAGCCTATCAACTCCACCCCTTCGCCATTGCTGTCCAAGAACATCACACCCAACGGTTCCACTGACGATTTGAGTCTCAAGAAGAAGCCTGCAGTTGTCAGAACTACTTCCAGATTAAAGAGTAGTACCACCGCAACCAACGGCGCCAGTGCTGCCAAGAAATCCATCTTGTCCGGTAAGGGCAACGGTCCAAGAACTTCGAGATTGGCTGCTAAAAGAATTAACAAAACTGAAGAGCCAATCGATTTTGATGAAATTGAGAAGAAAGCTAAGCAAGAGGCTGAGGAAGCTAAGAAATTGGGCTACACTCCAACTGCCGAAACCCCTGCTTCTACTCCTGCCTCTATTTCTACTACTTCAAGCTTGCCTAAGAAGCTGGCAAAGAAGGAAGAGCCAACCGAAGAATACAAGCCTGTTCATGAAACTACCGTTCAATTCCAAAAGTTGGGTTTCGGTATGACTGATGGGGCAAACGTCATTGCCAACCCTAACGCAAAGAAGTACAAGGATATCAAATACACTGGTGAGGTCAATAACAAATTCGGTACTCAAAAGGGTATTTCTTCTGACGAATTCTTTGGAAGAGGTCCAAGATTCGACGAGCTGGCCAAAGCTGAAGCCCAGCAAAAATTGCAAGCATTCAGCGGAGCTCAATCTATCTCATCTTCGTCTTACTTTGGCGAAGAAGAGGAAGGTCCAAACGGTCCACGTCGTGCCGGATCATCTTCCGATGCTGGGTTTGGTGATTTGGAAGCCACTGCAAGAGAATTTGCCTCAAGATTTTCCGGCAACGCCAATCAAGATTTGGATGTTTTGAAGGATGCATTGGAAGACGGAGCTAATAAGTTGGGGTCATACTTGAGAGAGTTTTTGAGATAAAGGGGAGGTTGTTGTCGAGTTCTTTGACAGAGATACCACAGATCTTCTCGACCATTTGAGCACGCTACAGATCCTGATGCAGCTGCCTAAGACTGAGTCGATCCATGCAAATGTATAAAACTATAGGGGTCTGATCATCTCAACATTAATGTATAAGTGAAAATTAATCATAGCTCGTAAACTTCGCTTAGATACAGCACGCATCAAAACTAAGCGTCCAAATCGGAAAAGTACATCCCAGAAGAGTTCTGAGAAACATACAATTACACGCGAGACAATTCATGTTCTCGCAAGCACATTTCGCTGGCCCGCTCTCTTGGCCAACGTATTGCTTGCCATGCGATTAGCCCGACAATCAATTACGAAAGGGCTATTGTCGTCTGTATCGAAAACGCAAGATCCAAGTATCACTACAGTTAAGTGATCTCGGTATGAGGTCGTTATTCGTATTGCTCTGGCTTTCCTTTTCCCCTCCATTCATACATGAACAGTATGGTGCAGTGAATAGGAAGCGTTCGTATCAAAGAACTAAAAACTTTTGTTCGATGAGGCTGTTTATATATCAAATTTAATGGTGGCGCACGACCTACCATTTCGTTAGGGCTCAATTTGCGTTCCCCCATATAGGAAATCTGTTCAACTATGGGTGTGATTGTAGCAGTCAAGATGAATTGGTATAAAATGCTTAATAATTATGAGAAAAACAATGTGATCTATGGTTTGAGTATAATTTTCAGAGTTATAATCTAATATAGCTCTTTTCTGTGATGATTTGAAGGAGAGCTAAATTCATTAATGTAAGCAAAGAATGACTGTTGGCTAAGTGACTGGATATAAGCGAAGTAATCAACAACTATGTGCTATCGTTGATTTACAAGGACATAAGTGTACTCTCTCTGGAATTTCGTCGGGCACTATTAATTGCCCACCTGTTCTGAGGTCTTACAATCTGATATCTTTTCTAAAAATATTCAACGTAAATAACAAGAATCAGAGGCTTCGATCAAGCCCAACAATTTAACACCAAGTATCAGAAATAATCATGAGGAGGTGATAAATTATTACATTGAAGACTGTTACCAAAAAGGATGGCTAATGGAAGGATAGCGATTCACAATCCAGTCCATTTTTTGGCTCGGTTTCTCCATAACTTCTCATTCGGTTGCAAACTTCCATAAGCGATGATCGGTGTATTGTACTAAATCGTGGTACCTGCAACCACGCAGGGGCTTATTTCAACCTGATTCTACAAAATTCCCTCAGCTCCTGATGAGTTCGATCTGAGCCCACTGTAAATCAATAATCGCAAAAAAGAAACGTCTAGCCAGAGTCTGGTTTGACGTTCCTGACTGATAGCTTGGCTATAAAAAGAAATGGAGTCTGGACACTATAGTGAGATTGTCTTTGTGTAATAAAAGACTAGTGTATAATTAACTTGTTGATGGCAAGAAACAGCAATCAAACTTGGCTTCCTCGTATTGTAACTTTAACACCGAGGAATTTAAGCTAAGAAAAAATATTGATTGAATACGATTAGCACACAAGATGAATAAAACTTAAGAAGCCAGCGAATGTCGGCTATAACTTGACAGGAGCTTGCATAGTTTGCAACTCACTGGTTGAGAGACTTTGGAGAGTTGAGACGCGACTGATCCATCAAAGCAAACATGAGCTACTCTTACCGCGTTTCTTTATGGAAGTCCGTACTTGCACCGGAAGAACTCCATAAGAGCCAGGGCTATCAAGCAACAAAGTTTAAGTTCTCGGTAGAAGATTACGAGACCATGTAAGAAAATACGTGAAGAACTAGCACTCTGGAAGTTTGTACATCGTTTTTTCTTAGAAGTCACCTTTTCAGACTGCCCTTGTCATAGTATGGTCGTAAACAATACTGAGGGGAACTCACCCACGAATATAGTACGGACAGTTCGTATTACTAGCAATGAATAGGTTGTGACCATGTATTTCAATTTGACGCAGACAAAAATTTCTTGCTTCAATTGTACTGCATGTCTGCACAGGGCTCGTACCACAATCTAGATTGGGAAGTCTACAAGCTATGCACGTAATCAATTATTATATTTACCATCACACTGTGATGGGGTTGGAATTAAACACTTATTCAACATGAGAAACCTCAGACTTGTCGTTCCATTCTGGGTTAGTAATGGCCATTCTTTGATGTTCGTACAATGCAGGTTGCTTAGGAATGTTACGACGAAGAATGTTTCTTTGGAGGTCATCCCATAATTCAGCAGTTTGCCATCTGGCATGCTTCATAGCAGAGACGGAGAAGACATCATCCAATTCTTCCAAGGTAAGACCCTTAGTTTCTGGTAAGAACCATAAGACCAAGAAGAAACCGATAACGTTCCATGCAGCGTACCAACAGAAAGCACCAGTTTCGGTGAAGGTAGCTCTCATGTTTGGCCAGGAGAAAGCCAAAATGAAGTTGAAGAACCAACAGGTGGCAGTAGCGAAGGACATACCAACATCTCTGAGGTATAATGGGAAAGCTTCAGCAGCGTAGGTGAATGGAACTGGACCTTCACCAGAAGAGTAGACAGCAGCGAATAAGTAGATACCCATAATAATCATACCCAATCTACCCTTTGGATTGGCTTCTTGGTCAATTAAGAAACCGAAACCAGCAACCAACAAGAAAATGGCCATAAGTGGGAAGGTGAACAACAATAAGAATCTTCTACCGAACTTGTCAATGGTAAGGAAGGCAGGGATGGCAAAGGTGAAGTTAAGCATACCGAATCCCCAGGAAGCGAGTAATGCTGAAATTTCAGTGAAACCGGAAGAAACGAAAATGGAAGAAGAGTAGTAAGCAATAACGTTGATACCACAGAATTGTTGCATGAACATGACAATCCAGGCACCAAGAGCACCGTTTCTGTTTCTTCTGATGGTGAACAATTCCATGAACTTTCTGAAGAAAGAAGCATCGTAAGAGTTTTCTTCTTGTAACAAGACGTATTGGTAGAAAGTATCTCTGGCAGCAGAAATTGGTTCCTTACGCAATTGTAACAATGAGTCGAAAGCCTCGGCATGTCTACCCTTAGCCATCAACCATCTTGGAGATTCTGGCACAAATGGAACTTGACACATAACAATGAAAGCAGGAATACAAGCAGAACCCAACATTAATCTCCAGTTCAAACCAGAGCCAACACCGTGGTCAGTGACGTAGTAGAAGGCCAAGGCAGAGACGTAACCAAACATAATACCAACAGCAGTGAAAAATTGCCACAACATGACTAAAGAACCTCTGATACGACTTGGAATACATTCAGCAGCATATGCAGGGACGGTGGCCGAGTTGACACCAACACCAATACCCATGAAGAATCTGGCAATGAACAAGTGCCACCAGTTGTTGACAAAACCAGACCAGATACAACCAAGGGCAGAAATGGCACAACTCCAGAAAATGGTCCACTTACGACCCAAGTTTCTGTTCCACAAGTCGGAAGTCCAACAGGAGAAGACGGCACAACAAAGGTATGGAGAACCGTTGACCAAACCTTCAATCAAGTCAGCCCTGTGGGTATTTTTGAGGAAAAATCTAGGGTAGAACAAGGTGGCACCGTTAATGACGGACTCATCCATACCTTGCACAGCAGCAGCCATGGAACCCAATGCAATAACGGCAAACAACTTTGGTGGAATGTGCCATTTTTTAGTTTCTTCCAAGTTCAAGCCGATCTTTTCTTCTTCGCTCAAGAAAGGCATGGAGTTGAAGCCTTGTGGACTTCTTGAGACAGCAGCAGCACGGGCAAATAATTCAGAGTCCATGCCGTGCTTGGAAGCGTAGTGTCTACCCATCTGCATGACTTGGTCCTCGGTGTATTGGGCCAAGACGTTACCTCTTTCAGCACTAGCTTCGGCTGGAGTGGAGCGGGTGGACTCTAAGTCGGATGGGTCCTTGTGCTTTCTCTCACTAACGGAAGAGGAGGAAGAAGTGTGTTCGAACAAGCCATCGCCAGCTGGAGCTTGTGTGGCTTCAACTTTGTTATCAGTTGGAGCACTCATATTTGATGTAGATGATGATAAGATGAATCGGTTACAAGACGGGATGCTCTGAGCTTTATATAGTTCCATTTAGCAGCCGGCATTGGTGGGCATTTTATGCGGGGCGTCAGTGGGGTAGCCGCGTACGCTGCACTTACACCAGGTGTGCAGTCGTCAGCCTGCAGATCGGATGGGAAAAAATAAATATCATTGACAAACAAGTGTCTGCAGACAAAAATCTCATTTGTATCGCCGTAAAAGGCACCACCTGAACAACCAGCTAAGTCCCACCTACGCCTCGAAAAGAAAATAACAAGCATTATGGGTACAACAAAACACTTCTTGGACACTAAAAACTCTCGAAACTGGGGGGAATCCGTTGGGCTTCCAGTTACGAGCTATTTTGTCAGTTACTATCGCCACACACGTGATCTCTCAAGATCTGCAGCGACCTGAATGATGGCAAACTCGTCATAGTTGTGGTCTGCTATGCACGAGGTCGCTTGCGGTGGTTTGGAACACGATACAATTGCTACGATTGACCTTACTCGCTTTGTATTACTACCGGTGAGGTCTGTCTCGGCGCAGTTGTAACTCAATCGCTGCACCTACTCGGCGGCCCATCACACACCATCAACTCAACCAGACTAATGTCTGAAGTCAAGAAAATGCATGGGCTCGGGAAAACAGCCAGGAGGATGTGGGGTATTCCTGAAGTTGACTGATCCCTGCACTGTCACTTAGCGTATGATGTCACGAATACAAACTGTTTTTAGTGAGTAGTCGCATGTAATCTTTCAGCAATCAGGAACAAAAGGTACCAAAGTCCGACCGAGCGAACTCCTCGATAGCCGATGGAGAGCCAGCAGCAATGATTTCTCGAGCTTCAAACTACCTTTATCTCGGACATGGTGCGTTTCCAGTGCCCTCATCGTGATGAAGCTAATCCCGTGGGGTACACTGCACTCCACTGGGGTACATTATGTCTGTTGGGGGATTCGGGAATTGGGTATCGTAGGCTTAAGAGCACAAGTATGGAAGGAGTCGCCCAAAGACGCCCTCCGCCAGGTGTTGTTCCACCGATGCCATAAATGTGCCAAACTTTTGTGTAGGCAGACGCGCAGAATTTGGACATATGCAGACACTTTTTTAATCTGTTTCTCCGAACGAATTTCTTTGCACCAGTGCTGTTCTCCCGCCTGGCATTCCAGGCTATACATGCTGCAACGCAAAAACTATAGGCACCAGCAACCTATTCAATACAGAGTACCGTGTAGTTGCTTAGCCACCTTGTTTGAAGCCTAGATCACCAAGATGGCTTGACAATAGCTCATCTGGCCTATTAAACTTTACGGGGTCCTGGAACCGTTTGATGTCATAGCATCTAGCTTCGAGACTCCCCACCCCACAAGTGCTCCTGGCCTGACCATAGCAGTTCCTCCGAGAATGATGGACCCCAGTCGTGCAAGCACAACGCGGGCATCGCACTTCAGATGCTGTTCCTCCGATAGGTCTATATACAGGAGACCTCTGTACCTACATATGGTTCTACCAATGAAAACCCGTGAAGCTCCCCCCACATTACCCCATATCGTAGGGTCCCGGTTGGGGTATTTTCGTGTTTCAGACCACTTATAGAGTCAGCCCTGCTAACTCCCAAAATACGGAATATTTTTTTATTACACTGTTCTACCGTTGGGGTAATGTGTCGGGAATAGGTCCCTACTGCAAAACCACGACGTGTGTTACGGGACTGGTTCGATTGTATCCATTGAGCTCGTGCGGTGAGATGGCTCCGTCAATTAATCCCTCGGCACGTACCCTGTGATCAGCATGCTACCGTGTCGTAGGCCATTTTTACTCCACTCACTTAGACTGGTGGTGGTTATGAGTGACTAGCTGTGATTCCGTTAGTTGGGCGAGTCTGGGGTACACATGCGTAGCCTATTATTTGGCATTTTGTGGTTGGGCGGAATCGTGTTCTAGCCGTCTTCCATTTCTTAATTGGGGAAAAGAAGCTTTTTACACTATTGTGGCCTCATGTTGGAACATCCGAGAATCCATAGACCACCTTGGTGAGCCATCCCGTAAATCTGAACATTATCCACAAGTTTGGGGATTGTACCTAGTCAGATTACAAATCCTACGCAATCAAGATCCGTCTGCACAATAGGGATTTGCATAGTAATTCAGATGTATTTTCCGAGGATTTTCATGCCCCATGGCACGTTTCGTTGAAGATCTTTTACGAGGTGATCGTGATTTTCTAGAAGTTTGCTAAAAATCGGTAAAATTGCCTACACAATAGATGTTAAACTTTCAAATACTGGGGTACGCATCCGCAATTAAATAACTCAAAACGTTAATTTCAAAAATCCGGTATGTCCTGGTTGACGTTGATAGTCAGCGAATGACTATTATTCCTCGTCGGAACTGAAGTTACATCTGACCCATCACAAGAAGTGTAAATCAGTTGGTAAACCGATTACCTCTAGATTTGAGGACTTGAACCGCATGTGTCAATTTCGTACTTGGGATGAATTGGATCTCAGTTGATTTGGCAAAGGCTCGTGAGCCAATTACTCCGGACACCCAGACACTTAGATAAGTCACAACTACACTGAACGGTGTTCTGGCAAAGTTTTCTGGCAAAGTTTTCCTAAAAAGGGGATTACGTCCCAAAACTTTGCACTGGCAGAACAAAGGCCCACCACTTAAGGATAGACCAAGATTTCTGGAGCTCATCAATCACGTTTCTCACTCCAGTTGAGTTTGACTCAATTACATCAACTAAACAAAAAGATTGAGCGTTCTCGCACAAAGACTCCAATCGATACACCAATTGCTGTGCCTCGAGTACTGTAGGGAGACCAATGTGGTTCTTGTCAATTTGCCAATCCCTGATAATATCGGCTACCTATATACCAAATTGACTAAGCTCTAACAAGAATGGCAATAATTGCCTGTCTTCAGCAATTAGGAAGCTCGTTGCGACGGCCCCAGATCGGTCCAGAATAGTATTCTGGGATCGCTTCTTGCCGGCACGTGACACGCTCCTTGTGGCTTCGCGCTTATCTATCCCCTCCCATCCACATCGGGGTTCTCCGCCTTTCTGTTCCCACTTTCGGATGGTTTCCGACCCGAGATCGTTGACATATGAGTTATTAGGCCTTTCTCGGCCATCCAACCGCACCAGTCCCCGCCAGAGTTGCTTCATCAAGCCTAAACCCGCATCGAGTGCCTCCAACCGTTCACTAAACTGTTGGGTATCACGTGAAAATATCCCGGTTTATATACTTCAGTCTTGCGTTGGCAATCAGGGTACCAATATAATATTCGCTTACGTAACTGCGTTACCAATCTCCGGGCTAATTGAAATATATCTTCCGTGCCAATATTATCCTTGTTGTTCAACGCGTATTGCTTCGTATCACAATCTGAGAACACCATCCAATCTGCTCAACGGCATGTCCAAGAACTCCAAGTCATTGAACGCAAAATATCTCGCGTATCTCGCAGCCTACCCATTGATCACCAAATCGGTAACCTCCGGTGTGTTTCTGGGACTCAATGAGATCATCTCTTCAGTGGTGACTGGCGAGTTTCAGAAGTCCACCATTCTTGGTCAAAAGGTCCACCATGTGCTCTCGCCAAAGCTCGTTACCATGATCATATACGGCAGTTTGATTGCAACGCCGCTAAGCCACAACTTATACAAGATCATCAACACCATCTTCAAACCACCCTTGTCGTCAGGGTTGAAAGTGTTGCAGATCTTGACCCTGTTGTCAACAGTCACCCCATTGTTGGCAGCCACCTTCACCAGTTGGGTTTCGCTTCTCAATGGCTACAAATCAAAGGGAGGATCTGTTTCGGAAGAGATCTCAAGGGCGTTCGCCGTGATCAAGGCCGGATTGAAGTCCAACTATAGGGCCATCTTGAAGTCTTCTCTTATCACTTCCTCGGTCTCATTGGTGATTGCCCAGAAATTTATCCTGCCAGAACTCTGGGTTGTATTCTTTAATTTCGTATACTTCATTGTGGGAACATTGCAGAATATTAAGCTCAAGAAGGCTCAGAAGCTTGCTAGAGCAAGAGCTGAAAAAGACAAGAAGGACGAGTAAATACGTATAATTTCAAAGAATTACTCCGCAATAAGTCGTAGGTATGTACACAGAGAAAGAGCATGGTTAGTATAATTTTTCAATATCACTAACACGATCATATGGGCCACCAGTGAGCTGTTTTAAATAGCAGTATTGTCTTCACTATATAGAAACCCAATGATTTTTTTGGCATTTGGACATTTTTGGAAATATCTCACAAAGTTGTGTAATTTTGAGATATCTGCATTCATTCAATCTATCGAGAAGACTTTGGATAATTACAGTTGAGACGATAAATGAATTTAAAAATAATGCTTAAGAGCTTCCAACAAATAGCACACAAAATTACCTAAGTACATTGGAAAGACTTTTCACATAAATCAATTAATAGGTATAGTTCGTTAGATTATTGAGACTGAGTGTTTATTCTCAGGCTCACCGATATTCTACACCGGACTTTAGGCTGTGTCAAATCAGCAACTATAATATGCATCCATATCTTGAGAAATAGTAGTTACATCAGTAGCTCCTGATGGGTGAGCTCGTACAACCAGAGTGGTATTTGGAGTCCCATACGAATTGAAATATTATTCAACACATAAAGACGTACCAGATTCTTATATTTAATTGCTGCTTAGCTTAGAGTTTCAGAACTCTCCAGGTTTAAATACTCAAACCACTGTTAGCAACAAAACTTGTCTGCATTCAGTCTGCCAGGTTGGTACCCAAGTTGCTCCCCATACAGATCACGTGACCCACAATCTTTCTTGCTATAAGCACATATTTTACAATTGGAAAAGCGGTTTGCTTTCATATTATGCTTTCAACCATTGCAAAAAGGTCAATTTCCAGGACCCAAGTTAGATCAATGATTACCTCTCACATCGTTCTTTATAAGCAACACGGAGAACCTAAAGACGTCCTTGAGACTCACTCCTACCAGATCGACGAAACCAAGATCGGCAATGATCAGGTCATTGTGAAGACATTGGCCTCTCCCATCAATCCCAGTGATATCAACCAGATCCAGGGTGTATACCCATCGAAGCCCAAGCCAACCACCGAATTTGGAACCACCGAGCCTGCTCTGGTCTGTGGTAACGAAGGCTTGTTCGAGGTGATTCATACTGGTGCAGGTGTCAAGGACTTCCAAGTCGGTGACTGGGTCATCCCTGCTCTGGTGAATTTGGGTACTTGGAGAACCCACGCATTGGAGGACTCGTCCAAGTTTATTAAGCTCAGAAATCCGGAGCAATCGAAGGCTGCAGGTAAGCCTCAGGGTTTGACCTACAACCAAGGTGCTACCATTAGCGTCAATCCGCTTACTGCCTACTTGATGTTGACCCACTACGTCAAGCTCACTCCAGGAAAGGACTGGTTTATCCAAAACGGTGGAAATTCTGCGGTTGGCCAGTACGCTTCCCAGATCGGTAAGTTGCTTGGTATCAATTCTATCAGTGTGGTTAGAGATAGAGACAACTTGCAGGAGTTGGTTGCGGAATTGGAGGCGAAAGGAGCCACCCATGTGATCACCGAAGAACAGAACTCCAGCCGTGAGTACAGCTCCACCATCAAGGACTGGGTCAAGGAGACTGGTGGAGAAATTAAATTGGCATTCAACTGTGTGGGTGGAAAAAACTCCACTGGTGTAGCACGCAAGTTGGCCAACAATGGCCTTATGTTGACCTACGGTGGTATGTCGTTCCAGCCAGTCATCTTGCCTACCTCCTTGCACATCTTCAAGAACATCACTAGTGCTGGTTTCTGGGTGACTGCGTTGTTGGCCAACAACCAGGAGTTGAAACAGGAAACGTTGGCCAAGATTGTGGACTGGTATGAGCAGGGCAAGTTGGTTGATGCTTCTTCCACCGAAGTCAAGTTCGACGGCGAAAAGAAATTGAGCGAGTTGTACTTGTCGGGAATTACTGGCAAGGGGAAGCACTTGGTTACCTACTGATGGCTACGTTAAGGGAAAATTCAGCTGAGTGGTAGTTATTAGCGACATAAGCCTGGGCTTCCATGCCCAGCCCAGATTGCGTTTGGGTGCAAATGAAATACCCAAAAAACTATTTCTTTTACTGTAGTATTCTTCATGGAAACCCAAGTGGTTTGAGAGCCCTGATCTCGAGTCAAATCGTGGATTAGGCCATTTGGGTATAGTGGGACAAATTGTTTCTACACGAGGTGGCCTGCTTTACTCCCGCTTTTCCATACCACCGAGTATCTCTTAGATTGTGGAACAACCCCAAGAAATAGGTAGGAAATAGATTAACTGAGTTTTCAGGTTGGTTATGCCTCTGAAACTGGTCATGGGCACTTGGGACCGACCTTTCGGCACACATGGAACAGTTCTGCTGCCAGGAGCCCTTACAAGAGCACCCCCTGGATTTTGTTCGACTTCAGGTGAATTCTCCTAGGCTAGTTTTTTGGGGCCACTCGCTCACAACTGCCTTCGGACATCCCCGAGCTCATCGGAAAAAAATTCCGTGTGCGAGCCCCACCAGTCAGCCAGCGGGAGGCCACCTCCGACGGTACGAGGACGTAAGAGCCTCCACTGATGGTCACCTCTTGATGGTCAGTCATGGGACGAAGTATCCACCATGCGGAAAGCTCGAAGCTGTTCTCAAATCCCGAAACTTCCAGCTGTAGCCGGCACTGAGCCCCCAGAGAGCCGGTCACGTGACTTTGCGGCCCGCGCAAAAGAAATGTTACTGCAAAATGCTCTTATCAGTATGTTCCCACCAATTCGGCCATTGGCCCAACCGTAAGCCCGCCCATCGGGACCTACATGACCCCGGGATCCACGTGAGGGCGAGGTCTCCTCTCGCGGTGGTGCATATCCCCAGGTCTCGCGCTTCCCCCCATTGGCGGATCGATGTCATCGGGGTTACAGATTGTGCATGGTGGGTCTGCCTGATTCGGATTAGGCTATATAGTAGGCGTCCCGCACATATCTGGCAGATCTGTCAGTTACTATTCCACACGTCAAGGAGAGTAGACCTGTCAGATATCATCCCCTCGGCTGAACCTACCCAGGCAGCGCCTTCTCATCAGACAGCCCCAGCAAAATCCGATCTCCAAAGACTCCAGCCTCCCCGTTTATTATCTTAATCAGTAATTAAAGATAACTTGGCAAATAACAGGTCATCTAGAGAGTAGATTACCTTATACTTCCCATTAGCCCCAAAGATAAACCTTCAGAAGAAGAAAAATTAAAAACAAACATCTACAAAATGTCCCGTGCCCTTTCTTCCACCAAGGTGCTTGTTGGCACTGCCGTCATTCCAGCCACCATCATATTTTCCATCGAGTCGGGCAAAATCCTCCATATTGTGCACTCAGTCCTTCCCGAGTCCCACCCCACGCTTGTCCACTACAATGTGCTTCCAGCTGACTACAGGAACGTGTCGCCTCTCGTGATCATGCCAGGGTTAGTGGACGCCCACGTCCACTTGAACGAGCCGGGACGTACCGAATGGGAAGGGTTTGCGACCGGAACCCGAGCCGCGGCCTTTGGCGGAGTCACCACCGTGATCGACATGCCATTGAATGCCATTCCCCCCACCACCACTGTGGCCAACTTCAACTTGAAGATCAACGCCGCTAAGGGCCAGACCTGGGTCAACGTGGGCTTCTGGGGTGGCTTGATCCCCGACAACTTGCAGCACTTGAAGCCTTTGATTTCCATGGGAGTAAGGGGCTTCAAGGGGTTCTTGATCGAGAGTGGGGTGGACGAGTTCCCTGCCATCGATCCAGCATATATCATCCAGGCAATGGAGCAGGTCAAAGACAATAAGACGGTGTTGATGTTCCACGCCGAGATGCAGCCCGACGCTCACAGACCATCAGTGGCGCTTGCACAAAGAGAGAACAATTCGCCAGAACTCGTTGCCAACCACGCCAAATTTAGTGTTGGCGAGGACGACTCTGACGAGTCAAGTGCTCCGGAAACCGACCTGAGTGGACATCTCCAAGTTGGGCCAGTTCCCATCGCCCACAAAGATGCGATGGCTACCCTCTCCAAAGATATCGAGCAGTTTGACCTTGGGATGTCTGCCTCCTTCATCAGCAGGGCTCCCCAGCCAGTGGTCGAGCTTTTGAACAAAGACAAATCGAACCATCACGAGGAACACGAAAACTGCCATCTTCCCCACAACCATGCAGGATCCATCGACCATTCGGTGTTGACAGATGCTCAGGCCACTGCCTTGGCCAAGTCCCCACTCTTGGCAGCAGCAGAGCCTACTTTCGGAAAATACGCTCGTATGGCCAACCACCACTCCGCAGAAGAATCGCCTTTCTACAAAGCCATAGACATGGACGACACCCAGAAAACAAAAACGCCTCTTTTATTGGCACAACAGGAAAACTCGATTTTGGAGGATATCGATCCCACCTCCTATGCCTCTTTCTTGGCCTCCCGTCCTGACAACTTCGAAACCACCGCAATTGCTGAAATCATTCACTGCTCAACTCTTATTCCCACCGTCCCATTACATATCGTCCACTTGGCCACCCACGAAGCCGTGCCATTAATAAGAGCAGCAAAATCAAAGGGCTTACCTATCACAGCAGAAACATGTTTCCATTACTTGTCGTTGTGCGCCGAGAAGATCAGTAACTGCTCCACCCATTTTAAGTGTTGTCCTCCCATCAGAACCGACGACAATAGAAAATTATTGTGGAAAGCCTTGAGAAACGATATCATCACCACGGTTGTTTCCGATCATTCTCCTTGTACTCCGGAGTTGAAGGGGTTGGAGAAGGGTGACTTCTTCGAAGCCTGGGGAGGAATTAGTTCCGTCGGTTTCGGTTTGCCTATTTTGTATACCGAGGGGCTCAAGCTTGACCCCCCAGTGACCCTTGAGGAGATCAACAAATGGTGTTCGATCAACACCGCCAAACAGGTTGGATTAAGTCACTGCAAGGGTAAAATCGAAGAGGGATATGATGCCGATTTATTAATATTTGACCCAGAACAAAAGTACATTGTTCAGAATCAAGAAACGTACTTTAAAAACAAATTGACAGCATACGATGGGCAGGAATTCCAAGGAAGAGTTGTCGAGACCTTGGTGGGCGGTAACAGTGTGTTCGAGTTTGGTAAAGGTCACTCCGACATTGCCATGGGTAAGTTGATTTTGGAGCCAAGATTCGCATAGGGCTCTTTTGGAACCACAAATGGAACGGTTGCTAAAGCAACAGTATATTGCTGCGAAAAACTTTTTGACACAATGCACACAAAATGTGAGTTCTTGAACAACATTGGCTACATTTTAATCACACCACGTTCAGCTTCTTCTTGATATGCCTTGTTGAGCTGTTCATGTATGTAATAATAGGATCAATATAGAGGTTTAATTTCAATTCATTCCATTCACACCACAATAGATGATGTGCTTGCACATTTACAATTGAGAGTATCTGTAGGATTTTCATTCCTCAAAAGTGTATGCTTAGGTATTGTTCTACTATGAGCTGTTGCTAAACAGACGAACTACTCCTGGAGCTTTGGAGCCTAGTGGAGGCAATGTGAAAGTTAGCCTCTACAGGTGAAACAAATTGTAGCACCTATGATTCAATCCGAGCTGAATCAGTGACCAGTCCTGAAGGGCTCATCTGTATTGACTCCACCTGGTATACTTAAACTTATACTTAAACTTAGATTTAATGAGACGAGATTCCGAAGATACAAGATCGAACTAGCTAATCCTGCATGGTTCTCAAAAATTATTAAGGTATTCAATCACCAGCCGCCAAATAGTAATGATCCAGGTAATGCCATGCGCTTGCCAAAAGGCAGATCTCATTATCCTTAGCTTGCTACACTGGCAATTTACTTTCTTCACCCAATCTTCCTATTTGGCTGATCTATCAGCACTTCTGGCAAAATGCCACTACCCAGTGTCTGTCCTGCATCTTACCCCCTCCTCACCTTATCACGGCCTCATCTCAAACCAATCATACAACAATGAGTCCCAAGTCAAGCCAGTCCAGTCGAGTGCAGAAAACATCAAAGACGGCACAGACCCTACCAGCTCCCACAAGAGACGGGGTGCTTCTTGAGCGCCTCGATAACGAGGTCCAACTCATTAACCAGCTCAAGGATGGGATACGACAACAAGTAGCAGCAGCGAAGGCCAACAAAGAAAACCAGGCTGAGGATAGTCAAAAGAACGTATCCGAAGAGTCAAGTCTCGGTAAAGAGCATATAACAACCATACTGGGGGCCATGGACCCCGTGATCAACCCTTCAGATCCGGACTGGGCCACCATCTCTGATCAATACAAGAACATTGACACCAAGTCGTTCAGACAGTACGAACTTGCCTGTGACAGAGTCAAGCAGTTTTACGAGGAGCAGCACGAGCTGCAGACGGTTGCATACAATATCCAGGCAAGGATTAACTTTAAGACCAAGACTAGAGCTAGAATGACAATATGGGAAGGTTTGGAGAAGCTCAATAAGTTGTTGGACGACTCAGATCCCGACACAGAGCTCTCACAGATCGACCACGCACTACAGACCGCCGAGGCCATTAGAAGAGATAATCGTCCAAGGTGGTTCCAGCTCGTGGGGTTGATCCACGATCTTGGCAAGCTTCTCTATTTCTTTGATTCCAAGGGCCAGTGGGACGTGGTGGGTGATACTTTTCCTGTGGGATGCAAGTTCCTGAAGAAGATAATATTTCCTGATAGCTTCAAACAAAATCCCGACTTTTTCAACCCATTATACAACACCAAATACGGTATTTACTCCAAACACTGTGGTTTGGACAAGGTTATGCTAAGCTGGGGCCACGACGAGTACATGTATCACGTTGCGAAAAAGAGCTCAACTCTTCCTCCAGAAGCGTTGGCGATGATCCGGTATCACTCGTTCTATCCCTGGCACCAGGAGTATGCCTACAGCTACCTCATGGACGAGCACGACAAAGAAATGTTGAAGGCAGTCAAGGCATTCAACAGGTACGACTTATACTCAAAGACGGACCAACTGTACGACGTGGAGGAGTTGAAACAGTACTACTTGGAATTGATCGACGAGTACTTCCCCGACAAGGTGATTGATTTTTGAAGCCAGCAGTCGCGAGTGCCTCCACTTCGAAGCCCCGGGTGGCTGTATATTACTGTATATTACTGTGTATTAACGTATTATTATTGCTGTATCATTATGCATCTAACTAAATAATTGAATAGTTCCGAAGTATTGTTCGATTCCGTGAGGACCTGGATGTTTCCAGAAATCGTTGTAAGTAGTCAAAATTGTGACATCACCTCCAGTGCTGTCCAAGATTGCTTTGATAGCGATTTGCTGATTTTCTGGGGATGGTTGGTTAGCACCGTTCAGGTCACCTTGCGATGGGTACCCAGTTTCGGTGATTACAACCTGCTTGGAGCCACAGACAGCCTCGACCAATTTCTTTTGACCAGCAACAAAGGAACCTGCTTGGCTGGCATCGACACTGGGATCGAAGTAGGAGTGGGGGTTGATTCCGACAATGTCGATCTCGGAATCATTACACAATTCGGGGTGTCTGGTGAATGAAACAGGAGGTTCCGAAGTGGTAATGTGGCCGTTGTAGCCATTGTTGTTCAACTGTTGCTTGACGGACGAGATCTTGGAAGTCAATTGTGACACGCTAAGAACGTTGTCGTTGACAGCTTCGTTTCCAACAGTGATCACATCGAATACGCTCCATCCTTGAGATTTACCGTAATCGATGATGTCTTGAACCGAGCCGTCAATGGAGTCTGCACCCTGGCCAGGGGTGAACCAGACTCCTTGGTTGACGGTGATTCCCAACTGGGAGCATTTTGGCAAGGTGGCTGTGAAAAGGTTGCAGTCAGTTCCATAAATTCTGAGCTTCTTGATGCCCTTGCTGAAAATGAATTCGAGGTCGCTGTCAATGGTTCCCTGGTCCTTGCAGCTTCCGTTGTCCTGGTAAGGTGAGTACACGATGACAGAGGGGGGAGTGATTTGGCCAGACGAGGTTGGCGAAGCAGCAGAGGACGACGAGGAAGTAGAGGAGGAAACAGCAGTGCTGAGAGTAGTGCCAGTGGAGATAGGCTCCGAGGAAACATCGGAAGAAGGATCTGGCAACGAGACGGTGGTAGGAACCGTCAAAGAAGTGGAAGATGTAGGTTCCTGTGGAGTTTCAGTTGAGATAGCCACGGAAGTTGGAGCGTTCGGGGTTGGCTGAGATGGGGATGAAGGAGATGAGACTTGGGCTGGTGCTGAAGCCGTGGATGAAGCGATTGGGGTTTGGCTGGTTGGTTGTGGAGCAGGGCCTTCAGTTGTTGGCTGTGGAGAAGGACTTTCGGTGGTTGGCTGTGGAGAAGGACCTTCGGTAGTTGGCTGTGGAGCTGGACCAGCAGTCTGTTGTGCTGGCGCAGTGGTGGAGGTGGTGGTACCCGGAGCAGGAGCGCCTTCTGCTCCTGTATTCAGGTCCACTATGCTAGTACGAGTCTGGGGTGTGGTGGCCCATTCTTCGTTGGATAATGTGAAGGTGTAGCTCACTCCGTTAGAGATGAACAATTGCACTGGTGGAAGATACAACGTGGTGGTACCGGTTGTGTAGGTCTGTGTGGTTGTAACTGTGGGGGCAGTGTGGTACCTCGTTATGACAGCTGGCAAAGGAGCAGCTTCGAGGACTGTGGCAAAGAGGGCCAAGGCAATAAGTTGGTGTATCATTGTAAAGAGTGTGGATTGGGCTATGTGTCAAACAAAAGAGTGTCCTGAGTGGGGAAAGGAATGTATATGGCCCTGAAGTAGCTGTAAATGTCTGAACGAATGTAGTAGACTGAAGAGTCAGGAATGAGACACGATGTGTAAAGAATGGATGGCCCGAAAGGTGAAGTGTCAAACTTCTCAAGATGCGGCCTGCTTTTTATAACTGCCCGCCGGATGCTTCACGGCTGGCTACTGCATCCGGATTAGGTTTGAGGCCACGCATTTACATAATTACCAGCGATCCATATGGGTGGATCGTTCTTTGCTTGTGAAGGTTTAGTTGACTGAAAACGCTAGTGAATTTTGCATCCGCCTTCATGCTGGGTGACACAAAGGCCCAAAACGGCCTTTGCCCGCACGAAATGGGCACCATGTACACGTGACACGCCCGTATTGGGTCGTTGCTGCAAGACAGGTGCGGCGCCTTTCCTTTTTCAGCCAGGATTCAGCCCGAGTGGTGCGCGCGATCCTGGTCAGCTGTCCATTTAGGACTTCTATGGCCAGCAGTTCCCCTGAACCAAGACAAGTTAGAGATGTAGGAACCGAGGTATGAACAATCCCGATTGTTCCAGTCGCTACGGAATAGGCCCCTATGTCCTGAAAACTTCTGGAAGTCTTCAGCTACTTCATCTGCTTTATACATCCTGAGTGGAAATCTAAGTTTGCTAGACGAGCAGATATGTACAGTTGACTTCTGATTAACTTTATTCGTTTATTTTCTTAACTAGAACGTTTATACCATTTTAGCTTCTTGGTTTCAAGACTGTCGTATCTGCATTTAACCTTTTAGATTAATTTGAGTTATTAAACGCACCACGCCATGTCCTGCTTAGGAAATATGGCACTCCCAATGTATCTCGGAGATCGTGTATGGCCACGAGGTTGGGCTTAATTATCCAAAATATCAAAAATGACCTTTAATTTGTCGCTGTCGATCACTTGTAAGCTGTTCAAGTATCTCAACAAGCTTTTAATTAACTGGAAAATCTGCGGCACCGACAAGTTGATTATGGCAAGTTGTAAGATCTTGCCAATGTTGATGTTGTTGACGGAGATGAAGGTTTGGTAGTACAAGTAACTGAATGAGCCCATCAAGAATTGACAGTCTAATCTGTCGGTGATACCACCATGACCTGGAATGGTATCACCGAAATCCTTGATACCAAAAGCCCTCTTCAAACCAGAGGCAAAAAATCCTCCGAATGGGGCAATAAGGGAGGCGAATGTAGCCAAGACTGCAGCGTGGAAATACACAGGCTTGAAGCTGATAATCTCGAAACGTCCGCCCAAAATATCCACGATATTTTGTGGTAATTGGTAGATTTGGGGGATGAATACTGGCTGAGGGTCGCAATGAGGAAAGTTGTACAAGTGGGTAGACAAGTTGATTGCAGGACAGATCAAGTAATCACTCTGGGACAACACAAATGCGAAGAATGTGGCAGCAATACCAGTGCAGATCCAAGCTCCAACAAAACCTTCCACGGTCTTCTTGGGACTAATTTCAATCAATTGAGTTCTTCCGAAGGTGATACCACACAAGTAGGCGAAGATATCGTTGACGATAACCAAGGCACATGGCAAGAAGAACCAGAAAATACCATTAAGAATGTTGTCAATAATCAAGTGCGATTGGAACACCACCAAGATGAGGGTCATATGGGTGATGCACAACTGAGCAAACTGAAACTTATAGTAGCCCTTCTTCAAGGTCCACACAAAGAAGATGAACCCAGCAATGAACAAGGAATAGCTGACGAATTTATGATTGAGGACAAGGAAGGTCAACACTCTGTTGGTAAAGATGGCATCTTGGAAGAAGTTGAAGAAACTCTGGCTGTCCAAGTAGTACAAGGTGGCAATTAGGAAGTACCAGTTGAGGGACTTGTTGTATGGGATTTTTTTGTCTCTTGCAGGCTCAGCTGTTAATGCGATGATTTCCTTGAAGGTGAGAATTTGGAACACCAACACGAGGCCAATCAATGGAAGATGGCCAGACGCGAGTACTGCGAAGAACGACAAGATCATGACGAAGGTCCAGATGGTTCTGGTCACAAACGCCTGCTTTTTCTTCTCAGCTTCGTTAGACACAACAACCTTCTTGGGCTTGGCCTTTTCGCTTTCTTTGGTGACGGTTTCCTGGCCAGACACTTTGGCGTGGTTGTCCGTGGTCACCGCGTCCACCTTGGCCGTGGAGTCGATCTCGTTCTTTTGTGCCATGATGGATGAGACTCCGATGGGCAAATGTGCTGTGATTATTTTGTGGGATGGTGATTGGAATAATCCATAATTTTAACTTGATCTGCGAGTCCGCGATCACATGCCCAGTGTTGGGTGCGTGTGAGCAGCACAATCTGGTGCGACTCCCTCGAAAATAGTGTGTCACCCAAACATCCTTAGTGATGGTTAATTAGATAAGATGTGTGGTGTGATCCACGGTGTTCAGGTGCCAGAAGAGTCATTCCGGGCTGAAGAGGAACGACGGTGCTGATGGCGAGATCCGCCTCAAAGCCTACCATCTTTTTTTACCGAATGACTGCTAGACGGCTGCCTCTTAGCAGCCATTCTGAGACAATAGAGCGGGTGCGGGTATTGTTGCACCCGACCGGAGGGAAGGAGCACTTGCCCAGTGGAACTTCAGGCGCCCTACCGCCACTAGAAGGGCAACGCCTGACGCTAGCGATGGCGACGGTGGGTTTGCCACCAGGCTTATCGTGGATCACGTGATGCATTGGGCCGTTACCCGGCCCCCTCGCCCTTGCTCCCTGGCGGTACACGACGCAGTCATTGTAAAAATCCTCACTACTTATAGCTGGTCCCACCTGTTTGTCTTTATCTTATCTACGAGAATAGACCTGTTTAAATCGACCGTCTACATTTTATGTCAACTATCCAAAACTTAAACTCATTTGGTATGTATCCATGCGAAACACCCTAGCGGAAGAGTCCAGCATCCTCAAATTTATCCAGATCACCAGCGAGGCCTCGAGCGTAAGCGAAAACAGGATACCAGCACCCGCTTAATAATCAAGAACCAGCATGTCCACTCGCCGATCTGCAGCCCAGACCCTTACTAACATCAGACCCATTCGCTGATACTGGTGATTCAGAAGCTCAGCCCACGAATTACATCCATATTCGTATTCAACAACGTAACGGTAGAAAAACTTTGACCACTGTCCAAGGTGTACCAAGTGAATATGATTTAAAGAAGATTTTAAAGGTTTTGAAGAAGGATTTCGCCTGTAACGGTAACATCGTTAAGGATGAAGAATTGGGTGAAGTTATTCAAATGCAAGGTGACCAAAGAGTGAAGGTTAGTGAATTCTTAACCACTCAGTTGCAGTTGCCAAAGAAGAACATCAAGATTCACGGTTTCTAAGCCGCTTGAATCTGAGGCTAGTGACGGCGCCATGAGCGCTGTCTACTGGTAGACTAGTCAGAGTCTTCGTGACTAATACACACCGATCGAAACAGTCGTAGTTATTGTAGGCCCATTCCTGCCCATTATGTGATTAACATTAGTTCCACACGATAGGAATCACCCGTTATTCCACTGTAGATGGTAGCCCATAGATGATACACTTACTCAGCCTGGACATCTCATTTCGTGCTGGGGCTCGATGTGTGCAGTGCGACTGATCACTCGAAGCATTAAAGATTAGATGATCTTCAAACTATCAGTTATACCAACACGATGGCTGGAGACTTGAACCTAAAGAAGTCATGGAACCCAGCATTGGTCAAGAACCAGACCAAGGTCTGGGAGGAAGAGCAGGCCAAGCTTGCCGAGCTCAAGAAGATCAGAGAACGAAATGAAGAGTTGGCGAAGGAGCAGGAGTACCTCAACTTGCTCAAGTTGCAGCACGGCGATGATTTCAACAACGACGACTTGAGCAAGACCGAGAAGTTAAAGCTCAACAAGTTGAACTGGATGTACGAGGACGTACCCCACAGCTCTAAGAACGAGGCGGGCTTTATCGAGAGAAGCGATGAGTTTGTGGAGGGTAAAGAGAAGGTGGAGGGCATGCTCAAAGGAAACAGATCTTTCAGACGCAATGATGGCGACAGTATAAGCAGAATAGTTGGTGTGGGCAAGCAGAAGTCTTCTGCGGTGATTGAAGACGATCCTTTGATGAAGATACGCAGTGCCAGATCCACCATGGTGACCAGGGATGCAAGAGAAAGGTCACCCGATAGAAGTAGAGATCAGGACAAACACAGAAGTGACAGGCATAGGCACAGAGATGGTCATAGACATAGGCATAAACACCGGAGTGATACGGAGAGGGATTCTCGGAAGGACAGAGGTCTGGGTGAGAGAGAACGCAGTGATAGAGACTCTCGCAAACAGGATAGCCGGAAGCATGGCGACAAAGAACATCGCGATAAACACACCCACAGGAGCAACTCTGAACGAGATAACAGTCACAAGCGCAACAGTGCGGAAAAGTCATCGCCTAAAGAGCTGGATACATCTTCAAGGGCTCCTCAAGTTGCCTTACTTTACTGAACCTTGCATAAATGTGTCATTAAGTCATCACAATTCCATACAATATTGACCCTCTTTATTGTACTCCACTTCTTGGAACTTCCATGTGTACCAAACTCTGGTCGTGGTTGTCACTCGTGTCACCTTCAATTCAATGCTTTGACCCTGCTGAATCACGCTAGAGTGGACTGGAAATAATATAGGAAACCACGAGCTACAAAACTCGTCTCCATCCCCATCGTCGGGCAGGATGGTTATGTTCAAGTGCCCATATAAATTGCTCCTGAAATAGCCAAGGAAGCAATTTAAGGAATGGGTCATTGACGATGTGAAGTTGATTGTTTTGGTAATAGAAAATGAATCATCTGAGGGATGTTCAAATTCCCACACCTTCTGGGAGTTGGCTAACTTGATATACCTGGTCAAGGAACACAAGTACGGGCGCAGGTCAACATCGTTCAACAATGGAGAAAATATAGGTTGCAAGTAGCTGGTGTAGCTAGAAGGAATCATAATGCGAGGCTTTGGCTCCCTATTGAATGGGGCTAAGATTTCTGGGCACAATTCGTTGTCTCCAAAGGACCCGAGAAGTTCTGAAATGACTAGATGTGGTTTGAAGTCGGTTTGATAATTCCGTATGTCACCGAGGACGATTTGGGCGGAGTTGGACCAAACTGTTCTGTTTTTCTGTTCTAGGATAGTCATGCAATGGGGGTTTTTTTCGACTAGCAAGACAGTCATCTTGCAGCTATTTTTGAATAGCTTATCCACCAACTTACCCTTCCCAGGTCCCACCACCAATACACGAACGTTCTCGTAATGGTGTGACAAATCTTCCAAAGCTAATTCTATAGCCTGGTCATACTGGTGGTACTTGTTTTCGTCTTTCTCAAACTGGTCGTACACTCCGACAGTGAGATCATCACGCAACGGCTGGAGCGGGTCGATCAAGAGGTTCTGATAGGGGTGGACCACGGAATGTCGTATTCTCCTGATGTTAGCCAACAACGCTGGATCGGGTAATACTATCGGAACTTGAGGATAGCACTTTAGTTCCGCATATTCTGGCTCGGAGAAGATATCCATAAAGAGGAGGTCAGGCGACTCGACCCTCCACTGTTGGAGGGATGGTGCGCACAAGTACAACAGCAAGCGGATATGGCCTGCTAGTTTGTGCCATAACTCGTACCATGCGAGATTGTTTGTGGGTACAAGCAAGGAAATCTCGGGGTAGGAACGGGTCAATTGTGTTATTAGATCCGTGGCATCCTCTCGGATCAACGCAGGCATGTCTAGCACAAAGTGAATGATCTGGGTGGGGAAACGGGTCCTTTGCTCGTGGGCCCACGCCAAGGCACTGGCCGCTGTTCCCGCGGCAGGCTTGAGCCTGATGATAACGTTGCACAAGAGCTCTGTGTCGATGGAGCTGTAGTCGTGGTTGGATCCAGGACAGTGTGTATAGACCACTAGATGGAAACCATTTCTGAGTACTTGTAGGGGAGGATCGGTAGTTTCGAGGGCGTAGTAGGACATCTCACGCTGGCAATGTTCGATGAAGTACACCGCTGGTCTCTTTGGACTGACTAACAGACGAAATTCTATACTAGCAGTGTGGTCAATGTAATATGCTAGTAGTGTGGTGTCTGGCGGCGAGTCAAGAGAACGACAATCTCACGCCTGGTGCCTGTGATACTTGTCCTGTGGCGATTGACGCAAGACAGTACCCGAATGCCTGATGTGGTGCTGTTGCTCTGTCGTCCTCCGCAAGAAGACAACTCAGTTAATTAGCCGTGCTGTCGCTTCTATTCTACTGGCGCATTTCAAGCTGCGCACACCGTACCAAACACTGGCAGGAACAGGCCAGTTCCAATTAGTCACCAGCGAAAAGACCCGACTGGTAGCCAGCAGCATGGTGCTTACATCCTGAGCGGCCCCACCCTGGTCCCACTTACTCCTTTGCCTCCCCAAGAGTGTTTCTTCCTATTCTGGTAGTCTCGCTCACCACAAACACTCATCGTACGCGTCCATTTTTTCATGCAAAAATCGACGTCCAGCGACAATCGACATTCGAGAACCAACCACCACCCACCATCCCGTTTGAAGCCAGCAAGCTGTGGAAGTAATTGAAAGGCCCCTAAAGTACGACCTTCGCCTGTTGCTCGCTTAGCAGCCATCCGCACATAAACCCACCCAGAAAACACCCCTACACCAATGGCTAAACCCAGATACTTGACCGACACCGAACGGGCCAAAGTGTTGGAGTTCCAGGACATGATCCACTACAGCCCCAGGTACAGCGACGACACCCACGAATACAGACATGTGATGCTCCCCAAGAACATGCTCAAGGCCATTCCCCAGGACTACTTCAACCCAGAGACAGGCACTCTTCGTATATTGTTGGAGGAGGAATGGAGAGGGTTGGGCATCACCCAATCGTTGGGTTGGGCCCACTACGAGACACACGCCCCCGAGCCCCACATCTTGTTGTTCAAGAGACCCATGAACTACGGCCAGTAGGCGCCAGCACGAAGGCACAGGCCCGTGGTCGCCGTGGCTGGCCACTGCCTCAATTCTGTGGGTTCTGTGGCCGCCTGGCTTCCTTATCATACCACCCATCTCCGTATACGGACTGCATCGCCCCCCGTGGCATAGATATGTATTGCTAGTAATGTATTAGCATCGTGAAAGGGCTGCAGTAGCAACAACAGCCAAACCAGTAAGGATCAGTCTGGCTGCCTACTTTCTCTCCTGAGAACTGGCCAGCTAATTCCTATTTGTTGAAAAGTTCTTGCAAGTTACCGTATGGCAATTTCCCAATGAAGAGTCTAGAAATCGTCATTCCGAGATCACCAATCTTTACGACTGAAATACACTCTAGTGGGCACCTTTTATAGATATACATGGTCTTTCAGTACGTGCTATTTGTGTAGTTTCATTCTGTATTCTTAATCCGCTTGAGCCTTCCTGGCTCATGGATCATCTTCTGCCATCGTGTGATGATCTGTACGCGTCAATCGATATCACCAAAGTCACTACTGTTTCTGCCCTGCAACCACCACCCAGCTTCCAGAAGACGTCACCTATCGTATTCGTGCGTTTCGATCGTGCCAGCCTGCATTGCTGTGTGACCTCCTCCATCTTGAATCATCCACCATGCCACGAATAGCTCCAGTAGAACTCAACCAATTCCTAGATGATCTCGAACTGAACATCAACAACGACGACAACACCGACTTCAAGAAGCTTGTGCTCTTCTTGTTCAGCTTCACCAGTGAAAAACTACAAGAACTTGCCCAGGAGCCCAATGATCCCACCTCCATTCAGCTACTCCAGCGTCTAGTCTCTGCACTCGAGCTCGTGCTAGGCAAACGGCTCCACCTTTTGAACCTCCGGTTGACTCCCAAAGATACTACCTCCATCTCGCAAGAACTACCCAGCGCCAGCGATTTGCCCCTCTACGAATGGGCCATCCAGTTCACTTTACATCATCTCCCCAGCCATTACGAGCCTGAAACGCTCAATTGCTTGAAGTCCTTCATAATAAACATCATCAACCTTGTCACCACCAAGCTACACAACCTCAAGTATTGCATGCTCATCCGAGACCAGCTCTTGGCCCTTTTGCAAACCGATTTAGATTCCTTACTAAAGACTTTAGTCAACTCCACGGGGGTTTCCTTGCCTAAATTAGTTGGTACGATTCATTTATTCACCATTCTCAACGACTATGACTTATCAAATAAATTGGGCTTGAATCTTGCCCATTACCAATTGAAGTTCGAAAGCTTTGCCAGAAAGATATGGTTTCTTTTGAATGAGATTTTACCAGTGGCCGATTCTGACTTCGTGTCGAAGTTGCAGGACTTAAAGTCTCTATTGATACTCAACCAGGCAGACAATTTGGTATTGAACGATATGGTTACCTGGAATCAGATTTCATTTTTAATCTCATGGATTGTGGAAATTTTGAATGCCCCGACAACGGGCAATACGGAAACTACACTTTCAAGGACAATTAGTACCAGCTTGCTAAAAATCTTCAATCATTGTTTGGAAAAGGGCATAATTGACAGTTTGATTCATTTTCCCAACTTCTCGGGCGTATTGTATAACTTGTGTGATCAGCATCGCCCAAACACACACCCATTTCCCCCTACTATTCTCAAAACATTGCATATTATAAACTACTGTTACAGGCTAGCAGTGAATGATAAGATATTAATTAACTCTTATCAAACATCAACTTTGAATCAATTTTTAATCGTACCATTTGGTGAAATCGAGCTCGATGGCTTAAGAGCTAGAACTTTAGATCATTTCGGAGAAAGTAAGACTCATCAAATTTCGGAATTGTTATTCTACATGTCAGACAACGGAACAGATGTATCGAGTGAAAGAAAAAGGGAATCAAATGGAACCAACGGAACAAGAAAAAGAACTAGAGGGGATGCGGAAGGAGTAACAGATCTAATTGAGCCGATCCTTTCTACTTCATCGATAGATCTTAATAGCTGGATTCAAAAAGTTCAGGAAATGCTAAAAAATGATTCGACTTGCTCGAAATTGAGTAGTCTTCACATGATACTATCTGCAATGAGTCACTTCCCGTGCTTGGTTAGTAATGACTATAATTTTCAAGCACAAGAGTGTACCAAATGTGGTACACGATCGATGAACAAAAATCCATATGAGGTCATAAACACACATAGAAAAACTGTTTTCGAAAAGAACGAGATTAGTGTGTTTTACAATGTTATTTGTCAGCTCTTAGCATCTGAAAAGCGGTCAATAATAGAGAAGAATCCTGTATTAGGTTGTGATTTATTGCTTTCAATATTCAGTCTTTTTAGCAGCTATGCTCCACCAATTAAAGGAAAAGATTTATCTTCTGATATTATCTTCAGGTTTTTAATCCAAATGCTACTACAAAATAACAACAGGGAAGTAAGGTTAATCGTCACTCGCATCTTACCTTTATACTTGGTTCAGCCAGAAAGCGAACAAACTGAGACTAGTTTCAAAATTATTTTCAAACAAATTTCGTCAATTGAATTCAGCACTGATGAAAGGAGGCATTTTGGGGAGTCAACCATCAAGGCCTTTGTCGAACTAGCTATCATTTCAGGAGGCGAGAGACTTTGCATTTTATTTATCAAATTGATTGATTTACTAGGTGAGAATAATGATCAACATGTTAACTATGTGTACAACGGGTTCCTACAGATCGCATCAGCTAAGTCTTTGGCACCTTATAAATTACTATCTCCATATCTTCCCAGCATAGCTGAAGTCATCATAAAGAAAACGAGAATCTTGAATAGAATCACAGAGTTGTTGGGCATTACCAAAAAGTTCTTCTTGAACCGAACTAAAGAATATACCACACCCCGCCTATTGGAATACTATAAGGCTGATTTTATCCAGGAAATTGCTGAGGCTGCAGGAATTTCCAAATCTGATCTAATTAAGAAAAACTTGCCTCGAATCATTGCCACATATCTTGTCAAAGATGCTACTATAAATGAAAAGTATATTATTAATGTTTTGAGTAATATCAATCCTAAGTATAAACAGGTTACTTTAGGGGATCTCATTTCACGAGTTGGAGAAATAACTTGGTTTATTTTACTTCAAATTCAAATAGATTCGGATTCGAAGCAGTTCTTAAATGAGGAGAGAATATTGAACGCACTCAAGTATGTTGCAAAAATCGCGATCAAGCAGAAAAGGCTCCAAGTGAAGGATTCCAATTTTGACTATATTCAACATCACTTGGGAGAGAATGTCTTAGAGTTAGTTCAGAAGTTTAGTGAAAATGTTCATCATATCACCGGTACAAAACCATTCTTGGAAAAGATTAGTTCTTTAAGAGCAATCGAATTTCTTATCAACAAGAATATTAAAGCTGTCACTACTGCATTGGGTCAAATTTCCACTTGTTTACAAGCTTCATTGGAGAATCCGGACTTTCAGTATCTTGCCTTAGAGTGTTGGTTTGGCTTGGTTCAGAACTTGCCTCCAAATCATCTTATCTCTTTGATTGATATAGTAATATCTTTGATTTTCCAGAAATTCAATTCCTTTGAATATAAATCGAAGCTCATTGCTGTCGAAATCCTCAAGAAGATATACGAAGGAATCAAAAACAAGTATACCAGATATTCGCTATACTACTTGTCAATACCGTTTTTGGATTCCATTCAAAAGTATATGCCAATATCGGACTTCAAGATAACTAAGCATATGTCTAGGTTGAGCATATTTCAAGAATTTACCAGACGACTTAAAACCAGTAATGAGTACGTGGTTCAACAAGCATTGCAAGATTTACTGAATTATTGTCAAGAATATCAAGCTAACTGTCAGGCGGAGTATTTCCGAGACCCTCTTTTAGAGCCTAGCATTAGTGAATTAGTTCGGACAGTCCTTGATACTGCCTCAAAATTCAAGAATAGAAATGAACTTATCTCCACAAACTGTGCCAAAGTATTGTCAACTATGGGTTCTTTGGACTTTAATAAGTTTAACTTCAAGTCAGTAAAGAGCCAAATCATTGTCATTCAGGATTTTAAGGACTACAGGGAAAATAGTGAGTTCTTGATTGACTTCATTGAGAACATGGTTTTAAAGATATTCTGGTCCTCGAATAATCCAATAAAGCAGTTGTTCTCCGCATATGCAATCCAGAAATTTCTTGAGATATTGAACTTAAATGATGTGATGAATCCTAATAAAACGAGTCAGGATCATCTAATTGCAGTATGGAATAGGTTTAATGAAGTTTCTAAATCTACCCTTATCCCACTCCTTAATTCAAAGTATGTGGCACCGATTTCCAGATTTGAGCCACTAGGATTTCCATACTTCAAAATTCACATGAAGTTTGAAGTGTGGTTGGTAGATTTTACATCTAATTTACTTCGAAGACCATTGAAGAGTGTGTTCGACAAGACAGTCCCGCCTACAAAAGAAACCATCTTCGAAACTTGCTCAAAGCTAATCAAAGATCAAGACATTTCATTATGTCACTATTTATTGAAGTATGTTGCATTAAGTCATATCATGAATGGAAATGATGAAGTAATTCTGGACGTTAAAAAAGAGTTCATGGAAATATTGAATGCAGATATTAGGAGTGCTTCTGGTGATAGGATGGAACTGTTAAAAAACTGCTATCATACCATTTTTGAGGTATTGGATTATTTCCATGCTTGGGTTTCGTCAGCAACGCAGTATCTAAACAATTCAGCCTTAGACTCGCAAGAATTGAGTCGCTTCAAGAAGCATATAAAGTATGTTAACATTTTCCTTGATTACATACCAATGGACTTAATTGCTATGAAATCATCACAGTGTGATTCCTATGAAAGAACTATCCTATACTTGGAAAAGTGTTACAGAAGTGGAAGGGTTGAAGATTCCATCATTTCATCAACACTTCAGTCAATGTATGCTAATATCAATGACTTCGATGCTTTGAACGGAGTATTGAAAAAGTTTTCGACCAATAACTTGACCGAAAAACTCAGAACCTTCCAATATCATGATAATTGGTCTCTTGCCCAAGAATCATTCCAAGTAATTTGCAACTCGGAAGATCAAAAATTCGACAATATTGAAAACAATACCAAGCTTCTCAAGTCTCTTAGTGATCATGGCCTTTATGAAGAAGTCTTGTCTAACTTGGCTGCAAAATCTGATTTGATTAACCTAACTTCGATTCCACTTGATTGGTCGATGGTGGGGCTCCAAGCATCTGTCCAAGCGGGTGACATTAATCAGATTAATAAGTGGATTCTTATTGCTAGTTCAATTGGTAAACCAAAAGATGTGGAAACTCAGATTGGATTCGAATTTGCAAAAGGTATCAAGTTTCTTTTTGAAGGAAAAAATGATGGATTTGAAAGATGTATGGAAAGTATGTATCGAACCATTGGATCTTCACTAGTTTCTTCGATATCTTCTAGTTTTTCCAGAAACACATATTTGATGAACCAGTTACATGCGATTTATGACTTCTCGTTAATGGTTGCACCTCAAGACGAACTTCGCAAAAAAGACAACGAGAGAATACTTAAAGCAAGGCTAGAAAATATGGATCAAGGATTTGACCTGCAATGGAAGATACTCACTTTGCATCAAGTGGCCAACAAAATATTGAAGAATAAAAGTAAAATCTCAGAATTGTTGCTCTACTGTTCTTCTCTTGCTAGAAGAAACCAAAGATTGGATGTTGCAACAAGATCTACCATTAAGGCAATGGTCCTTGATGATCAGAATGCTAATATTGAATACGCAAATCTTTTGTGGGCACAAGGAAAGCAAACAGAGGCCATTAAGTCTTTGAGTGAGATTATTGTGGAATACAAATTCAAGAATGATGAGGCAAAGGCTCAAGCCCAATTACAGTATGCAAAGTGGCTTGATGAGTCGAATCATTCGTCATCTCTGGCCATCATCAATGAGTATTCCAAAACAATTGAACTTGATAATCGCTGGGAAAAGCCATATTATGACTTGGGAGTTTACTACAGCAAGATAATGGAGTCTACAAAGGACCAATCTGGATATTATGAGCAACAAACTGTTCGAAACTTCTCAAAGGCATTAGCGGTTGGTAACCTGTACATTTTTGAAGCATTGCCTAAATCTATTACTATCTGGCTCGACTTTGCTCAAAGAAGATCTAAAACGAGAGAGGCAGAAAGAAAATTAAATCAAATAGTGGAAGATATTGATAAGTGCCTAACTACTATTCCTGCTTACGTTTGGTATACTGCCATTACTCAATTATTATCCAGAATTGTTCATGAGCACAAACCATCATACGAGAAGCTAGCCGCTATTATCAGCAACATCATCAAGACTTATCCTAACCATAGTCTCTGGTATGTGCTTTCGCATTCACTGTCAAACGATTCAGTGAGAAGAGAAAGAGTGAATACAATTTTGAAGAAAGTCAAGAATGATGATTCAAGTTATGGAGTCACCATAGAGAATGCCAAAGAGCTATTTAATAGTTTGATCAAGATTGCAAATTTCAAAATTCCAAAATCCCCAAGAGCGAAAAGGCTTTCATTAGAAAAAGACTTTAAGGTTACGAATCTATCCAACCCTTACACATCTCTTGTCATTCCTGTTCGCTCCAATTTAGAGATCAGGTTACCCTCTATTCAAACTTCTAAATTCAATGCTTTTCCCAGGTCTGCTTCTATCACTTTCGATGGTTTTGATGACATTGTTAATATTTTCTATTCGTTACAGATGCCACGTCAAGTGACCATAAGAGGATCTGATAACCAACCGTACAGGCTTATGGTTAAACGAGATGATACAAGAAAGGATGCAAAGGTGGTGGAATTTACTACCATGATTAACAGACTACTTTTGAGCAGTACTGAAGCTAGAAAAAGAAAGCTAGTAATTTCAAACTACTCTGTGGTAGCACTCGCTGAAAACATGGGAGTAATTGAGTTTGTAGCTGATGTGCAAACAATGAAAAGCATTATTAGCGAGCAAAGGAGAAAGATGGGACTAGTTGTGAATGAAAGAAAAATATTCATGAAGTTGGATGAAGCTCAAAAGATGGTGAAAAGTTCAAAATCCTCAGACCTACAAACACTTAATAACTTGACCGAACTATTCAAATCAGTCTGCGAAGAAAATTCACCTGTACTACACAATTGGTATATAGACCAATTTTCAGATCCTTCGGCATGGTATTTAGCAAGGAATAGTTTTATTCGCTCTAGTTCAGTCATGTCTATTGTCGGATACATCATTGGCCTTGGTGATAGACATTGTGAAAATATCCTATTCTTCAGAAAAAATGGTTCTGTATTGCATATTGATTTTGATTGTTTATTTGACAAAGGTTCTACTTTGCCAACCCCAGAAATTGTTCCTTTCAGACTAACACAAAACATGGTAGATGCTATGGGTGTTTGTGGAATTGAAGGGGGGTTTAGGATAACTTGTGAGGTAACTGGATCCATTCTTAGAGAAAATGAAGCTCCTTTGATGAATATTCTCGAGACATTGCTTTACGATCCATTGCTTGATTGGAAGAGTTTGCAAAAGCCCGAGACGCATTTATCCAAAGTGAGAAGAAAGCTTCGAGGTTTAGTGAATGAAAAGGAAGGATTGCCTATGAATATACATGGACAAGTGGATATATTGATCCAGGAAGCTACTTCTGTGGAACGTTTGTCTCAAATGTATGGGGGATGGGCTCCTTACATATAGCTTTTTGATACATCATGCCTCACTGCAGATTGTATCATGTTCGTGTTTGGAACTTTAGTTCCTTTAAATAGGTCTTCGATGTCAACATTATATTATGGATTAAATATATACCCACAAGCTAATGTCAGGAACTAAATGATCTTATCTATCTGACAAAATAAGTACTCTACAGTCAAAGAAGTGATATGATTTATGAACTTTTGCTATACTAAGGGCTATATTTGTCTGAGGATTTCAGCCATAGGAATAGCTGCTGCATATTTTACTCCTTTTAATCTATTGGAGGTGGCGGTTTTCTTGTCAATCTTCCCTCGTGCCCCAAAGCAGCAACCCCACTAATACTAGAAGTAGGACTTCTTGCTGCTAAATTTTGAAGGCTTGTATTGCTAGCAAAATTCTGAATTTTCTCATTGAAATCAACAATTAAAGCTTCATCCTCAATATCACTTGCTACGGCATAATTCATGGAGCTGTCATCAGTATCAGGAATTGATGTCCTTTTGTGGCCGACTTCGAGAGGGTCCTCGTTGAAGGTTTCACACTTGAGTGGCTCGCTCTTGAGCGATTCCACTTTCATTTCACTTTCTAATGCTTGATCGGCTGGGGTGACAGGAAAACCAAGATTCGCTGACTTTTCAGCTACTTTATCTCTTAATGAGGTGTTGCTGGCAAATCTGCTGAACTCGTATGACGGGTTCTGTTTCGAAAAATGGCCTTTCTGACTTTCGAGGCTTGAATTTGATGCTTTTCTTGGGAGGCGCCTGCTCAGGATCATTTCTGGAGGCGTATACTTCTCTTCTGTTGAAGCTTTCTCATCTTTGAAGTACCATTTACCGATTTTTTTCAATGTATTCATGGTAGCATTCCGAGTAGATGCACCCAGTGACTGTGACTCTACTTCACCCAAATAAGCCTCGTTCAATCCATTATTAGATCTGGTATTCTTAAGCTTCTTTCCGAAGTCTGTTATGGTATTGGAAAGCTTGCTCTTTGATTTCTGAGACGAAAGCTCTATTTTCTCTTCGATATCACTAGGTAAATCCGTCTTCTCTTCAAGATCAGAAGCCAATGGTTGTGTTTCTCTCTGTTCTTCACTTCCTTGTGGTGGTTCCCAAATGCCCCCACGATAAACCTCATCAGTTGTTTCATAAAATACAATATCATCCCAATGAGGAAGAACAAAACTCTCCTTAACTGCCTCCTTGAATTTCTTTTCGATGGTATTTGTGATTATGGTGTATGCCATCTGCCTAGAACTTATAACTGGTTCTATCTTCAAGTTCATAGTTGGTTCAACTTCGAATGCATACCAAAGTCTACCAGATGGTGGTGGTTTAAGTTTTATAAGCATACGTCCCTCTAGTTTTGAAAGGGTAATACGCAATACCAAGTCCACATCTCGGGTTTTAAACCTAGCACCTAAACTGATATTGACTTTAGTAGCTATTTCAATGGAAAAGTTTCCATGGTATGTCATATAAGTTGACACAAGAATAGTTCCATCAGGATTGATCTCTTTGAGACTTGGATATGTGAAGAAAGGGGCAGAATCACCCGGATAAATTGAATTAATTACGAACTTGTCCAAAAATCCTGGTTTCTTGATTTTGTTAAGCTTCTTGGCTACTTTCGTGTAAAGATAAGTTTCTAGCACCTTCGTCTTTTGAAAAGAGAGGAACAATCTTCCGATGAGTGCATTTAACCATTTCGTTTGAAGCTGACCCTCAGAACTGTATAATGTTTGGATGAGGTCCATGATGTGACTAGTGGTGAAATGGAGGGTCTTCGCGTGTATCTCTGGATCGAGAGAAGAAGCGAAATCATTGTGAGCTGGTTGTTTAGTAGATCTGATGAGTGCAAAATACCAGTCTTCCTTATCGATATTGTAATCGCAGTAAATGAAGAACTTCGCCTCTGGTGATTGTATTTTATTGGGTTGAGTTTCGGATGAGGGCTTCAAGATAGCAATTGCTGAGCTTCTAGTGAACAAGCTCCCATCTGACAACCCCCTGGGCCACAAAGATACAATGTGACTAGATAACACAATCACATGCTTGACGTCTTTTAAGCTTTCGTCTTTATAGAGAAACAAGTTGCCATGTTTTAGAATTGCGTAGTATCTGTGTTTTCTTTGAGAATTTCTGATTTTATCGCTTGGCTGGTTAGGTTGGTTTGCAGATGCTGCTGTGGCGGCTGAAGGCGAAGTGGAGCTTGTAGAAGCCACCACGGGCTCGCTCGCAACATCCTCGGAAGAAAACCCACTGAAGGGGAAGTCGAACGATCCGGACCTGGACTTCTTGGTGCCATTACAATCGTTCTTTATGATAACCGTGTCTTTTTGCACAAGCTTGTAGAGGGAGGAATAAGCCGACTTGTTTTCAGGCGCCTCGCTAATGGACTGGGTGGCAGATGTGATGTCGTCCGGCGACTCCAAATACTCCTGGGTGACGAAAATCCACCCTGTCTTGAAGGTGTCCAACCCTGACTGGGTCTTCTCTTCCACCTCTCCAGCCTTTAGGGGCTCCGAATACTCCAAATTGTCCCCATTGAGCACTCCAGTCTTGGGTGACTTGCGACTGGATGTGTTGGCATTGCTATCGGAACTGATCTTGGGGTGGAGATAAATGAAGGTGAAAATGAGGAGGGGAAAAAAGGTTATGCCGCCTACAAAGTAGGCGACTAGTAGTTGGGTTAATTCCATGAGGGTTACGGAATTTGTTGGTAGGCAAAGAACGGTCTGTGGTTGAGATAGGGTACCCCAGATGATTCACTGATATGTGCAGGGCTGTGGTCACGTGACACAATTCTTAGGGGACCAGCAAGCAAGTCTTTAGAGTTCTGAAACACTTATCGACTTACAGTTAAGCTTGTCGTTTCCAATTCTCTTCCTTACTAAGCTTGTTGTTCCGCAACGACTTTTACTGATTGCCCCTGGTGGCTCATGTTCAAGGAGGTGGTGGTCAAAGTGGGAATCACGTGGATGGTTCTATGCAGCTGCCTAAATAGAACGGCATTAGCATGTGTCGTGGAATACCGACATTGTCGTCTAATTGACGAATTAAGAAAAAAGCATAGTTAGGGTAGCCAAACTTGTCTATCTCGATAGATGCCCTGTGTATCTTTAACGACCCAGCCCCCTAGAATCTTTCCTCCAAGATACCAATAATTGCCACCAAAGTGGCGAAAATGCTGGATTTAGGGGAAATTTCTTTCCCTCACTCAGAAAAGAAATTTTCGATCGATGCATTCCTACTAAAATAGTTCGTCCTTGTGCAGATAAGCGGAACAAGAACAAAAAAAAATTATTACGGAGGGGAACCTAAACCGAGCATTGTGTGAAGATCCTGTAGTCCAATAATTGGTCCGCCTGAAAAACTGTGAGCATGGGACCAAATCTGAACGTCTAACTTCGCTCAAAACATGTTTTACAAATGTATTTCAATTCAATAAATCCATTTATTATACTTATTACTGTACATGTACCGAGAAATAAATTAAGGTTAGAAATAAAACTGTAATAATAGTTCACAAGAAGAAATCATTTATCAAAAATGTACCAGTACTGACCATTTCACTAGCCTTACCGGACAAGATAGACCTCTTGTTCAAAATCTTGAAGATATCATGAGAGTCGCCATCGGCAACAGAGTAAGATGAAGCATTAAGTGCTGAAGAAGAACAGGAAGTAAAATCGGATAAGTTCAAATTGTTGTGATTCTGCCTGTAGTGAAATCTCATTTTGTTATTCACTTTAGAGAAACCATCCGATGTAGAAGGAGCAGCAGGAACACTTGGAACCTTTTCCTCTTCACCATAAGAAAAATAGTCATCAAAAGTATATGACTCACCATTACTTTTAGAATTAGAATTAAAGTTGACATTCTTGAAGAATGGAACGTTAGGATTATGAGTGAAAGTTGGAGTGGAAGGGCTTGGAGGGTTGGGTACTATATCGTGGTTGGTTGGCTTCCGAGAGCTCGAGTTTAATAATGCAAAAGAAGAATGATCGTTATACACTTCGAGAGGAGTTTTCCTGAAGTTGGCGTAGTATGAGCGAATGTTATCGTTCAATATTTTTGTGAAATTGAGCGATTTTAACTCGGTGAAGCTAATGGGATTGCTGCTTTGCAGTTGTTCATTATTCACGGATGCATTAGTCTCTTCCTCGTCCAAGTTCAAGATATCATTATTCACATTAGTCAAGCTCAATAGCTTTTCAACAGGATCAATCTTGTCACTATTCACTTCCTCTGGTGCTTGAATCCTCCTCCTTTTTGATGGAACAACTTCACTGTCTGATTTCCTAACTATAGGTTTGTTAGTGGGTTCTAAACAATCAAACGACTCTCTGACCTTAGAGGTCATGGTGCGTGTACGACTAGACTTACGAGTAGACATTGATAGAATCGATATGGTCAAACCAATGGCAAATCCAGGCCTGGTATGAATGAAATGAAAATATTTGACGGGGAAGTCAGGTCAACTGAAAAACTAAATCAATGGAACAATTCTACTCAACACAAGGTGGAATATGTGCTAAACTCTAGGCTTCTCAGACAGTTTGTAAGCAGTACGTGATCAAGATGTGAACACTTCTGATGAAAACTCTGGGGATTGGTTTTTGATATTTGGAGAGGGGGACCATATATATAGACAATTTTTCTAAAATTTTTTTTAGCATTTTTTTTTATTTTTTATCTAGCATTTTTTTTTTTTCATTGAAAAATTTTGTTTGTTGTCGGACCAAGATATGGCAGAGAGGGGAGGGAAAGTATGCCTGGTAAATTTTTGTGTCGCTGCTTCTTTCGCTATATATGGGGAATTTGAGGAGTCATGTCACCACTGGGAACCGATGCATCATGAACAGGGTGCTTAATATCACCATTTGGCACTCATGGTAGTCGCTATGCTATGCTCGTTTTGATTATTTGCCGTTACTTTTTGTTGTTAGGTGCCCGCGAATTCTGTTGTACATGCATCTCTACCTGCAGGACTGCAGTAAAACAAGTAAGGTCAAAAATCTCTGATGCTATTGGTGGAATTTGGAAAGCCCCCTAAGTCAAAAAAGGTCACTACACCCAAATAAAAATGTAAGCTAGATATGCACATTTGTGATTAGATGTTGTTCATTACATGACCAAGAAATTTGCCATGAAATTTTCTGTGCCAGGCTCGCTTATTCTTGAACCCCCCAACCCCTCAAGTTGAGATTTCAGGCTGAGTGGTTTTTAACAAATCCGGGGGAAGCCTCTATCGTCCTACTAAGCATTCAAGTAATCATAACCTTTGTGTTAAGTCCACGTAACTGATAAGAACGCTGAGGAGCAACTCGGAGTAACAAGCTCAATTGAATTTATCTGGTATATCAAAACCAGAAAAGCAACCCAACGTGGTTTACCAAGAATTATCCTACTGTCCCTTGTGATAAGCCTGTAGATTTCTGTGACCACGACGTTTTGGTACCCTCCTCCACCCACGGGGAGTTGTTTGAATGTTCCGAACGCTAATCTCCTCACTCACTCAACCCCCCTAGAACCCCGATTAGGACACTCCAGGGATATTTCACCACGGGGCCGACATTTACGAACCCTTTGGGAGTACCAGTAGACTGGCCCCTTTGGACTTCTGCAGAATTACTTCCCTACATGGCTGATCCTTTTGTGCCTGAGAATTATTCTATCATTACTCCTATCTAATCTATTATCTTTACTAGTGGAGACTATAACATGACATGGTCACAAGCCCCGTTGTGTGCCTCTACCGCCAAGTGCCTCATCAATAGAAACATGGTGCCTTTAGGACGGAATTTCCTGACTAGGTCCAATCGAATAATAGGTATGATCCTTTTGGGCATTGTTGCCCGGAATCAGCACGTTTCCGCCTTGCTGTCAGATTTCTATTCCCGAATGCGCATTAGCCGTATGGTACAAACATTCGACTGGGAGTTTTCCACAAGTTTGGAAGTGGGGAATTTGGTAGATTAGCAGTGCTCTATGTAGCACACAAGAAATGGCAGGTGGGTCGATCCCCCTTCCACGGGCAGCTTCGGAACACATTCGATTTTTGAAAATTTCATTATTTGCACCTAGGTCCGGTATGAGGAATAATTGTTAGAAAAGGTTCTGACTACCTTGATCACAATACCTGGATCTCAATACAGTGAGTGATATCTGGCAAGGTAACCCATTTGTTACTTCATAGCATTGATTTTGCAATATCCCTTTTTGCCCAAATTTTGAAAATTTTGAAGAAGTTGATTCAAATGAAAAAAACTGAAGGAAGACTTTCACACCAGTGACGAACAACAAAGCCTCAAGTAATCGGAATACAACATCCAAAATCCTTCATCGACACTTAATACCAGGTTATTTCCAGAGTACAGTTTACAACTTTGCATCCAGGGACTACCTCTGAAACTATGGCCAGGGCTATGAGGAAAATAAGGAGTTAACTACCTATGAATCAATATATGCTTACGTAAAAAGAACTAGCAAAGGACTATGTAACTTTTGTCATTCTACATATCAAATTGTCCGTTGATGTCATAGCAGGGTTACGAACTGGAGGGATTTCTATTCAGAGCACCGCTATTTTGGGCGAGTGCACACCAAGAGCAACGAAGAATTTGAGGAACACGGTACTGTCTTACCTCGTTCCTCCTCCCAAAATACACTTCAGGTTATAAGTTCCATTGAAGCCATCTAATGAGAGGATGCATACATTGACGTGGTTCCTGAATCGTTGACACAAAACAGCGTGGCCGTGCCATAATACACCAAACCTCTTGACTCGCACTGCGATCTACAAAATATTCAGTGATAGATCCTCATGCTGTGAGAGCGTGCTGGAGGCTATTGTTTCTTCCCATCGAACAGGAAGTGGCCAACTAGTGAGAGGAATGGTAGATGACGTTCTTTGTATGTGTATATAATCCGTTTGTTCCGTTAGTTTCGGAATACTTCGTAACTGCCCTCTGGAGTGACACGAGCCCCGGTCGCGTCCTCGTGAATTACGAGCATCGCTCATTGGCACTATAAAAAGCGAAAAATAACTTGAAAAAAGAACGAAATTTTCAACAACATACTTCATTCTTTTTCATCATCGTAAGTATTTCCTATAAGATGATTATAACGAGCCCTGGAGGCTCTATCTTATAAACCCAGCTCTTCGATACTTTTTGTTTCATGAGAAGAATAGTTAAGATAGATGATTATATGGAAGTTCATACTAACATCAGCCGTCCTACTTCAATGGATCCGGAAACCGTATTCTCATAGTGGATACTTCTACAATTGTTGGAGTTGACTATCCAATCCACCAGATGTAGTATGAAGATCGTTCGAGGCGCTAGGATTGTTGGATCAATTCTTCGATCCAAAGATTCTAAAGTGATTCCTCAAGATGATCAATGTAGACTTCCAATAGGGACAATTCATGTTGTAAGAAGGATGATGCTCGCATTATCGAGGAATAGAGCGAAGCAAGTTACACTTGTGATGGTGTCCACACTGGATACCGCTACACAGAAACTACACTTAGGGGCCGCATTAGTTGCACAATAAGTGGATTACCTGATTTCCCTTCTACAGTTGTGACGATAGAACGCCAGACGAGTATCATGGCTCATGTATTATTCCTCCCTCTCCAAGGCTTGTTTTATTACTCCAATAATAGCACTGCTTTGAATCTTCTCGTTTCCTCCCTTGGAAATACCATACTCGATCTCACTCAATCCCTTGTATATTTCTATTCTTGTGCTAGACTTCAATTGGTAATTGTTTAAGATGTCGATGAATCCACTTATTAAGTCTATCAAGGCTAATCCTTTGGTCTTTTTGTATTGATCCAAGGTCATGAATGCAGTGGTCCAGTCGTCTTTTAAAATCGAATCTAACACTGTCTCCACGTCCTTGGGGTGAGGTGCTCCGATACACTCGTATATCATATTTTCGTCGATTTCATCGTCCGTTTCTCCATTGGTGGCAGCCTTGCATGCCTGCAATACGTTCAAGGCTCTTCTCATGTCACCCCTGGACAATTTCAACAAAGCAGCAGTTGCGGGATCTGCTATGTTGATGCTTTCTTTGATGATAACATTTTTAATTCTTTCCTGTATGGCGGATTCGGATATGGGTTGGAATCTGAACCTAGTACATCTGGATACCAAGGCAGGATTAAGCTTGTGAGCATAATTGGCCAAAATACAGAAACGGGTATTTTTGGTGTATGTTTCAATGATTCTTCTCAAAGAGTTCTGGGCAACGGCAGTCATGGCATCAGCCTCATCCAAGATAATCAACTTGAAACCACGGGAGAAAATCTGCATGGTTGAGGCGAAGTTCTTGATTTGGTTTCTTACCACATCGATACCTCTGTCATCTGAGGCGTTCAATTCCAAAACCAGGTTCTTGTAGTTGGGACCATAGATTTCTTTGGCCAATGCTATGATGGTAGAAGTCTTTCCTGTTCCTGGTGGTCCGTAGAAGAGAAGATGCGGCAATTTGCCCTCGTGGACGAACTTTCTGACTGTATCGACAATGTCGGATTGTCCGTAGACTTCCTCCAAGGAGTCTGGACGGTACTTTTCAACCCTGGATGTTAGTACAAGAAGAACAAGGAGGCGACACTGGAGGATTGCCAGGAATTAGAAGCTTCCCTTATGGTGGTCTTACTGGTGGAGACGAGGAAGTGTCAGCATGACTGGGCACCAGTCGAGGGTGATTCTGTAGCTGGTGCTGGATGGTTCCTTGTCTATCCGGTGCTTCCACGAAGTTGCCATCTCATTTCCACGAACTAGTCTTGCAGGAGCAAGTCCATACTATACTTACCAAGGCAAATTTTCCTTCGAGTCGGTGGTCATTGGTGTGGTGGTTGATGGATGTGAAGTGTGAATTTTTAGACGCGTGAGTCGTGTCTGGTGGGTGGGTGCTAAATGTGCCACCAGTGAGTACAAGTGACCACAGTGGGCCAGCACGACATGGAAATCTACATGGCGACCTGGGCCAACGGGATACTGTAATCTACAGACGTCCTGGGTGGTGCTTCTGTTCTCAATTTACTTGTATCTTCCATTAAGATGTTATGATATCCCGTTGATATAGCCTAATTATATAATATACCCATTAAATATCTGACTGACATAGAAGTTAGATAAGTCCACCGTCACCCAGTCTATCTGTGGCCACCGGCAGCCACGTCTATAAGTGCTTAAACGAGCACATTGGCAGCTACTACCACCAGCAACAAGAGCCAGTTGACCGTGTTTCTCAACCCACGGCTGCTCACCACCTTTTCTGTGCCCACGTAATTGCAGGTAGGATAGCGGCCTCCCAAATCGAAATAGTACGACTTCTCGATGGATACATTTTTTTTGGGGCAGCTGAACTGGAAATCCGCAGGACAGTCGGCCACAATGGCCTGGCACACGTTGAGACAAGGCAATACCTCGTAGTAGGGAAGGTTGGGTTCGATGGTGTTTAAGATAAAGTCATTTCTCGAATCGTTGGTCTCCCTGTACTTGTAGCCTGTGACGTTTCGCGTCGAGCACCGGGGAATGGTCACAGCACAGAGCCAGTCCTTGTAGCTATCAGCACAGTCCTCGCACGTCCGAACTGGAGAAAAAACGGCATCCGCAGTGGTGTTGCATGCGATCTGTTGGAGCGCCTTGGAGAAGTTGGTGAAGAGGTTCTTGGCCTGGTCGTCGTATAACTGCTTTACACTGTCCTTGGAACCGTCCTTGTTGGTGGGAACTGAGTAGGCCACTCTGTCGCAGAACTCCAAGTCGTAGATCAACTCGCAGGCTGGACTGTCGAGGGTCTCGAACTCCAAAGGCTGGTAGATGGCGCCACCAAAGCTGTTTCCGCCGAAATCAGACACAAGGTACGCGAGGTACTTAGTGGAGCTGTTTAAGTTGCTGACGTAGAACTGCTGCTGGATTCCGCCGTTTCGGGTGGTGTAGCTGGTGTTGATTTCCGAGGAGCTGAGCAAGGCAGGCCCGTCTCTGATGGCACACCAACTGCAGTTCAACGACGCAAAGTAGTCCTTGTAGTCGTAGGAGTACACCAAGAGCGAGTAGGGCGATTTCGAGATGTTGAGCCGCGAGAGGTCGCTGGAGTGGGGTGCAGTCAAGTTGTTGGTGACGATCAACGCCGACTGCTCATCGGTGTCGACCACCATTGCGGAAGGACGGTCGTCCCACTGGAAGACCAAGTCATTCTGGGACACACCGATCTGGTAGGTCCAGTTGGCGGTTCGGTCGGTGTTTTCAGGCGCTCTAACTGCGATGTAGAGCACTGAGTCCTCATACTCGGACGAGTCCACGATAGGGACATCCGTCAATGCCTGGAAGTACCCAGCCTCAAAGAGCTCCATCTGACCAAGCTCAAAGTTGGTGAACATCGACGCGTTGAACGAGTAGTACACCGCAAGACTGGTGTCGTTCAGGCCCACATTGGACGGCTGGGTGCAGAGGTTTCCTGTCAAGAAGATCAAGAGCTGGTAGTACTCGCCTAGCCCGCTGGAAGTGTTGACGTTGAACGAGTAGAGCTGGAGCTCGCTCTGCACGATGGTATTGCTGATGGGGGTAAATTCTGTCAAGTAGTCTTCTCTACCCTTTCTGGGAGGTATCACTGACTGTTTGAACGGACTGAGTCCAGCCTGGAACTGAGCCATGGGGTCCAACGGCTGGTCATGGTCCAAGTCGAAGCCTGTGTCAAACAGGAACGCCGTGACTATCGGGAAAAGTAGGAGCCAGACGAAGAAGAGCATGGATGGTTGGACTGAATGGTGTCAAGTGCAGGATGGATATAAGGGTGGAACGAGTGAAAAATGGGGAGATAAATGTAATGGAAAAAAAGGTAGGGTGAATGATTAGAGATAATAAATTGATAAATAGACCGAATGAATGTTGATTCAAACTGTAGGCAGGGCGGAATCGAAGGAAGGTTAATGGTAATGGCTGGTAATGGTGACTTTAGGCATATTTTCGCCCAACATGCCAATAAGGGTAGTAAACTATTCTTAGTCAGTGCTACAGGTAGAATTGGGTCGTAATGTACTTGTAGCAGCTCCATTGCCTTGGAGATTTTATAAATTATTCTGAGTTTACACCACTGTTGATAACGCATTGTTGAAGAGACCTGGCACCAAGCCATTGGTGCCTGGACAATAGGAAGCCATGTTTACAATTTGAGTATAAGACAGGTCAGCATGGTGAAGAAAGTTCGCTATGAATTTGGCTATATTCTGTTGTCTTTAGATGCTCAGATGGATTTTCAACAGCAGTGGATGGAATTCTCGCTTCAAATTATTACCGAGGTGTATTCTTTTGACTATGCAGAGTCACGGTATGTAGAATTTATCTAGCCATCGGCCATTGCTTACAATACATAGACAAGCGTATTCGTGTCCTCTGATTTTATCTTCAGAGACTTTTTTTACAAGTCAGGGCCAAGTGTATGACTGGTTTCTGCCTATGAAATCTACTTGGGCTTAGCGTAGTTTTGTTAGCCCTGGCTACATTACTTTCTATGCACACCTGTATTGAAGGCTCTATTCATCTAGTTACACTAACGCATAACCCGTTAGCTCATGAAAAAAGTTTCCAGAACCTTTTCAACTTACTCTTCTTAGGCTTGCCGAGACTGTCGGAGGACCCTGAATTCAAACTGGAATGACTGGTGATATCGGGATGGGAAGACAATGGTTTCAATTTAGGTCTAGAAGACTGTCTTTCAATTTCAAGTGATGCTGACTTGTGGTTCGAAACCTCTTTCTTCTTTTGTTCACCCTGCTGTTGCTTCGCAGCACTAGGCGACTCCAAGTTGACAAATTTCAAGGCACTCTTTCTTGGATCCGGGGCACTAGTCTCTTCCGATGGTGAGTGGACACTGATTTGGGGGACTGCGGGAGCAGGCGAAGGGGACTTGGGAGACTGTGGACTTGACTTCTCTTGGTTGAGCATCAAATTCCGTTTCATTTCTTTGAAGGACAAACCAGGTCCCAAAGAAGGAGTCTCGGACTTAGACTTCTCGATGGGCTCTAATAATGACTTTGTTTTACGAGCAGCCATCCCAAATGAATTTGCTCCTGTAATAACTTCTGCAAGCTTAGCTCCCTTGCCTCGAGTGTCCGGATCTATTTCTCTAATCTCCTGACACAAACGAGCAGACTTGTCTGTTACTATTCTGGCAAAGCTGGCGTAAAAGTCCTCATTCAAAGGCTCTTTCGCAAGGAGTTTAATATTAGATTCCAAATCCTGTTTGTAATCAACATATAGCTTGGAAATCTCATCGTATGAAGAGTAGGAATCATTGGATGAAAAACTATCACTGGAATTGATTGAGGCTGCATCGTCATCGTTGATCAACTTTTTTTCCAATTCTGGTGAAACCTCTGGCACTTTTTGAACAATTTGTTCCGGCGAAGATTCGTACCTCTTCTCTATCTTTTGAACTAATTTTCTCTCAAAATCATTCATATTCATGGCTGGAACCACAATAACAGGCAATGGGAAATTCTTGACCAAACGGTCAGTTAATTTGGAAGAGATCCATGACTTTAAGGGTGCACTAATTCTCAAATTCTGCTTAGTTGCGGTGCAAACCAAATTTGGTTCGTACAACTTGTACATTTCCTTCAAAACATCTTTCGTCTTACCAACTGCCAATTCCAAGGACACTTTTGTAATGACATCAGGATTCATCACTTCCATGATATAAGTCATAAGATTTTTAGCTATGATTTTAGTGTACTCTGGTCTATTTCTTTGCCTCAATCTCATTCTTGGCGTCATCGCTGGGGTTCTTTGTGGAGAAAATTGGGACAGACGTCTTCTCGTACACACAAATTGCTCCGATTTAATTGCAGAAACCACAATCACTGTATCACCATGTTCTATAAAGGTGCTTAAGACCCAATCCAAAGCGACCCATGTGTGTTTTCTGGCACTGACATACACCAATATTGTTCGTCTAGGCAACACAGGTCTTTGCGGGATCTTTGCCAAGTACAAATTTTCAAAGTCCCTGTGGAGCTTGGTGAAGGTACATCCACGATGGGTGATGATTGGCCTGGTGGGATAATCCGTTCTCATAGGTTTGATGAGCCTGGCAATATCGATGTTGGTGAAGTCAATGCCACCGTTTCTCAATGGTGAAGGCATTCTTCTGCTGGGAGAAACCGAGTAGTGCCTCGACAGAGACATCGAAGGGCTTCTGCTCTTCTCGCGGCCTCTGCCACGGTCGACGAAGCCATTCATTCCCCAATCATCTTCGCCGTCTTCATCATCGAAATCGTCATTGTACTGAAGGTTGATAGTATCGAAGGAAACTCTTTTCTTGTATTTGGATTTGGTGATCAACTTTGGGTCTCTGTCTTCGGGAATGTTGATTCTAGCGGCCCTGTAGTCGTCGGAGTGCCTGAACGAGAACCAGTCCAAAATATCGTATTTGCCGAGCTCACCAATAGCAGGTGGTTGGAATAAATGGGTGTGTTCTTTGACGCCTTGCTCGGGGGTGCCTCTTGACTGGTCCTCTAGCCCTGCTAGAGATCTGATCAAGTTGGGGGTGGACGATGAGGTGGTGATGGGAGGACGGGACAGCTGGGCGTCCTCGCCGTCTGAGTAGTTCTGGGAAGTGTCTGCCGTCATGATTGCACTGGTGGTGAAGTGGGACGGATGGAGGTGGAGATCGAGCGTTCGGTCGAATCAGAGAGACAAAGTTGGTGATGGGACGGAGTTGCTATGTACGTTTTGTGGCCAATGGGTGGAATTTGGAACAGCTGAGGGTGGCAGGCGGGCTATGGCACAAACGGGGACGGAATCAGGGCGTGTGAGCAAGAAGAGCCGTAATGTGGTGGTGATGCCCGTTGGAGGAGTAGCCAGGAATGGCCACGCCAGAAACCTCCCCAGAGTCTGGAGAGGGCGGTGCGCGCACGACGGGAGTGGTGGGCGTTTGCAGCCGTGCGAAGGAGACAGATGCGACAAGCAGTATGGGCTAACAGAAAGAGCTGCTAGAGATGTCTGGGCGTTGGTGGCAATATTCAGGCTACGAAGCACTGTGAGCAGTCAGCATAGAGCAGACAGGTATGGAGTACCGCAGACACGCCACAGATCACAGTTGGTGTACAGTGCTCGCACCCAGTTGGCTGGCATTTTATCTAGTTTGCGGCTCACAACGACCACCAGCAATTGCCAGACAGGCCAGCCAATATGATGTTTTGACACAGCCTTTGGTCCAGCACAGGGACAGATATGCCCTAGACTGCCCACGGATGGCCGCTGGGACGACTTTGCCCGCCTTGTGGCCATTTCGTCTCAGGCATCAGCTGACCGCCTCGTTTTTGCTTCCTGGGCACTCGACTAAGCAGATGCGCTTGAACTTGCAAATTTCCGCACTGGTTTGGGAGATTGATCTGGCACGGTGCGGCACGCCACCAGCCGCACATTTCCCGTTGTGCTTAATTGCTGGCTACTGAGCCTCCCTAGCACGGTGCGGTGCGAGATCATCTACCACGAGCACGGTGGCTAAGTATCATACCCCACCAGCCACCCGCCACCATACCAGGAATCACAGACGCTAGCCCGGTCTGAACTGCCATTGTCACCACATGGAAACATTTCCTGAGCAAACTCCCCTTAGGTTTCCCCACTAGCGCCCCAACACTAGCTGCCCAACACCCTAGTGACTGCGAGTCAACCGCGCCCTCACTATTGTCCCTGGCACTAGCCCAACCCCGCGGCCATCGTCACCGCAAAATCGCCTAGCAACATTAGCAACCATATCTACCACAGCTCCAACCATGCTAGCACGAAACAGTTCGGGGTCGTCGTCCCATGGCCACGAGCTTCCCGTGCTCACCCACACCAACTCCGCGTCGTGGGCCTTCACCAGCCAGGTGGACTCCAACCGGCTCCTTGTCTCAAGCTATCTCTACAAGCGGTCCAGCAAGACCCACCAGTGGAAGAAAACGTGGGTGACGCTCCGCAAGTGCCAGCTCGGCTACTACAAGGACTCGTCCGAGCACAAGCCCATCAAGGTCATCAACAGAGCTGACCTCCTCTCCTTCAACGAGATCCCTGACAACCACAAGTACCATTTCGCCATCTACACCAGCAAAAAGGTGATCCACTTTCGGTGCGAGGACTCCAACGCATTGCATGCCTGGAAGCATGCCTTGGGGGTGTTCTTCGAAGAATCTGCCGACCTGTATGTGGAGAAGTCTCCCCCCGAAATGACCCTCTTGGGGCCTGTTGACCTTGAGTACTCAGGTCCCGAAGACATGTACTTGTCTTCTGGGCTATCGGACTCGCCCATGCCTCACGACCATAGCCACCAGTTCCAGCTTGCACAGCCCACCATTGACGAAGAGGACGAAGACGACATACGACGCAAGCCCCGCAGTGCCCAGGTACCGCCACCACCACTGGCATCTTCAGAATCGGAGCCTGACGAGTACTTGATCGAGGAGGGGCACCTTCTCCGTCTTCGCAAGAGATACAACCAGTGGAAACGACTTTACATTGTGTTGACCTCGCGAGCGCTTTACTTCTACAAGAACGCTGGCGATCAGAGCAAGCCCATCAAGGTAATCCCGGTGCTGGACCTCGTGGATGTGATCGAGCTTGATCCCATTTCTACCTCCAAAGTGTGGTGCCTACTCGTTATCACACCGTTGAAGCGGTTGCGCTTCAATGCCTCCAGCGAGGAAGAGATGATCCGTTGGCTCTCAGCATTGAAAACGTTAATAGCGCAGGGTAAACGCATGGTGTAGCCCTCACATTAGTTACATAGACATGATTTATGAGGTTAAAGGAACTGGTGGAAAATCTTCAATAGAGAGATAATTTTCTTGTTTGTAGAAATTAGAGGGTAGATGCTGGCGGCTCCCAATTGAAACACAAGTGACCAATGTACATTCTCAAACAACCATGGTGATCAGAATTAGTTACGTTTTGGTGGGCTGTCATCTGTAAATTCAGTCTATTTTGGAGTATCATTATGGTCATAGTCACCAAAAATGGTTTAACAACTGCTTGACGTGGATGTTCCTGTTTACCAATAACGTACGTCAATATACTTACACATCTGTCGCTGCTACGCTATACAGAGAAACCAAAATGAGAGGTATATGTCAGAATCGGCAAGGATAGCTATCCTGTTGCTTCAAGGGTTATAAACTAGTTTTACATCGTATAACTTGGCCCTATAGTATATTAGAATTGTTGCTGGATGATCCGTCAGTCCTACGTGTACAGAATTCTAGACTGATGGTGTAATCAGTTAATTTCCGATTGGTCTGAAACTTGACTGGCCAATTTGAATGACTTATGGACATCCAGCCAATAATAGCCGTGTAAAACCGCCAAACACATTATTCAAGAATACGCTTAAGGATAACTCTGTTCGAAGTATTCTACTTTACTTGAGCATAAATGGAAACATTCTCTGTAAGGGTATTCTAGAAGTTGTACCCCACAAACTGAATAACTCATTCTCTGAAGCGCCACAAGCTATACCCCATATACTGAATAACTTTTTATAAGAAGTATACTACAAACTATCGCCATACGTATCTCGTTGTAAGGGGTATTCTCCTTACTTCCCACAATCTGAATAATCCGAATAACACTTTGAAAGAGTATTACAATGCTTGGCCACAAACTGAACAACTCTGGATGCAGTATTCTACATTACTTACCCCTAACTGAACAGCACTTGCCATAAGTATTCTAACTACTTAGCCATATTCAGAACAGCAAATTGTCTCTACCTTACTTAGATCTATAAACTCAGCAGACTGGTGAAACTCACTGTATAGATACACATTCATATCTACCCAATGTTCCTATCTCAGGGTCCGCGCTGGCGTGCCTTACCAACTCAGCCAGCCCCTCGCTATTGTACCCACCAGCGCACTAAACCCCTCGCTAGGGCTCGCTAATTCGCGGGAGTGGCTCCCGAAACTGCGCGCCCTGTCGTCTTACTGTCCCACGCTCCCTACCCGCTCCCCACCATCTGATCTGTACTGCCGCGCTGCCCCATACAAACATCCAATTATCAACTTCATCGTACATGAACATCCATGGCCCCGCCATTCCCTAGGCCCACAGGCGTGCCCTACAATCCGCTTTCCATTGATCTCCAGAAGGAACACGCCGCTGCCAATGCTACACATGTAAGATTCCGCGTTCCGTGGTTCGGCTCTGAGTTTGAGGACTACCTATTGGCCTCCCATTATGAAATGACCGGCAAGATCATTAAAAATCGCTCAGAGGGCGGGCTGCCACTAGAGCCAATACATGTGAGCATGTGGACGGTTCCTCTAGTGTTCTTCAACCAGAAGTTGCTCGAAAACATGGTCAACAACTTTCAACACCGAGACTTCTTGAAGTGGCAGATGCTTATGACTTTGAGGATCGATGAATGGGACACAAGTGATCCACGAAGACTAGGCGACCTTCTTGCCTACAAGAACATCCTCGCTGCAGTGATGTTGCCGGACCTAGAGTCGAAGAAATCCACAGCCGAGGTGTGGGCAGAGCTCCGAGGCCCAAGCACTCCATTTCAATTGTTGCTACCCCGGATAGCTTCCATGAGTCCTGTTTTGCCCCAGTGCAAGTATTTTACCCATTTCATTCGCGAGCACAGCAAAGTCACTGCCTTGAATGAGGATTTTCTCTATCAGATATTGCAGGTGGTGCGGATGGACGAGGGCCTCTTCGTGTTGATATCCACGCTTTTGCGCAATGTCCTCAAGTCTACAGAGCTATTCTTTCAACTTCCAGCACTCAAGTCGGCTACGATGCACCATCAGTACGGGGTTTATGACTTGGCCGGAGGTCGCTGCTCCGACCCCGTGATTCTCCATGGTGCACAAGAGATAAACCCAAGCCATCTCAAATCATTCTTGGGTGCGAAGTTTGGGCCTGTAAAGACCCTAACTTCACATCTGGAGTATATCTCGTGCCGGTTTGTCCATGAAGAGATGAATAAAAAGGCCATTGCTCATGGGTTCGTGTACTACCTGTATATCAGAATCTACATCGAGGCTGAAGACCACGAGCAGTTCAAGAAGGAGACTGGTGTCAGCTTCATGGTCCATAGATCCTATCCATCTATACCAGTGCCCCAGACACGTCACGTGACAGAGATTCCCCAGCTGGATCCTGCACAGTACAGCGAGTCCTACCACCGCATTATGGAGAACTTAGTGGAGGACATCGAGCGGATACGCCTCCAGGAGGGCACTCTGGAGACTCAGAGACCACGCCCGATTTCCCCACAACCTGTTACTACCGCAGCCGAAAAACCTCCGTTTTCGCTTGCCCGATTTCGTAAACAAATCCAAGCAAACATCAACCCCAATTTGGTGGTGGGCACACGACTTGTTCCATTCTACGATCTGGAATCGGAAGATCCAGAAGAGCCCCATATAGATGTTGGCGAAGAACAAGATGTCATGGTGAATGGAAAGACAATATCCGACATTCTCACCCAGAAAGGGGTGCCCACGATCATCGCCAACCCAAACTACGAATCGCCTCCTGACACCAGCGTCAATGAAGGCTCGCTGAAAAATCGAGCCTCCACCGAGGACAACCACTACAATGCTACGTTTTTCCTCAACGACGAGGACTATACCCGATTTGTCTACGATGAGTTGGACGAGGACGAGGATTTCCTCGACTTAGTAGACAAGTTGGCCGATTTGTTCCCCACATACAGAAGAACCGAGTTGAAGATCCGGGTCAAGTTGAGTGAAGACATCGACGTGCTCGTAGAAGAGCTCTTCTTGGAACAGGAGACCAACGAATTGGTCGAGGCAGTGCGTGCCGAAGAAAGCTCGATAATAGTCGAGCAGCAAAAGCCCGTTTATTCCCCAGCAGTGTATCAACTAAAGGATATATTCCCCACAATCGACAACGACACACTCAAGTTTGCCCTAGATGAAGCACACGGCGATTTGCAGATAGCAACAGACAACCTTCTCACCGGTACTGTGTCATCATTCAAGCCTGCCGGTAGTTCCACCAGTGGAACCAATATTGTCGCTAAAGAACCTGTCACAGGCAGTGTATGGGGGTCGATACAAGAAACCGCCAGCAAATTGAGCAGCATTACTGAGATTCCTTTAAGTGATGCCACCAGCTTTTTACATGCCAGAAATGGTAACTTTATAGAGAGTTTAATAGCGGTGGTCCTCACATACACAAGGAACCCTCTAGTGGCATCCACGGCACCTAGAGAGCAAATACCTCGAGGAGGAAGAGTCCAAAGAGGCGGTGCCAAAATTGCAGGTAGAGTGGGGAACGGAACTCCCGTTCCAGTGCCAGTGCCGTCTCAAAGTTACCGATTCAGCCCACAAAGTGGGGAGTATCAAGAATTATTGGCCTTGTTGCGCAGCAATGCCCAATTTAGAGGAATTGGCATGCGGTTTTGTGAAAAGGCGTTGGTGCTCTTCAATGGAAACCCGTTTAAAGTGATCGATATATGCCGTATGGTGGTTGAGTACAACTGTGAGCATTTGACCAAGAAGAAGTCAGTACCTGTTGTACCAAAGGCTCTCGTTCTGGGAGTCAAAATGGCGCCACCAGAAAACCCAAACTTGAGTAACCAATTTGCTAGATTTAGAACCAAATCCAGGGTGATCAACGAGCCAGAGAGACAAACGCAGAGTGAACGTTTGGCTGGATTTCAACGTACAGGAGAAATAGATTTGCATGGACTTAAAGTCACCACAGCAATTCTTGTCACCCAAAAGGCGTTGATTTCTTGGTGGAGCAAGGAAATCTCTGCCAGAGAATATGAAGGAAACCTTCGTCGGTACGGAAGCAAAGCCGTTTTCGAGGGTCCTGCGAGGATCATCACGGGGAGAGGACTTCATTCCGTAGGGGGTATTCCTGTGATTAAGATGGGAATAAAGAACTATCTTACCAAGAATAGATATGTCTACGAAGAGCTCGTGGGAAGTTATGTTGTGTTGGGGAAGAGAAATTAGCAGATAGAAGACTTGAAGTTTTGAAGTAGATATCGATACACACAAGATCCAATTCGATCTGAAGAAAGGACGGGACCGATGGGATAGACTGCGGATTCAGCATCTCGAATTAGACTGCGGGAACAAGACTGCTTGTTCAGGCTCGAATTAGAGAGCTTAGTTTAGCGTTCTGGAATTACAGCTGGAGGCTCGAATTAGAGAGCTTAGTTTAGCGTTCTGGAATTACAGCTGGAGTTTAACAGTTTACGTCAGACTCATGGAATTCTGCTGGAACTGGGCAGCTGGAACTGGACTCCTAGAATTGGACAGCTCGAATAAGACTGCTTATTCAGATGAGTTACCACCTCACCTCCCCATCACGACCAATAAAAGGCACCAATCAATCGATTCTATTGTTCATCCAGCTAGCCCTGCATTTACAGATTTAACCCATTAGGGAAACCACACGAGCACATACACCCGTTTGCGACGGATAATTAACGACCAATTCTAGAGCAAGCACGCATGTAGGCCCAGCGCTGGCGCGACGGCCAATGGGATGATCTGGTTCCAGATGGTATGCAATGTGAGATCCATCACAGGCGCAATTGCCAATACGACCACTGGATCACATCTGCACGTAATATACCCAGGCGCACCATGTGCAGTGAACGACAATAGCGATATCCCATCTAGTCGGGTGTGCATGGGGGCTTGTGGATGCGTGCTGCATTGGGAACGAAGTGCCCTAATGGGGCAAATCTCTGGAGACGACCGGTGTGGGTACAGATGCTTGAGCAGGGACCCAAGTTCAGGCGCCTGTGATGGAATCCAGAAATTGGCTTCCAGCGACAGTGGCAGCCCCACGCCCCTAGACACGGGTCTTCCGGTTTCAGGGTGGTCACGCCAGCGTGGCATGGGCTGGCCCTCCCATGGGCCTCCTATGGTCCTGCCGTGTGTCGCCGCACTGCATGCGTGCTCCTCGCGGGTGCCACAAGCGTGCATCTGTAGCCCAACTTTATCGAAGGTTCAGCGGTAGCGGCCACGTCCCGCCTGCACGAAGCCCGGGTCCTCGTGCCCAGTTGACACCACCAGCAAGCGAGTCGAGGCGAGACGGTTCGATGGAACGCGTCGCCACGGTCTGGGCACCACAAACGGAAATATCCTACATGCCACCACTTGTGGGCCAGAGGCCACGCCATTGGTTGGACACCCGGCCCCAGACGCACGCCAGGGGCCTGGGAATGCGCAGCCCCGAGAATGTGCGCTGGCGGCATTGTTAGACCCTAGGACGGATCGCACACAATAGAAGTCTAGCCAGGAGGCAGCAGGCCACAGGCTGGCTGTAGGCCGGTGCTGGAGACGTGTAGGCGTGGCGACAGACGTGTCGTGAAACTAGGGCCCGACGCCAGGCTACCAGTGAATTCAGAGACCTGCCAGACGTCTAACGAGCCCCTCAGGGAGTGCTAGCCACATACACTTTATGTTATGAGTCGTTAGTCTGTCGACGGTCGCTACACCGTCGCTACTCCCACCATGTTCTCTCCCTAATCTCTCCCTACCCTCTCCTCCACCATCTCTCATCTCTCCCTAAGCTTCCTCTACCTTCTCCCCATCGTGTAGCCTGTCCCCACTATCATCAAATGCTCCGCGCACGCCCACGATATTGAGGATCAATTCTAAACACGCCAAATTTTACCTACCCTACCACACCCACCTGTTCCTGCTGTTTCTGCTGCCGCTACGTCTCTAGATGGATACAATGGAACCATCGTCCCATCCTTTACCCCCACAGGCGCCTGCTGCCGTTCTGGCGCCCGCTACGCTCACTCCACCATCACTAGCCGCCCACACCACCACCAGCGACCACCAGCCGTCGCTGGAGTCCTCGGAGTCATCCTCGCCCATAGACGACGCTGACGTGGCTCCCTCGCCCCCAGGATTGTCGCTAGGCTCCCCCATACACGAAAAGATCTCCCAGTTCACAGACAAACTCGTCAGTGCCACTGAGGCGCCAGAGGCAGACCCGCTGGAAATAGCCCGTGTGGACTCTCCCACCTCGTTGCCTCGCATGCCTGGCACCTTCAATGTCAGTGCATTGCAAGAAACCCAGGAAAACGCCCAGAGTGCCCACTACCAGCAGCTCACACAATCGCTCAACCAGAACAACAACACGGTGGACTCGCTCCTCGCAGACGACCCCCACGCTAACCGCGAAAGCACCTCCACCGCAGATACCGTGGACACTTCCGAGCTTGCAGACTCAGGCGACGCTGCCAGAGAGCTTCCTCACAAGAACTCCAACAGGACATTGAGCCACAAGCACTCGCTCGACTCCCAATCCACACATGACCACAGCACTACTGCCACCACCAACAGCCAGTCGTTTGCGTCGAACCCCGCCACCAGTGCGTTGTCGAACCAGGACGCGTCCTTCATCTCGTCGCCAGACTTGAAGTCGTTCAAGTCCACGTTGGACCCTAAGTCCAACACCGCTGTGTCGGCGAATTCGTCGTCCAGCGCCCTCAACGGCAAGAACATCAACACCTACTTGGAAAACGGCGACTTCAACCGCAGCAGTGACTTCGACGGGTTCACCTCCACCGATGAAGACGAGGACGCCGATGAAAACGACCAGCATACACCAAACTTGAAGAGTAACACCTTGGAGAATATTCCTACCAACGACGAGGACGACATCGACCAGACAACCCCCGTGCAGAAACTCATGCAGCCAGTGTCCACGCCTGCAGCTGCTCCACAAAGACCGGCTCCTCCTCCACCCTCTTCTGCCAACGACTCCTCCTCGTCGGGTCCGGGTAGTGCTTATTCCGAGTCCAGAAATGCATCTTCTTCCTCTGTGATCAGGAGTCCACCTCCTCCTCCCCGTCAAACTTCTCACAACCAGACGATCGCAATCACCCCTGTGCTACAACAACAGCAGCATAAATTTATCAATACACCTTCATCAGCAAATTCTTCTAGCTCGACATTGGCCACATCTTCTCCAAACCTCCCGGGTATGGGTACTATTGCATCTCCAAACGGTGGGAAGAAGCGTAAGAGTGGAAATCGTGTCAAAGGTGTGTTGAATCTGATGTTTGGTAAAAACAAATCGAATTCGTCAGGTAGTGGAAACGGAAGTCATAGTGTCAATGGTGGAGTTAATGGCTCCTCCTCAGACGTGTCGACCTCCTCGATCAACATGAAAATCAGTACCCCTTTCAATGCAAAGCATGTGGCACATGTGGGTATTGATGTCAATGGTTCCTACACTGGTTTGCCCATTGAATGGGAAAGATTGCTTTCAGCAAGTGGTATCTCGAGAACCGAACAAAAGCAGCATCCTCAGGCAGTGATGGACATCGTGGCTTTTTATCAAGATAACAATGAAAATCCAGACGATAATGCATTCAAGAAGTTCCACTTCGATAACAACAGCTCAAGCGGTTCCATAGGTAACACCCATGGGGGAAGTGACACTCCCCCTATGACTCCCAGCTCTGCTTTCCAAAATAACAACCCTGCAAGTCCAAGTTTGGAACAGCAAACTGATATTAGTGCAGCTCAAACAACCCCCATCCAACAACATCCTGATGAAAAGATTCCACATGCACCAAGAACCCCTAATGCAAACTATGAAAATCAGTTCATTCCTAGCAGACCAGCTCCTAAACCACCTTCGGCACAACCAACCCCTCAACAAAAGCCCGTGTCTCATTCTCCTTATAATCAAGCTGCATCTTCTCCTTCCAACGGTTCAGGTATTTCTCCCTCCAAAACCAAGACCTTTATGGGTAGATCTTTTTCATCGAAATCTATAAAGTCACTTAGAAGTAGTTCTAAGAAGATGGATAAGGCTCCACCAACTCCAGGATCGCATGCATACAGTTCTGGTTCCACTGCTCCTCCTCCACCTCCGGTGCCAAGTACTAGCAGCGGAAAGATACCTAAATCCAAATCTCATAGTAGCTCTTTGGCATCACAAACTAGAGTTCAACCTAAGAATCCCGTTTCAACTGCTCCAATTGCTCCTAGTGCCAAGTTTAATGATGCTGAAAATGCAATCAATTATCCTAAGCAGCGTACCAAGGAAGAAGTTAAATCTCACAGAGCTCCGCCCGCGCCACCTTCGTCTCAACAAAGTACATCTCAACAAGTTCCTGCCAATTTATCAGGTCCCCAACAAGCATTAGCAGATATTACATCACTGGTGTCAAAGGAAGCGTATGAAAAACAAAGGGCATTGGCAGCTAAGGCAGCTCCAAGTCAACCTTCGTCTTCTGCTCCAGCTCCCCCAGAAGTGCAAAGAAAAAAATCAGGACAACAACCAGTTCGTGATGCTAAGCAGGCAGCACTTTTAGCACAGAAGAAACGTGAAGACAAGAAGAGGAAGAATCAGCAGATCATCACTAAATTGAAGTCAATTTGTAGTGAAGGAGATCCTACTGAACTTTACACCGACTTAAATAAGATTGGTCAAGGTGCTTCTGGAGGTGTATACATTGCACATGAGAACGGTGAGAAAACTAGAACTGTTGCGATCAAACAAATGAATTTGGAACAACAGCCAAAGAAAGAACTTATCATTAATGAAATTTTAGTCATGAAGGGAAGTAAACATCCTAACATTGTCAATTTTATAGATTCGTTCTTGGTGAAAGGAGATTTGTGGGTTATTATGGAGTACATGGAAGGAGGATCATTGACAGAAATCGTTACGCATAGTGTCATGACTGAAGGACAAATCGGTGCAGTTTGTCGTGAAACATTAAAGGGGTTGAAGTTTTTGCACTCTAAGGGTGTCATCCATCGTGATATAAAGTCGGACAACATCTTGTTGAATATTGATGGTAACATCAAGATGACTGATTTTGGATTCTGCGCCCAAATTAATGAGATTAATTTGAAGAGAACCACCATGGTGGGTACCCCCTATTGGATGGCCCCCGAAGTTGTTTCCAGAAAAGAATATGGTCCTAAGGTTGATATTTGGTCCTTGGGTATCATGATTATCGAGATGATAGAGGGAGAGCCCCCATACTTGAACGAAACTCCGTTAAGGGCCTTGTACTTGATTGCCACTAATGGTACTCCTAGATTGAAGGAGCCAGAAGCATTGAGTTACGATATCAGGAAGTTTTTGTCTTGGTGTTTGCAAGTGGATTTTAACAAGAGAGCCAACGCCGATGAATTATTGGCAGATAGATTTATCGAAGAAAGTGATGATGTTTCTTCGTTGAGTCCTTTGGTGAAGATTGCCAGGATGAAGAAGGACAATGAGCCTAACGAAGACTAGTTTATTTCATTCTTTTTTTAGTGTATTATTTAAATTGACAAGCCCCGAACGGCGTAAGCTGTTCTGTAGATAGCCAGAACTTCTGCCCAGCCGCATCCAGATGCGGTTGCTTATTCGGATTAATAAATGGATTATGATCCAGAATAGAGGAGACAGAACCTCCTCAGGATATGAGCTCATTTGTAAACTCGGTGTCGTTGGTGTTTCCAGAGTTTTAGAGTCAGTTGGACGATATAAATCTCAAGGAAAAGAAAGACGGCGAAAATAAGGAAGGTTTCTCAACTTCATGAAAGACATGGATGTTAAAGGGTATTAGAGAATTAATAAAGTATTGGCATAACCATGTAAGAAATTTTGGAGGTCATAGTGGAGACGAATTGGTTGGGTACTGGAACTTCAGGAGGAATCAGCTTCAGCACAGAAACTTGAGAGAAGACTTGAGAAATTTTGACAGTGTTGGAACGTTAGAAGAATGTAGCAGGAGCTTCAGAAGGGTAGATTAGAGAAGAAAAGAACTGGAAACATTTAGGGGAACTAGTAGGAATTTCGAGAGAGTGGTATAGCAAAGAAATGGATAAACATGCTCGGACTTCAGATGGAAATATTAGAAAATTCATAGACGCAAAACCTCCAGAGGAATGAACGGGAGGATAGATTAGAAAAATTTAATAATAGGACTGCAGCATCGAGAGCAATAGCCGGGTAGCTTATAGTATTAATAAGAGTAACGGAAACTTCCAGAGGGACGTAACAGGTGTTTGCCAGACTTCAGAGGGGTAGACAATACTACAAAATGAGTACTTCATTGCAACACTCAAGAGGCCAACTTTCGTTGGGCTTCCTACTAGGCCAAACATCCGTGCTTCAATAATCAGGTGGGTCCATCGCACCACGGACAAATCGGGTAAACCGTCCCAGCCTCGGCCTCGTAATCATACAGCTCGCCTGGTCTCCTATTCCCGGAGATGGTTGCGAAATTACAGTTGCTCAAGCCATAGGCGATGCGAGCGATGTTGCGAGCGTGGGCGACTTGGCCAGCGAATGACGCCGGTGACGCAACAATACACGGTATTTTTTGACATACGGGGCCCACCGCTGTTGAGGGAACTGAAGGTAGAAGAGACGGAGAAGAACAGTTGGACTGGCGGGTGCGATCAAGAATACTGGGTGCTTGGATGTGGTGTGGCAGTCTTGGGTTGCCCTTGAACGTCGCATGTCGTTTAGTTCTGGAGTGAATCCCACTCTAGCCAATGTGCCCAGAACCCTTGTGAACGTTGTGTCAACGGATTAACTCGTGGTCGAGAGATCGTTGCTGCCGCATTTGCGCTGTCTGCAGCGGGTGCATGCCCAACCGAGAGACCGAGTGTGGACCAGGGGGTAGGGCACCATCGAAATAGACGTGGCCTACACGGTTGTGCTGGCAGCAGCCTAGCTTCGCGTAGGCGACCTCCACAGCACCCACCGGTGACCACCCACTGGTGACCACCCACTAGCAACTGTGCCTTCACCAAGCACAGCACTGGGGGTGGCCAGGTTGCGAGCCCTGCACGAGCTCGCGTCCGCAGATTGTCTGAGACCATCTGGCCACTTGGCCATCACGTGGCGCCCATGCCACTGTCGGTGTTCGTGACCGTCCCTTGTTGGGATCAAAGCTGGTCCACAGGCAGCTCCCAGCTGCCGTGTGGCCACGTCCACCAGACCTGCTCCAGTCCTCGACACCCTTCGCAACGCACCCCGCGCGGCTCGCTGTAATTTCCCCCTGGCGTCCTCGCTACCTATTCCTCGGTGCGTCCGTTCCGCAGGCGCTTGATGCCGCAGACCATTCCCGCGAAATAGCAATTATATTACTCCAATTGTCCAGTGTTCCCCTCCACCACAGCGAATGTCTCCATTAGGCGGTGGTGGTAGTGGCTCCAACCTAGAAGTGTGTCGGAGCCACTGGCGTGTGCTGCACGCCTGCCTAGCACCGGGTCTGACCGTCGCTATTGTCTGGTGGGGCTCCTCATCTACGCACCCCAAAAAGTCCGACCCCAGCAGGCCGCAAGTATGACATCACACCCCCCGTTCTCAAAACTATAAATACAAGCCCTGTAGCCAGTTTGCCAACCATTAATTCCTACCACACAAATCATGACTGAAGAATCCAAGTCTCCCCAACATCAATCGTTTCTTAACAACGACGGCATAGACGAGTTGCAACCATTGAGCAGAAAGCACAGAGTGTCGTCGTTATCGCTCTCCGACTTGAACCAATGGCAAAACGGCTTGACCAAGTTGTCGTCGTCCACCTCGCTCTCCAAGGACGGCAGGAGCTCCAGCGCCAACCTCAAGAAGGTCGACTCCTTGGCCAAGTTGTCCAGAAACTCCTCCATCATCAAGAGGAAGAAGAGAACTGTGATCGACCATGTGCGTGTGGCCTCCTACGCATTCTGCTTCGACATTGATGGTGTCATCCTCAGAGGCCCCGACACCATTCCCGAAGCCAAACAGGCCTTGAGGTTGTTGAATGGTGAAAACAAATACAACATCAAGGTCCCCTCCATCTTCGTCACCAACGGGGGTGGAAAGCCGGAAAAGCAAAGATCGGATGACTTGACAGAAAGATTGGGTGTCCTCGTAACCCCAGAGCAGATCATCCAGGGCCACACCCCCATGAAGGATTTGGTGGGTGTTTACCAGAATGTCCTTGTGGTAGGAGGTGTCGGCAACGTTTGCAGAAATGTGGCTCAATCCTACGGTTTCAAGAACGTCTACACTCCTTTGGATATCTTGAAGTGGAATCCTGCCGTCAGTCCTTACCACGACTTAAGTGAAGAAGAAAGAGTGTGTGCCAAGGAAGTCGATTTTTCCAAGGTCGCTATTGATGCTATCCTTGTTTTCGCAGACTCCAGAAACTGGGCTGCAGACCAACAGATCATCTTGGAATTATTATTGTCCAAGAATGGTGTTATGGGCACCGAATCAAAGACATACAACGAAGGTCCACAAATTTACTTCGCCCACTCCGATTTCATTTGGGCCACCAACTACAAATTATCTAGATATGGTATGGGTGCCTTGCAAGTGTCTATCGCTGCCTTGTACAAGGAGCACACTGGTCATGAATTAAAGGTCAACAGATTCGGTAAGCCTCAAAAGGGTACTTTCAAGTTTGCCAACAAGGTCTTGACCAGCTGGAGACAAGGTGTATTAGACGAGCACTTGAAGAAGTTGTCAATCAATGATCCAAATGCTGAAGAGGCCGATATTTTGATCAACGAAGATGGTGAAGAAATCATCAACCAGGCCAAATTGGAATCCTACGACTATGAAGATGACAGTGAAGATGAGGTGAATAATATCAAGGAACCATTGGCTGAAACTGGTAAACAAGACAAGATTACCTTGCAATTACCACCTGCATCCACTGTCTACTTTGTTGGTGATACTCCGGAATCGGATATCAGATTCGCTAACTCTCACGATGTTTCATGGCACTCTATTTTGGTGAAGACTGGTGTTTACAGAGAAGGAACTGAACCAAAATATAAGCCCAAGCACTTGTGTGAGAACGTGTTGGAAGCTGTTGAGTATGCCATCGAAAGAGAGCACGAGAAAGAATTGGCCGAATGGAATGAAACTGCTGATGCCGATGAAGACGACAAGGGCTCCAGAATTAACTTTGCTGACTTGGTCATGACACCTAGTGAGAAGCAAGAGAAGGAAGCTGCTGATGCTAAGAAGGTCAAGCCAATCCATGAACACGAGGCTGTGGAAGTTCCAGTATTCTTAACTGAACAAGTTGAGAAGTTCAAGGACGTTGGTGTTCAAAAGAAGTAATTATAGAGGTTCATTTCAAAAGCTAGCGAGCTAGCAAGCTAAATATTAAATTAAACTATCCATTAGAATGCATGTAGATTATTCCTTGATGATCGCTTAAGTCTTCAGTGGCCTCTGGCACCTGGATCACGGCCAAGCTTCAAGCTGTAAATTTTGTGGTTCAGCAAGGTCACATCGTCGTCATCGTCGTCATCATCAGATTTGATTTCAAACAAGTCGGACACGTTGACCAACTTAATTGAGTTGACCGAAGATTAAGAACGTACGTTAAATAATTGTGTTAGAAAAATTGAAGTTGGGTTCTGCAAATCATTCTGTGAGCACTGCCCCAGTTAATTTCATGAATAGGTTTATAGAAAAAGGATTGTTGCATTGTGTATAATTACATGCAGGTCAAGGAGGAACAAGCTCCAGTTGCATTACAACAAAAGAACAAGAGTAAAATGAAAGATTCTGGATACCTTTTGGACTCAAAGGACAAGCAGGTGAATCTCAAGATTGTTGTTATGCTCGATAGGGCCAAAATGTACTAGCGTTATGAAGTAGTTTGTAGACAAGTGCACATAACTGACTCTACTAGGTCGTTATTGACATGCTGTTTTGACATATTTTAATGCGAAAGTGACACTAGTTAACACAAGAAATGCAAAAACCATTGCTCTTAAATGTGCTATGGCTCCTTGTGGGACTCATTCACGCCACCTCCATCTTGGACCACTCTTCTGGTGTTGTGTGTGCCTTCGTCAACGCCGATGGTAGCCGGTCTTCCTCCATCTCCCTAGCAGGTGCCAAGGACCCTGTGCCTGCTATTATATACCGTTCCCCGGGACACCCCAGTGCCCTCAAACAAGCCGGAATGCCTTCCCTTTTCCTGTGGATCGATGGCTACAACGACAAGCAATCGTTATACCGGGGGTGGTTGATTTTGACGAGCAACGTTTTCTAGTTACGGAAAACAACCGGCTTGTGGTGTTCAACGGGCATGTCGGTCCTCGCCACGACGTGGACTGCCTTGTGAATGAATCTGACTACTACTGTGTGTATGTAGCTATTCCTGTCAACGCTACCTCGCTGGTCCATGTCGATTTTCACCAGGCCCACGGCAATTTGCCGTACTACAGCTACGTCCACTACACTCAGCAAAAGTACGTGGTTCTTGTTGGCAGTG